AGTCACACCATTCCGTTCAAGATGCAACTCCCTGAAAAACAGACCCAAAACTGCACCGTGTTCGTCCGCCGAAGCAACGTCCTACGAGGAGTTTCGGAAGCGAGTGGATTCACTCTTGGAGGAGGAAATCCGACCACTATCCGGCACACTCCGCACCGGGTCACCAGACAGAGGTCACAGCGCAGGGTCAAGGTTCACAATGATGACTGAGCCAGAACGACAGCGGAATGCCTCGAGAACATCCACGTGGTCTAACAAATCGAGAAAGTCACTGAGCCCCCAGTCGCTGCGCACACCAACCAGCGCCAGTCACCGCTCTCCCGTCAGTAGATTCACCCAAACAGAAGATCCCTTGCTCTCCGTGGAGGCTTTCCTCCAGAGCGAGCTGAATGACCCCCTGCTGCCATACCAACCAGCAAAAACCAGTAAGTGGTTGAAGAGGAGGCCCAGCATCTTCGCACCCACGTTCTCCAGCAGGCAACACAGTCTTATTTCTGTCATGATCAGCTCCAGTAAGAAAAAGACTGCGGGTAAATCTTAATAAAGAGACAGAATGATGAACTGCAATGTGGTAATCCCAATTTTCTAAGGGAAAATTTTGCCTTGCCCATGTTTAAACACAAATCTATAAAATACAACATTGCCTTTAGGACCCAACATGGAGAAAATTCAGGCATCATGGACAATTTGCTAGTAAAAACTACAGTGTCGGGGAAAGCTCAGAACTGTATTAGTGTATTACACATGCAAAATCAAAAGAGAAAACTAGGTAACACCAAGAAGTTTGATGTTTATAAATGGAATAACGTCTCGTGCAATATTTTAATTTCTTCTGCTTGTACATGATATGATCCAACAAATTTGCTGCTTTACTGATAATCTGTTGAAGAGGTCGGGAATATACTCTCATGTGTTGACAAAATTTGCATCAACTGGAACAAAATGCACTTTGTCAATGATAACCTGTAAACTGATGTAGGCCTAATATTGATTTCAGTTGAGTTTGAGTTCCTCTTTGTATGCCGTCTAAACTTTGGTATTCTGAGAGAAAGATGGTTTATTGCATCTTATTTGATACCTGCATGTTTAAAACCTGGGTTTTTTTTTATTTTTGCGAATGCAAAGTGCAATAGTTTTTGCACCAAATATGTGTGCTGTGATTTGAAGGATGATTTACAATTTGACTTTTATAGGTTTCATCTTTGTATTGGTTGAAAGTATGAACTGGAAGATGCAAGAACGTCATTGCCATATTCATATACCTGAGACTGTTTACCTATTTCTACTGGTCAAGAGCCCGTTACTCACCTTTGGCTCAGGCCATTATCGACGGCCAGACCCTAACTGGTTGTAATCCACAGGTTGATTATACTGCTCCATCACACTATTATCCCCATATTTACACTTCAGTTATCCCCCCCCCCCAAAAAAAAAGATTCTTATCATAGAGTAATCATGTAGGCCCCTATTCCTTTAATTTAAAACATTTCTACAAGTCTGTATCAAAAAGCTATTGTACTTTACAAGTACAAATTATGAAGTTTTCAAACATACCATGTTCAAACCTAATTTTGCAATCGTTTTCTGAAACATGTAATAAAGTAAATGTGAAAGTCCAGGGTCTGTACCTTATCTTTTAGTGGAGTTTTATAGTTGAACCAATTTCCCTTTTGTACAGTAGAGTTGCCAGATGTGTTCTCTTCTTTGCTTGGGCTGTCTTCTAATTCTACCTCCATGATCTTATTCACCTTAGTGATTTGCAATATGAAAAAAAGGGACTCGTGCCATAATTTCTTATAATGAAGCAAATCTCAAATGGATCTCATTGAACCAAAGAGGCCAAAACTAATTCACTTTAAATTCAAACAGTATTTTAAAGTTGAACAAAGAAATTGACTGGAGTGGGGTTTGAACCCGTAACCTCCAGATTGCTGTTCCAGTGTTCTACCAACTGAACCATCCAGCCCTATGTTGGCTATTGTCTCTGTTCAAGGACGCTAGTCAGAATCCTGTGCATAATATGCCATACAGTCAGGGATCATGCCCAAAGTCATTAATTGCTAGCAACATTTAGCAATGCTGCAAACCTGAGAAATAGCAAACGGGGATGAATCAGATAGGATACATCTTTTTATTACAGAATTTTAAATAAACCAAAAATTGAATCTGACTAGGTATAGGCCTAATACTGGAAAGGTAATCTAAAAGTCGCACATCATTTGCACCTCGCTCCAGACAATTTAAAAACTATTATTCAGTTTCCCCATGAAAAAAAAGACCTTTTTTTTTTTTTTTTGTATAATTCTATCAGAAACAGTGTATTGTAATATTTTGAGTGGTAACTTTCCCCTGACGTTTTTAATAATAAGAATAATAATAATAATAATATGGAGTCTTATATAGCGCACGTTTCTACCAACTATTACGTACTCAAGGTGCTGGAGATATGTCTATTATTAATGAAAGGTAAATAAAGTTTATGAGAAATATGAGACCCATTATGTAGCACCTTATAATGGTTTACAAGATGCTGCGGCGCATATTGCAGCCACTGCCAGAAACACCGGGGCAAATCCCGGTCATATTTACAGAAATGTATATTTAAATGACTTTTTATTGCAAATGAGCCTGATACAGAATCATGTACGTAATTTTATTTAAAAATGTATCAACGTACTTCGTATGTATTATACTGTAAAGTATTTTTGTAACGCACCTACATCTTGTTTAATTCTGATGATTAAAGAAGTACAAGGGTATGGAAGTTCCCAAGAGTCGTTTGAACTGGATTATATTTTATTCTGAAACTCTGATTCCAGTTGGTTACATATGTAAACAAGTTTCATATGGGCTTATTACTGAATCCAAAACTTGTCCACAGTAACAGTTCATGGCAATGTATAAATGGCTAGCTGTAGACGTGAGTTTGTTCCGTACATGTAGTGTCATTTCTGCTATGTGTAAACCAGTGAACGAGCCTGTTCCTCTCACAGGATTGTGCCTGAAGATCTGTGTGCTATAGAACAACACCAAAACTAATGCTGTTGCATGGGTCATTGTATCAGGTTGGGAGACAAAGTGTGACATGATAGTGAAATTTTCAAAAGTTCTAAAAGTTAACTGAATCACACTTTTTAGTTTAGTAGGCCTATTCTTCTTTGGAATTTAGGGGAAGTTGTAAGTGGTGAACATACCGTACATGAAATTGGTCAGTATTCGGCTTTAGTAGTCCATGTCAGAAGTTGCAGACATAACATTGACACCAAATTAGTAAGTTTCGCGGACAAATGTTCTCCTAGGTTGGCGTACGTCACTCGACAAAAAAGTTCTGTAGTATTATACTATTAAGTCATGCATCAAATGTTTGTTGAATTAAAACAAATTTGAAGTGTCTCCAATATTTGACAATTCGCCAATGGCTGAACGTATAGACCTATTTTGCCGACTTTTGGATCGTGCATGAACGTGTAGGTACGGAACTGCCCACTACACATTTACTCTTGTTCTCTTCTCTTTTTTTAATTACCGTACTGGAATTCTCTTTAATAAACTGTCACAAGTTATAAAAAAAAAATTAAAATACTTTATCAGAAAATCTGCCTGATTCTTGGTGGTTCTGGCTGAAAAATGTATTTTCTCACATGATTTCTCCTAAACTATGCGGTCCAGCACTACAGGCACAGTCTCTCGAGACCACCGCAAGATCTTGATTACACAAAAACTTTTGAAACAGTTCTTGAACGCTTTTAGTAACTGTCCCGAATATTAAGCAATGTAAAGACTGTATCGGATGAGTTGGTACAACGGTCGAGTTGGTTTGAGTCGAGTTGGCAAATGGTCGAGTTGACTGTAAACCATTCATGGTTATTCACTCTATCATGCTCACACCTACCCATGACTACTACCATGACTACCTGAGAAAGAAACACCTGTTTTAAACCAACCCTACCCCACCCAGATCCTTCAATACCCACAAGAAATGTTTTGGAGGATTTTATAAACCATTTCATGGGGGCTTGATATTTTCCTTTGAAGGTAGAGTAGGCCATTTGTCGATTGGGTTTTTTTTTATTTAAATCAACAAAAGTGCTCAAAATCTAAAGACGTATGCTTAACAACTAACCTGATGAAGTTTTAGCTTTGTGAATGTTGTACATTTCAAGAAAACAATTCACATGGGGATTTATATGAATTTTTTCGTTTTGCTGAAAGAACACTCTCCTTTTTTTGTGATCCGTGGACAGAACTTTAAAATGGTGTTTGTGTTTAAAATTCCATAACTTGAAAAGAACATGAATAATATAAATGATTCTTGAACTGAAAGAAAGCTTATTAATTGGGCTTTCATATCCTAGATTTTGAAGTGCTACATGCAGAACTTCATTAAAAAAAAATGGTCCTGATATTTGGGTGTCCTTTTTTTTCTTTTCTTTTTTGACTCACCCTGTACAAATAATTCATAGACCCTACCCGGTATGTTGTTGTGCGAGCCCTGATAGCCACAAAACCCATTACCAGCTTTCTCTTTTCCCCTAATCTCACCCAGGTGTTGCTGATTTAAACTGGTACATTTTGGGTCAAAAAAACCTTTTGAAATATTGACAGTCACAGGCATAGTAGGTACCTGCAGGACCCTGTGGAAAAGACAGGTTTTCTTTTTCAAGAACCTTAAAAATTGAACATCATAAATCACTTGTCCTTAAGACAAGAAAACCACTGAAGGAGAAATCAGTTTAGAAACTTGTGTCAGGAAATAGGCTGAAAGAAAGACAAATTATGAGATTTTTTTTTTGGGGGGGGAGGGGAATGGAGAGTCGCCACATTTAATGTCAGATTTTTTGTATTTGGTCTGTTACCATGGTTACAAGCATATATCTTCCTTTCCTGTGTGAAATTACAGGAAAACAGGGGAAATTGTATTTTACACAACCAAGCACACAAATCCCTTTAGAAATTTTGGCATTTATCAGTTTTTACTCTTGTCTTTCTTTCGCCTGCAGTGATCTGAACTGGTCGGTGTATGAGCCAGACTTGCTGGCGACCTGCTCTGTGGATACATACATCTATCTGTGGGACACCAGGGAACCTAAGAAGCCGTCACTAGCATTCTCAACATTCGGTGAGTCAGACTAAAGCCATGTCACATGTACAGACAAGTAGAAACTTTGTCAGTGTCATTTTCAAATACTGTCTTTAAACAAACTTAGAATTCTTGATGCTGATATAATGGTATCTTCCTTAGTTTTCCAAAACATGTACGGTTTATCTTATATTTGTGATTTGCAGCTTAATTAGAGGAAATCTGCAGTCTCGTTTTACACTGATGCCATCCCATCTCTCCGTTGTCCCCCCCCCCCCCCTCCCTCAATCTGGTTTGACAACATACCATGATCAATATTCTGTGCTTTAGAAGAATTTGTGCGGGCTGAATCGTTTGTAATCTTAAAACCAGTTCGTACTCAAAAAGGAACGCAACTGCAAATATGAAGGTTATACATACTTTGGACACTGTGATTTTATAAAACTGAAAACATCAACTCCAGCAAATTTCAATTTTTTGGGGTTAAATTTGGTTCACATTACATTTACATTAAGTATGAATCTACATTCATGTGTACAACTCATGCCATAGAACTTGGAGCCTTTTGGATGATGAGGATTTTTAATGTGAGGATGGTGAGGTTGTTTTTTTAAAGTAACAAAGGTATTAACAGTTCCCTTTTGGATGTGTGTTGATTTTATCAGCTGGAGCTGCCCAAGTGAAGTGGAATAAGAGAAACATTAACTACTTAGCCACAGTGCATGAGGGAGACATCAGACTGTGGGATAAAAGGGTATGTAGGAATGATTAGAGAGAAATAACGTTAGAAAAACAGCTAAGCAACAAGCAGGGTAGAGGAGACACCAACTGGCAGTGTAAATTACCCATGACATGAATTTTACTTGGGAAGATATTTTGTGCAACTTTCTACTTCACTTAAATGTATGAAAACCATTTGACATCCCTTTTTGGTTAATCTTATTGAAAAGTGCATTTTCTTTTAATATTAAAGTTGTCCATACTTTTCCTGACAAGTGAGGGTGCTGTTGCTGCGATGTCACTTTAGGAAGACATTGTTCACTTTGGGTATTTTCTGTTCAAATTGTGAACCCAAAATTTACTCATTGAAAAAATGTTGAGAAAACTTTGCTCATTAGCCTACTGTCATGTACTGAAACAAGAACGAATCTTCAAAGAAAAGAAAATTTATGACAGCTAAACATCCAAAATTCTTGAACTTGGGTTTGATTGAATATTCAAATATTCAAACATTAATATTGGAGAAAAAAATGAAGAATATCATGTATCTGTCTGTGTATTTATTCAAGGGTTGCTGACTAGTTGCTTGAACTTCTGGAACAAAAGTGTTTGAAAAAGCAATTTATTTTTCATAGAGGAACAAAATTTGGCTTTAATCCAAGACTTAAAAATTGCAGTAAACATGTCGTCAGCTCCCTCGCACATATCCCATATATGCCTGTACATATTTCAGCTCAGGTCGTTATCAGCGAGCAGGTAATTGATTTTAAACCAGATTTCAAAATGGCTCTATTACATGTACCGGTATTCCCTTATTCGAAATCAGCACATATTTGTTTGTGTATCTGTGTAGAAAAACAGCCAGGCAGTGCAGTATATCTCAGCCAGTCTGAGTAAGATCCATGGCTTGGACTGGGATCCTGGCAGCGAGAACTTCCTGGTAACAGCAAGTCAAGACTGCACAGCAAAGGTAGGGATGAAAGGTCAAAGACCTTTACTTCAGGGATGTTTTAATCAATATTTATTTAAAGTTTGGAGTTCGAGTAGTGTAGACGGCCTGTACTTATTTCATCCCTGAAATTGTTCAGATTCTGAGACAAAGAAGTAATAAGTATTGAAAGAAGGACATCTTTCAGACCTTCCATCCATTTTTATAGACCTTTTCTTTAAATTGGCAATTTTATCCCTATTATTTGGTGTAAAAGAAATGAGAACATGTACATTGTATGTCAGGTAAGGATGAAGTTGGGCGTATAGAGGCAAGATATAGGGCCAGGGTTAGGGTAATGATTGTTGATGTAGTTACGCTACAAGTTTAGATACAGTTGTAATTGAGTCAAGTTCAGTCAAAAGTCGGCACAATTGATGAACAATGACAAATGAATGCTTTGTCACAATAAATGAAAAGGCAGTTTGTGCCAGGTTTAACAACAATTAATATTTCTTGTTTGCCTTGTAGTTCTGGGATGTCCGTGATCCTAAAAAGACAATTTTGGAGCTGAGAACAAACACCCCGCTGTGGAGGGCAAGATACACGGTGAGTAATAAATTCCTTAAGCATTGGAGTCTGTTAATATTTTACAAGATATATTTACATTCAGGTTTTTATGCAGGGGTGAGTCAAAATGGAAATCTGTGTTCAAATGCAAAGAAAACCCTTAATAGGTTAAGCTCTCTAATTGTACATGTGTTAATGGTACTGTATTTTACACTGGTGAGGTTTGTTAAGATTTTTCCTGATTTTGGAATTGTTTGTAAGGTTTTTCCTGATTTTAGGATTTTTAAAGACTCCCTTCTGAAATCTGCGTTCCCTGAGGTTTTACCTTAAAGGGTTTTGACCTATAAAAGTTTATATAGAACAGTATAAATGTAAGGGATTGCTATAGGCAAATACAAACATATACCATAGACCCTACTTGCTCTGTGGTATCAGCGACCCGCAAACCCTCTGCCCATTATTTTTATTGTCCCCCATTTTCAGCACTGACTTTATGCCCAGCAGATTCAGGATAACCACATGTTATTTTTTCTTGGCAGCCCTTTGGTGATGGTCTAGTCACGGCCACTGTCCCCCAGCTGAGACGTGGGGAGAAGAGTCTACTTCTCTGGAGCCAGTCTAACCCCGTTGGAGCCATACATTCCTTCACCGGTCACACGGATGACGTACTGGACTTCCAGTGGAGAACGCACAAAGAAGGTTAGCTGGTGTCCTTGTCATGTTCGAAAAAAAACATTTGGGGGTAAAAAATCAGATGCAAATGAGATCTGGCATGCTTGCCCTGTCCTTAAAAACCCTGTATATTATTTGAAATGTTATTGACAACATCAACAAAGATTCCTAATCAAAACAGTTTTCTGCCTTATTCCTGGTAACGAGGGCGCTGCAACAATACCATTTTGGGGGATTGGATATGAATCCAATGTTATGTAATTAAATTTACATAATGCTAAAGTTGCAATGTATTTTATTTTGTAATTTAAGAAAGTTACTAAACTGCTTCAATAGTCAGACATTTTTTAGTGTATGAACCCAGAAAATGATGTCTTTGCCCCCATTCACTTCAGAATATGGCCTTTTTGCCCTTAATACGCCCACTCACCTAAAGATGCCTGTGGAGAGAATACCGACAGAATTTTACGTTATACAAGAATTGAATGTTTAAACCTTGACAAACATTACGGGAAAATTTCAATTAACTTGATGCATGAGGTGGGGTTTGAACCTGGAACAGAGAAATAGAAGACAAAAGGTCCTTACTATTTATTAGATGGAATTTGCGTCGTGGAGATGTATATTCGATATTGGGTGCCCTACACTGAAGGCTTGTTGTCTGAAGGCTTGTGAGAAAAAAAATCACAAGTTGGGTGAGACTTGAACTCACGGCCTCCTGCTCACCAGTGTAGACGTCTTATTACTCGACCACCGAGCTTGCTGGGGTCGGTTAACTGGTTTGACCACAACCAAACTGGAATTATTTATAGAGTGGAAGATCCTTACTGAAGTATTACGGTGGATCTCATGGAATACAGAAGGAAAGCTTCGCCACCTTATCGGATTTCAAGTAATTTGACATAGATACTTGGCAAATGATCTGCTTTCCGCTTATAACCTTGCTGAAGTAAATAATTGTTTTCTTTGTGATTAGGCTCAAATGATTTTCAGTTGATCACATGGTCCAGGGATCACAGTTTAAGGATATGGCGTGTGGAGCCACATCTTCAGAAGGTAAACATTTCACTCATTTCCTGTTTTCATTTTTCTTACATTTTCCTTCATATACTGTATAGTTTTCTGTACATCTTTTGATCTTGATTAACTAGAAAACGTCCAACCTTTATTGACTTGCTTGTAATTTGGTGTTTCATTGTACCACGGCAGCTGTGCGGAGTGGACATCCCAGAGCCAGTCTCGCCCCAGGACCCTCTCATCAGTAGCTTTGAGCTGGTAGGAACCCCCAAGGATCCCCAGATGCCCCTGAATGGTATCGGTTCCTCTGGAGGCACCCCTGCCTCTACACCAGGAGCTCTCAACGAACCCCTGGTCGCAAACGGTTCTGGGGGTGTTATTGGCAGTCCCGAGACCACTACTTCAGTGGGATTGTTGGCTAGCGGTAGCTATAGTCAGAAGCCCTCGCTTCTGGAGCAAGAGTTTGCCTCAGTGAAAATCAACCTTCCTAATGTCACCATTCAAAAGGTTGGTCCATGGAAACTTTCATTTCAACCTGTCCTCTTCTGTCAGAGGTGTAATTGTCATCATGTGTCACAAGTCAGTCACAAGTCACATAACTACACGTAGTCACATTGCACGTCAAGTTTGAACTCAAGTGACAAATTATGCACATGTGACAGTGGCATTCCCTTTGTCACTGTTCATCCCCTGCCACTTGTGACCATGTGGACATGTTACAGGTCTGAGAATAACACTGCATTGTAACAAATTGAAACCCCCCCCAAAAAAAAGGTTTTGAAACCTTCGGCCTCATCTTGTGATGGAAATGCAACTCCTGATGACAGATAGTTCTTTCAACATTATAGCGTTCTCATTTTCACTATTTTAGTATTGCCATTCTCATTTTTGAACAATGATAAACACTAAAATATGAAAGTGAATAATTGAAGGAAATTTGTGTCAGGGATCTGAAGAATGTCAATTTGAATATTTGTTTTGAATAATAGAATACAAATATTCTGATAATGGGGGGGGAAAACAATGGAAAATAAATTAAAAATTGAATACAGAAAACAAATACATCTTGCCTAACACACCCATTTATTTAAGATTTAAACTGTTATCAAATGCAGTACACCATTGACTTCTCTATGTTACAGATGGATGTTGAGGGTCAGTTTTGCACAATAACAGCATTCTCCCACCGTCACATCCTCATCATGAAAATATTCTTCCCGCCCTCCTACCCAGAGAAGGCCACGCCCAAGCTAGTCTTTCTTCCAGCCACCACACTGGATAGTACTGTCAAGCATAAACTCTTAAAGGTATGTGTCATTGTGTGTTAGGATTCAGAGGTTCAGTGTTTGGACAGTTCATGTCAGCTTTGAAAGAGTCTAAGTTATCAAAGAAGGTTTGATTTGAAATCATTGCTCAGTCATTCATGACTGCATGGGTGCAAGTAAGGTATCAACGAAAAGCTGATACAATTTTACCAAACAAACGCTTCAATTTCATTTTTTTTTAAACGTACTTTAATATCTATTAATCTAGGAATACCCTTTTGTGTATATTCCAACTTGTTAAAAACGACAAGTGTCAGAATTAGGCCAATTATGTTTGTTCTTTGATAACTTCATTAGATTTACTCTACTGAGTTTAGAAGGAAAAAAAGTTTCTCAGTAGTGCTCTGATTTTTTATTTTTGTCGTTTCCACAACAGATTCTAGAAGACACATGCATACGTCAAATGGAGAATAACAAGCTTTGTCTGGAAGCCTGCCTACAACAACTTTCTGTCAGTATTGACGGAATGAAGGTATCAGTCTATTATTTTTATCACATGGCCAATTTACTATTCATAAATGTACTTGTTTTCATCGTACACATCTGTACCCTTACATAAATTGAATATCGCGTAAATTACTTTGTGCAATTTTTACATAGATCTGCTTTTGATTGACTTTCAGTGTTTTCATAAAGAACGAATGATTTTTGTCTGTTTGAGTTTAATCTGTTTAAATGCCATCCTACATGTATAAACACATCATCTTTTTAATTTCTCAAACACGTTTGTTGTTATTGATAATTGGTAGTGACCACATGGACACTAACGTCTGCCGATAATATCAGATCTCACATCAGATCACGAACTTAGCTGACTGGCTGCTCCATGCTGATTGGGCAGTACACCTTGAAGCACCTGATCCACCATCTTGGTTCCCCAAAAGTTGATTCCTTAATTCCTTAAAGTTGAGGTATTGTATCTTCTTTTAAAACAATGCTCCCCTAATAATCAATCAGTCTTTGGATTTTTACCAGTCCTAGCAATAGGATTGTTAAACACTCAAAATCCAGTCAGAAAATATTATTGTTTTTTTCATTGCCTTAACATTGAAGAAGAAATCCTATACGAACTACCTGTACATATCATGGGTGACCCAAGATGGCAGACAGCTGCTTCAATACGTCTGAATTGTCAGCCAGTCCAGTATACAGGCCAGTAGTTCTTCTATATCTGTGCATTGGTGTCTAGAGAATCACTAATACAATTCTTGTGATTTCAGTTGACATCAGAGATTCCATCAGAGCCCCCTACACCCCCAGCATCCTCTAGCTACAAGCAGACGTCGTCATTACCGAGTACTTATGGCAGCTATCTGGATAACCACATTCCATTCCCGAGAACATCAGGAGCAAGATTCTCTGGCGTCGGTAAGTCTAAAGTTTTTCGAATTTAAGCAAGGCGGGCCAACCACCTAATACATCTTTGTGATAAACACAATATCTTCATGAGTTCTGGTGTTGTTAGAAAGAAAACATTCACTTCTTACAAACTCATTGTTTGAAATTGCTGATAATTTCTGGCATTAGTAAATAAACAACATATGTCTAATACATGTATCTATTTATCTTGCTCATAACTTTGCTTATTATCTTCATTGAATTTACCCATTATATTTATTTGTCAATGTTTTTACCATTGTAGATAAGTTGGTTGTATTTCTTCGACCAGGCACTATTAAGAAAAGTGGTAGTCATCACACCACACCAAGGTAGATTTGTTTTCGTTGTATTCTGCATAACAAGTTGCCACTGTCGAGAGCTTGAGTTAAGGTCACTCTGTGTTTTCCTTGACTGAGGCCCATACTTGATACAAACCATTAGAATGACGTGACAGTGTTTAAGCCAGCCGAAGTTAACAGGTTCAAGTAAAGCTATTAAAGGTCTTTTGTTTAGTGCTCAGAAAATTTCACATACACTGTATTATTTGTGTAGCAAATGTGTAGCAAACATTATTTTAACAATATATTTACCAATTACAAGCTATGTGTGTCCTTATTCATCATAGTTTGAAAAGAAAGGACCCTTCTTGAACAAGTCAGCCGTGAGATTTATTTACAGTATATACATGATATAATGTAAAGTTTGTTTTTAAGTTAACACAGTGTGATTGAACTGTTTACTTATGCTTATGTTTTTGCCAAAATGTCCCAATTTTTTGGTGAAAAGAATCGATGTGTGAATAAAGATTTTATCTACTGTGTTGACATTGCCTTGCCCGATGTTTCGTACATACCATTGCATCATTACTTTGACTGATGAGATAACCTCCAAAATGGTCACGATGCAGAGGTATACTTGAAATTTTGAGTTATTCTCTGTCTGTGTTATCCACGTTGCAGGGCCCTGTCATCTCTGAGCACGCTCAACTTGTTAAAGCCATTACCCATAGGGCCAGGCCCTAGCAGCCAATCGCCAGAGGTCTTGCCATCACTATTGCGCAACTTCTACAAAGAGAGGGAAAAGGTGACTGAACTTTTCCTTTTTTCAACAGCAAAGACAGAGTAGGAGAATAGCACATTATAGCAGACCCTTCCAGAACTTACATATGGACTGCTTTCAAAGGAATTAATGAGCCAATTTGGCTAAATTGTCTTACCTTTAATCCTCGCATTTCCCATTTAAAGTCATTAATTTAAACTTACAGAATAATTTTGATGAAGAAATCATATAATGAACAGCGATAAAGTAGAACAAATCTGCCTACATTGTGACTGAATTTGTTTTTAAAGTTTGTGTCGATTTAATGCCATTTTACTAAATCTGGGAACATTGTACTAGTTCTAGGCACTTTTTATACAAATTATAAACTTACACTGCCTCATTGAAGTAGTGCGTACATTAATGATTGCCCCAAAAAACACTCCATACATAGTCTGCTTTCAGTTTTCATTTATGTTTTCTTTTACAGAAACAGCGCCGGATCGGTAAGCATCGCAAGAAGACCTTTGGTTCTGACCCCTCACTGCCTTCCAAATCCTCCACCACTACTGGTAGTGCCACGGCTAGCAGCCTTGTTGTTCTGTACAGCGCAGTGGGTCTGACACCGGTACACCAAGAACTGGCCAAGAAATACCAGTAAGTCACATCATAGAAATGTGTGTTTTCTTACTTCGTGGTCACATCGAGTTACGATGGGTGCAATCAGAGAAGTGAATGTATTTTGTCGGTCACACCACAAACTGATGCAACATGGATAGTTGCTGCACCAAGATGTGATGTATTGTGCACACAGTCCATACACAATACATCACTCTGTGCTGAGGCAAAAGTATCATATTTGTCGGTTCATTGCTCAAAAATGGAGATGGGGATGGTCCCAAATACCCTGTGAAAAATTTCCACCAGAATCTGTTGCGATCAAAAGAAACATTTGTTGAAGAGTTCTTGAATACTTATGTTACGTGCGATAGAATCCAGTTACAAGACCATGAAATTGTGCATGTGTTTTCTCTGTTTCTCTCAAATTGTATACATGCAGTAGCAACTGAACACCAATTTATAATAGCGAACTGCCACAGATTAGTTGTTAGGGACCCTGCTTTTAATGTAAGATTATTGAGCAATTGTGTTGCTTCTAATAAAAATATATAAAAAGTGCAAATGATTCTCCACACGAAGGGTTACACCTGGTCATTTGATAATTCTTCTCTGCTGTATTGTTATTGTTTCTTACTTAGGTTTATAAGACACAACATTCCCCTGATGTGCACCTTGAATGCTGAAGCAGCCGCCTCCGTTGGAAGGACAGACCTTGTGCAGGTAAACATACTGAATATGCATGATCTAGAATTAATATTCATGAATTGGCCATGACCCTATAACCTTGCTGGTGAAGTTTGTGTCTGAACTTTTCCTGTTCAGTTCTTTGTCGAACAAAATGTTACGCCTGAAATAATCCATTATAATAATACGTGTAACACTAGCTGTATACCAGTTGTGTCCAGAAAATTTGAATTTCTGGTGTTTTTTTTTTACATTCATCATGTTTTGAAATGTTTGAGACAGTGATGTCTTTTTGAGTACCATTGTATCTTCCAAAGTTTCAAATGTTCATTAACTCTAATCCATTTGATTGTTTCGCAAGAACAATTATATTTCCCAAATGCATGACTAGTATACATATATACAATGTAGCTCCAACTGCTTAGGTCCTGAAGTCTTGGGTCCTCCAGTCTGTGTTTTTTTATCTGAATTAAATTGCTGGCCCTGTGCTCTTCAACCACGTTGCTTCTTTTTTTTAATAAATTTCCTGCTATCTGAAAAAAACCCAGTTTTTATTTAAGGCACAAACAGATCTGCCTTGTGAGCAGACTGGCTCCCAGTCCACAGTTATCCAGGATACTGATTAACCAATCCCGTAAGAACAGAATTATTTTTTGGCCGCAAGTAATTAAAAACTGTAAAGTAATAATTGAATAACTAAACATGGGCTGATATTTATGTTTTCTGTCAATGTCTCATTCAAAAGTGATTTTTTTTTTGTATTGCTTGAAAAATCGAAATTCAGAAAAGGAATCTATTTATCAGGATGAAACTCAGAAACAGCACAGGGAACGCAACTTAAATACGTAATGTAACTATACTATCACATGAACTGAATCCTGCAAACTGTGCAAATATGCAGTGAACTTTAAGAATTTGTTGATATTTCTTATGATGTGTAGGTGTGGTCTTTAGCTGCACTATCCAATAGCAGTGAGTTGCAGCCTGACTCTGATGCCGACGGGGAAACGCCGTGGGCCCAACATCCATTTGGGCGACAGCTGCTACAAACATTGTACGTACATTTCTGGAAATCACTTTGTTAGATGTGTCAATCAACCAGCAATCAAATGTTGGATCCATGTTGAAAAATACTGGTTTCAATATGAAGGAGGTTTAATTAACCCCCGACTTTGTGTGTGACTTCTACTTCATTAAACCATTGCTATGACGTCACACTATTGTTAAAAGTGTGGATTCGGAACTACGAATCTGTTACGCTGGTCACAAAGTGTGGATTTGGAACAAAGAATCTTAAGTTAAGTGTGGATTCGGAATTACGAATCCACACTTTGAACACGTCGGACAATTGTTCTCTATAATGAGCATTAATAGGACCGTCTGCGTGAAAATTTCCTTCCGCAATTACCAATGCATCTTCCCTGTCAGATTCTCCGCCGTCACTGCAAAACCTACTTCGAGTCAGAAAGAAATCATCGTCTGAACTATCAATTTGTCAACGGAAGGAGCCGGGACAAATGTTGCAACCTGACGCCACTTTTTTTCTCCATATATCATCTCAATGAAGGGCATTCATTGCAAAAATGATGATAAGACATGAATCTGGGACTGAGAAATATTTCCAATTTTGTTAGGAAATACTTTAAAAAAATTATTGACTCTCCATAGACTTTGTACACAATCGCGGAAGTGGCGTCAGGTTGCAACATCTATCCCAAATCTTTTCATCTCCTCTCACTGTTAATGCCAATACTTCTTTTGACGCAATGGTTTAAGTCGAAGAATACACTCGCAAGTGTGGATTCTTAATTTACGAATTCACTCGGCGCTTCGCGCCTCGTGAATTCTTAAATTACGAATCCACACTTTCTCGTGTATTCTCCTTAACTGAAAGTATCAATTGGAACTTCATAAGCAGTCATAGGTTCACATCCCACTTCGTCAGATTTCTACGTCCAACTGAAATTTAAATTGATGATTACATCAGCCGAATCAAAGTACATGTACTTAGCTTTGTTGAATGGGAAGTAAGCATGGCATGTCGTTCATTCTATAAATTTAGGTTCCAAAGTGTGATATTTTCCTGTCCCTGTTTACCTTGGTACTTCAAGTATCATTAGTAATGATTTCAAATGATTTATTTGTTGGGTAGGTATTTTGCTATTCATAATCACTCTTGGAGGACGACTGTGAGTGCATCAGAATTATAAAATTATAGATATCAGAAAAACAGGGACGGGGAAAAACATTAGCCTTTAGTTTATAGAAAGACCCACATCTGAATCTGATGCTGGTGACAACAATTTGATGGGGTTTGTTTTCACTCGGGCTTAAGAACACTGTTCCGGTGCTGACTCAACTCAGCCGTCCATCCAAATTAGGCTACGTCTAGGTTCATTGGGCACTAGTAGAAAGCCCTTTACCTTGGTGGTTCATTCACTGATTTATAATAATAATAAGAAAACTGCATCCTTACTGAGTGATCCCTATTTGTTATTTGCCAGGTTTGAAGCATCACTAATATGGTTATCCTTTTGACTTCAGACACGATCTCTGGCAATGCAGCACATGAGCCTTATTCACGAGTTGGCTATTTTTGTTGAGTTACCTGAACGTATTTCATTTAGTGTTAACTGTTCAATGGGATGGCGCCAGACTAATTATGCAGGCACAATACAGCATTATTTTACTGTCTTTTGTTTTTAATCTGGCTTTAAACAGGGAATTTTTTGTTACAAAATTATTCATTGAAGCAGGCTGGAATTAATTAGGAATTAACTTGCTTTCATTTCTCTCCATAAGTTCCAAAAATTAAGATTTTACCTCACTTTCAATTCAATATGGCCGATTCGTGAATAAGGCCCATGAAGCTTTGTGGTTCTGACAAGCACTTTGTGAGCAACGACGTCGACAATTTGCAAATCAGCTAAATGAGACGAGAAATCTCAGTTGGTACAGGATTGGTATAGTGTTCCAGAGGTTTCAGATGCAAATCCTAATCATTTATCTATATAATAAGGATCTTAAGTAATTCATTGTAACTCAGTTAGTAGGGCACATACATGTAGGCAGTGAGGCCTACATTATTTACCCAAAATCAGTTTTCCCTCTCTCTGATTAGATTTGACCATTATAGTAGCCTGCATGACGTCCAGACTCTGGCCATGCTCAGCTGTGCTTTCGGTTCCATCTCAATCCAACCCAGTCTGCCAGCTGGAGGCAGCAGCCAATCACAGGACGTCAAAAGTGTAAGTCTCATCAAACATAGGTACAATCAAGTGAAAGAAGGGAAAGAGAGTTACCGTAATTTTCGGAATATAAGCTGCGGCTTATGCATTAATTTTGCCCATGAAAATGTTTACTGCAGCTTATACACAGGGCGGCTTGTATGCTGAGCCTTGAAGAATAAAAATGAGATTTAACGAGTATCGACCGTAAATTTTTTGATATAACTTTTTTTGGCCCTTTTTTATAGCTTTCGTAGTGCAAATTGAACTGGTCCAGAGCTTTTTTACTTTAGAATTTGGAGGCCTTATTTTTTACAAAATTGAAACCGCTGCGGTCGGTGCAGCTTATACTCAGCGCGGCCTATATTCCAAAAATTATGGTAGTTACATTGTAACTTGTACTGTTGATTGTTAGGACTTATTTTATGGAAGACTTTCTGGTTTATCCACTGAGCTCTTAACCCTAACCTTCCCAACTCTAGCAAAACCCATCCCCCCTTCCCATTTTGGTGGATTGTGGGGGACTTAGTCCTGCAGCCCTGGTTTGGCTAAATATTGATGGAGTATGAATGACATTGGCCTTGAGGCATACAGCAATGCATGCAAGCAGTGTGATTGATGGATTGTGGCAGACTTGGTCCAATACTTAGTTAAAGACAGTAGGGAGTTAGGGTTAAAGTAAAAAAAAAACTCAGGTTTGTAATGTGTATGATTTTAGACAAAAAACCTCAGGTTTGTAATGTCTATGATTTTAGACACTCTTCACAGTCTCATTTTCTTCATCTGTTGGTAGTATCTTGTGACAGACAGCTCAGATCCAATCTTCACCAAGGAATGGTCCAATGAAAAGTCGACCCAGGGGATGAGTTTCTCAGAGTCGCCTGACGATTATCGCTTCGGTGAGAACAGAGACCCGGAACAGATTGAGAAAGAGCAACACCGTCTCAGCACAAGGTGAGAAATAACTGCATTATTGTCATGGACTCCGTGCACAAGTACCCCCTCAAGGGTTACAAAGGAACAAGTACCCCCTCAAGGGTTACAAAGGAACAAGTACCCCCTCAAGGGTAACAAAGGAACAAGTACCCCCTCAAGGGTTACAAAGGAACAAGTACCCCTCAAGGGTTACAAAGGAAGAGTTGGGGAGACTACTAGGAGGCACATTGGAACGCATTGCTGACATTGTCTGACACTCACATCAAGACGCTACAGGTTTATGATCATCCAGAATAAAACAAGCTGTGCTTACTTTGCACCATATTCGCATCAACCAGTATGCGCACCTTACGTGTCCCTCTCACTGGAGACACAAGTTGCTATCTACTCTTCGTGCTTTCGAGCTTCAGATACAAAAAAAAAATGAACTCATACTCATACTCATACTTCAATTCTGTAAATGTGCCATCCATTCACATCATGCACAAGTGCATGAATGTTGGGCTTCTCAAGTCAGATTTTCTTCTTCTTTTTTCGGCACAGTCACAGCAGTGATTGGGAAAACATCATGGGGGGGGGAAGGGGGCCTGAATGGATCAGTCTGTGGCTTCACCAGATTCAGGTTTCTGATTCTTGAAATCAATATTTCGTTGTCGTATTTTTACTTCCAACATATTTTTTATGTCACTATACTCTCAATGTGTCTCCTGCTTACTAGTGCAGACGTCTTAACCACTCGACTACTGAGTTTGCTGAGGTCAGCTGGCTGATTCACATTATAAAAAAAACACATCGATGAAGGGCAAAACCCAATGTTGAGTTTATATTGCTCGATTCAATCCCTTCCTATAAACAATTCTTAATCTTCACAGACTGTTGGAGCCTTGTCTAACTGCCCAGTTTGATGCCTTCAAGAGGAGCTATGCTGACATCCTGTATCGATGGAGACTTCTCAATGAAAGAGCCCAGGTTCTCAACTATGTGTCTTGCCCATCTCATACTAAAATCGACCTCTGTGAGTTCAGCTTTTTTGTTGTCTTTATTTTCAAGAATTCTCTTTCAATAAATCTATTAGAAAGTATTATCAGCGAATCAAGTAAAACCAAAAATATTTTGGTTTCAGACAGGCAAAGTTTTGTATTAGTTTTTCCTGTGACAAGAATCATGAGTCACTTCAAACCACTGCAAATCATTCATTTATTTGACGTCTTGTGCGGATGGTCACTCCTAACAGTTTCAATTGTCAAACTTAATTCCAATCTGATTTCAATTAGAACAATAAATTTTAGTTTGATTTAGGAAAGCCATTTTTTTGTACAGAGGGTTTTAATAGTCTTATCTTTGATAAATTAGTCCCTGACTTAGTGATGATATTTAATTTGATGATGATCTTGTTTTTGCACCCAGCCTTTTCTGATTTTGGAGTGATATGCCAGAAATGCAACAAGCGATCCTACAAGGTGCAGTGTGAACACTGTCGGAGTTACAGCTTCCAATGTGCAATATGCCACACGGCTGTCAAAGGTATGTCATCAAGTGTGACTGTGTAGGAGTTTAAAGATGCTGTACCCAATATGTACCCAATATGTTCAATTTGTTTTCTCCCAACACATTTCCAATTTGTATGTTTTATTTCTCTATTTTGGAGGTTTTAAAATCTCTGAAAATATGTTTTTTATTATTGGTTGCTTTGCACCCATAACACCAAAAAGATACTTAATTATTGTCGGGCAGTAACATGTTTCAAATTTTGTAAAGTCACCAGTCTCGAGACCGCTGATACCACCATAATCAGAGTCCAACAGTTTGGGTGTAGCCAGTTTATCATATGGTGTTGGGTTTTGCAAGAGTGGGGAAGGTTCCTAGTAAATCACTGAATGGGGTAAGGGTTAAGAATCATTGCTAATCATTGAAGTTATAATAGTGGCACATTTACAGCTGAAAAAGTACTTTTACACAAAGTCCTTTGGAAAAATAACACTCTAGAATAGTAAAAATTATTCCCAATTTCCCATTACTTTCAGGGTCCTCAAGTTTTTGTCTGGCGTGCGGTCACGGTGGGCATACCAGCCACATGCTACAGTGGTTCAAGACAGAAGACGTTTGCCCAACAGGCTGTGGCTGCCAATGTCAGGCAAATACCAAGCTAGTGTGTGAGAAGAGTCCACTGTCCACGGATCCAGTAGTTACTAGGTGACGACTCACGTCCAAAAAGGAAAATGCTGAGTAGATGAGGAGGCCATTCAATGCACCAAGATTTATTTTCTACAGACACTCAGCGAAATCATCAGTCCCTTTTTTAATAATGTGGTGCTTATGTAGCACTTCATACCAAAATGTTAAAGCTAGAGTCCATCATTTGCAGCCATCCGAAAGTAACTGGCGTAATTATTGTTGAAAAACAAACTTGGTTGAAAGATAGTAAGGGAACTAAACTCCCCGTGAAATTATTCTTTCTGGGAAGCTGTCATTTTGAAGTAATCAACGAAAGAAGGCATTTCCAACGGTGATTCTTAAGAAGCACCGTAGGAAAATTTGAATTAGTAGTTCGTTTTGTTATTCAGCGCAACGCGCACAAGTATTGGAACGACGCACACGCACGCGCGGTTGTTATAATTCGTCGGATCAGTGCGCGACGTCGCGTATAGCTGCTATTCAAAACAATTCAAAACATGATTCAGTAACTTTTGATTTGAAATTGAGATCTTAGAATGCTGTTTTTCTCGGAATGTACAGCTGAAGCTCAGCTGAAACTTCATCAGGTTAGTTGCTCAGTATCCTTCATTAGATTTTGAACTCTTTTGTTGCTTCAAACGAACAAAATGCACAAATTACAAATGATGGACTGTAGCTTTAAAGTGAATCAAAACGATTACAACTGTTCCTCAGGCCATGAGACCTTTTTGCTGCAACAGCTCAAGATCAGTCCAATCTGTAGGCATGCAAGATTTCCTTGGATCAACTGATTACTTCATTTTTCACTTGACATTTATGCCGTTAAAATTTAAAAAGACCGTATAAAGTCTTGTAAAGCTTGGAATTTCCTCTCTTTTTTACGGTCCCATGCCATAATCTGGTCTCTACCCTCGCAGGTACCCATTTATACTCCGAGGTGGAGTGAGGCAATTGCAGTATAGTGTCTTGCTGAAGACCACAAACACCATGTTCCTGTCAAGATTTGAACCCATGTACATGCACCATCCTACATGAGTCGAATACCATTATGTAAGCAACAAATCACAGCACCCCACATTTTTACACCTGTTCCAGGGTTGTGCCAACACTTTCTTCCCTTGGATTTGAATTTAAATATATGAAACTTTTGACTTTTGAAAGCATAAGGAGCAGCTAGTCAGTGTAAAAATTTATCACATGAAGTTTGCTGGTTTGAAACCACAAAAATTAGTGCTATTAATCCTTTAAGCAGTGCCCTACAGTAAGTCGTGAGGTAAAACCAAATTGTATTTCGGTATGTCAAGTAAAATTTTATTTTGGATAGGTGATGTTGAACTCTTAACAGAAAAAAATGAGGATGAATTCACAAATTAGTTGTAATCACAACCACTCATTGGAAAGACAGAACTTCCGGCAAATTTAATCAGAGCCAACGCTTGTGGGGGTAAAGGGAGGATTTACAGCAAACTCGAGAGCAGCAGTGGGCCATTTTTCTCCCTCTAAAAATCTCTAAAAAAATAACTCCAAAACAAACTTATTCCTTTTATTTGTAAACTAATGAAACCGAGTCTTTCAGGTATGTTAGTTACAATGCATTATGTTGTTGTACCCAACCCCAACTTTCCTGCAAGCTAACCCCCCCTCCCCCCCCCCCCCCTCCCTCCCCCTTCAATCCATCTTCTGACCAGTTGTAGGGGAAATTGCGTTTGGCAGTATGGTAGCCTTGTCCAGATATGCCCTTGTTTTCAACTGACCAAAACTGAATGAATACCTTCTTTTCAGAGCAACATAACTTGATCTGTTTCCAATTTTTGAAATGTCTTCCATTGTATGCTTTATTGTCAGACAGTATTACATTGTTCATTGATCAGTTGCTGTTTTGGAACATGTAGCTTTTAACTTTAAATTACTTTAATGAAATCATCAAGTTGCAAAAATAAGTATTTTTTTAGATATTACCCTGTTTTCAGCATTGCTAATGTTGCCTAGCATAGAGACTTTAGGCGTGAACCCTGGCTGCATGTCATATGGCTTCTGACTTGCACGCATTGAACAGAGACATTGACAAACTGGGGAACTACCAACATAGGACTGGATAGCTCAGTTGGTAGAGGTAGTTGGTTGCAGGTTCAAACCCCGCTCCAGTCAATTTGTTTGTTCAATTTTATACTTTTTACAATCAGACATTAAAAGAGACTCTTCAAATGTACACTTATAAACCAATTAAATTGGCCAATACTATAATGGCCATCAAATTTTAATTATTTCTTTTTCTTAAGGTTGTTTTTTTTTCTGTGCTGATTTTCTGAAAAGGAAACCATGTGTTTGTGTATATTTCATTACTTTCAAGTCAAACTTGCTGACTAGAGGAAAATTGTGCTTAAATGGCAAGTATAAATGTAAATCCCTTAGGTTGGATTGATCTGTTTTAAAAACGAAATTGGAAAGTTAAATGATTGAGGTGTCAGAACTCTAAACATATTTTCCTATATTTGTTTTGTTACCGTTTGGCTGTGTGAAATCCTGGAATATAATCTATATTAATTTTGATACGAAGTAGATCGAATAAATTCTTGCAAAGTTATATCAATAATGTGTCACAATCTTTTCGATAAGTGTGTCGAATTGTTTTCCAACTTCGTTGAAAATTCGTTTAGGAGAAAAAATCGACATTCAACTTGAATAGAGCAATGAGAATTGCTCCTTGTTTAGTTATGGAATATTTAATTTTAATACAAATTTCGAAAATTTGCGACCCAACAATAATTTAGGGGCATCATCTTGTCTGCGCAAAAGCAACCCCAAAAATAGCGTGTGCTTTTCAGAGGGTTGAAAACGTCAAAAAAAGAAGAAAAAATGGCTTTTCCGTTGAACTAAATTATACAATTTCAAAATTCGTTTAGGAGAAAAAATCGAATAAATTATGTTGAAGAGCACGTGTAGAGCAACTTTAATGTCAAAATAAACAACAAAAACAAAAGCATGTTATGACGTTACACAAAGAGAAGAATTGTGGGGGTCCGCTCATAAGTCTGACGCCTCGTATAGGTTCTAGGTCCGACGGCTCAAGCCAGACGCCTCAGCTCTTCAGTCAGACGCCTAAGTCCGACGGCCATTATTAATTAATACAAACATTGCGCAAAATGTCAGAATGCGCCCCTAATTGATAGAGTTAGCGATTACACATTGTCGTAAAAGAGACTCTTCGGTAACCAAATTAGAAAATTCGGTAACCAAATTAGAAAATAAAATTCAAAATGTTATAAAATATACATTTTAGAAATTATGATCAGTACATTTGACCAAACACATCAAAAATGCATTTTGTGATAAAAATAGCACGATAGTTTGAATTCCCAGCGATTCTTGCCAAGATGTTAATTTTAACCTTTTTACCCAAGCCCAAGCCCAAGCTCTTTGTGAATGCCAATTAAATATTAAATCTACCCGGCAATTTCGATTGGATAATTGATTCAGCCAACTGACTCAAATATCAATGTAGTATGAATATGCCTTGTTATTACAATGAATGTTTGCCTTAGCCAATCGGAGAACACTATTTTGATGACGTCATACAGATTTAAACCCAATATTAGGTAATCTGTTGACTTTTTATGTTGCCATTTAAAAACTGACCCCTACACCTAGGCACATCAACAAGAATCCTGATCCCCTTCCATCATGCCCATCCCCAACCCTACCTTCAGCCTCCCTTCCTGCCTTGGACAGCGAGCCATGGCGGCTTCGCCGTTCTAGTTTGTATTAAATTAACAAGAAATAAGAGGAAAAAAATGAGTGTTAGTTCGTGAAACCGAAAAGGCTGCGAAACTGTAAATTTTCGTTTTCACGAAGTAACACTCTTCAATGTATTCAACACGAGGAAAGTGCAACTTCAGGTCAGCGCGCGCGCGCTCACACAACTTATTACAAGAAGAGTGTTACTTCGTGAAAACGTTTTTGCTCACTTATGAGCAGAGTGCGCGCCATGCATTTCAATGGTAACTTGGAACTTGAGTGTTACTTCGTGAAAACGAAAATTGTCACTTTTGCGCAAAAGTTGCCATGGACACTTCGAAACTTCGTGCAATGGTAGGCCTTGATGAATAATGTTTAACAATCCAAAAAACTGAAAACCGAAAAAAATATGGTTTAACACGGTAGAGTGTTACTTCGTGGTGTCGGTGACGCCTTATCTAAAACACGTTAAAGTTGTGCAGCAGCAGGATTCCAGTCAAACCAGTGAGTTTGGCGGTTTTAAGACATCATCTTTGATTGAAATTTTTTTTTTGCATTTTGCCGACGCGCATGGCTACGGCGACGCGCGCGCATACCAGAAACCGGAGACTTTTTTTGGGGGGGGGGGGCCTAACAGAATAATAGAAGAAAAATAAATGCGGAGTAAGCAGAGTATTAATGCCACACGCGCATTGTTTTGCAGGGCAAATTGGCCCACATTACGCGCTGCACTAAATTCGTCTCAGTGAAAACTGAAAATGCCACACGTGCTTTGTTTTGCGGGGAAAATTGAATTTGTCTCTTCGTAAAAACTCAAACGCCTGCAAGCGCGTTGTTTTTGCCCCATAGAACATTAACTGTGATACTTGGAATTTGTCTCTTCGTGAAGACTTTAAAAACGATGCAGGTGAATTTTTCCCTACATTAATTGCCATGATTTCATTGATTTAAACTGATTGTGACCACAAAAGAAATTGTCAAAAGGTTCGTTGCTGTTTACTTAACCGATTTCGCCAGCGGAAAAAGAATTTCGAATAAAATATGGATTTTGGCCTAATTCGTCCCTTCGTGAAAACGCTGACGATAATAACCCTTGCGTTTTAAAATTTTCATCCAATCCCCAGGTACATTTTCATAAGGGTAACAGACGTGAGCTTACTATTCAGCTCAGCTGACCAATACCGTAAGGTATGGTACGAGCCCCCCCCCCCCCCCCCCACCCCACCCACCCACCCACCCCCACACACGCACATATTGCTTTTCGGAGGACAAGTGTCCGGAGAAAAAAAACTGTCTACATTTCATACTGTCATACTACGAGTTATGACACGTACCCGGACCCTTCGACTTGCTCAGCCTGAAGAGGCGTGTTTTGTCAGTTTATTACCGGTAACAATGAATGCACGAGGGGTCTACTCATAGTATCCGTGTTGAACAAAACCATACACCTCAAAGATGGCTTCAGTGCAAACCGTCTATATAATATAGGCGAAACACACCGCGGCTGAATTACTCAGTGGCTACGGCTTGCAACTACCGTACCCGTGCCAGCAGAACACTGCCATACGTACGTACGGCCTAAAACGCCCTCTCTTGAATTATTTTTCATCGCCGAGATCGAGAGGATCGAAGGATTGAATACCCAACAACAATCTAAAATGAAAACACCACCATAAAGTAGAAAACAAGTTGCTAGTTTTATTTTAAAAAGGACATCTTTGTCTTGTACCAATTAACTCGCTTTTGGGTGCGTTTGTAAACTTGTGAAAAAGTAAAATCTTCGTGTCAGCAATTTACCACAGAAAAGGTCACTTAACAGGACGACACCAAAATTCCAAAATAGGGGGTCAAACGTGTCATTCTGTCCAATTAATCGGATAAATTAATTAGTTAAGATTACATTTGTAATATAGACCGATAAAAATTCCTATATACACAAATAAATTAAAATTAATACTTAAATTGAGTTCATATTTTTAGAAGTAATCGGTCATTATTCTATTGAAAAGAATCACACCCCTTCTTTGGACGGTACCATTGTAATTGCAGTTCCCGGATGGCTGGTGATTCCAGACGAAAATGTAATGGCGGCTGTACAGGTGAATTTGGAAAAAAATCACAGTTTGATGGTGGGTATTTAGCCGTTCTCCCGATATCGGAGGAGAAGGACCACATCACCATGGTGTGTAAGAAGGAAGTTATCAACTGGTTCCGTGATCTCAGAGCCTGCAGGAGGATAGAGTTCCTGTGTGCGTTGATGGATTGCTGCGGTCCACTGGAATTACGGTTTCTGGGAACGTACATCGAGGATTTGGGTCGGCGAGATTACGAGCGGCTCCGCGAGATGGAACTTCACGCAAATGATGTAAACTATTTGTCCAAGTTGACCAACATTTCAGATATACGGATACTTGATAAAGTACTAACGAGCCTGGCGCTTATGTATTCAACTTGTAAAGATGGTGCAAGGGTGCTCTTTAAAACTCTGAAAGAGCACACCAACACTATTTTGAACGGAGCCCGGGAGCCGTGTTCTGAGACCCACGAGAAAGTTGTTCTACTTGCCGTTATGGCTTTGAACCACCCAGCATTCACATTCAGTGAGAAGCAGGCCCTAAGAACACAGCTTTCAGCGTTACTACAAGCCGTTGAAAGCATTGCTGTGGCACCTTCCGATGTGAGTGCTTGAAGTTGAAGAGTTCATCAGCTCATGAATCGCTAAGCCTCAAATGTTGTCAGTTGTTGGCTCTTGTTAAGACCTGTTAACGTGGCGTCAATTTTGCCAGTATTATATATTTACGTAATGAAGCTTTCTGTGAATTCACGCGAGCATAAGATCTTGCATTACCAAGTAATTTGAGGGGAAAAATGACCTCAACACAACAAATGTACATGCAGAACTTTTGATTTTTTTTAGGTCACAACACGGTATGCTGGTACTGGTAGAGGTACTCCGAGTCTACTTCTAGAATTAGAAGGCACCTTTCCATTAGCCTTAGTTTCTAGCATTGTGATTTTTTGGGGGGGTCAGTACACTATGGCTTATGCACTTTGATAGACCAAATACCTTTGTCTGGAATTCCAATTTCTGAAACACAAATCCACCCAAAAAGTTGCCCTGGTTGATCCATAACTCTCAAATGTTTTGGAACCATTGACATTTGGATCATGGGACAATTTTTTTGGTGGAAAATCTGAGTTTTTACTCGCCAGCCTCGCGTTTCCGATCTGACGCATACACAGGTCACGCTGGGATGGAAGGGGGATTGTTTGCATTGCATCGTGTAACAGTAGGGGTGCTGTGGTCCAGTGGTTACAGTGTTCGATTCGTGTGCCGTGGTACATGGGTTCGAATCCTGACCGTTGAAGCATGGTGCTTGTGCTCTTGAACAAGGCACTTTACCCTTATTGCTTCGTCCTTCGGATGGGACGTAAAGCCGTAGGTCCTGTGTGTTGTGTAATGCACGTTAAAGTAACACTTATCGCTAAGAGAAGGGGTTTGCCCCGGTGTTTCTGGCAGTGGCTGCAATATGCACCGCAGCACCTTATATACCCTTGCTTCATAATGGGTCTCATATTTCTCATACACTTCATTTACTTGCTGAACGCCTTGAGTACCTAATTGTTGGTAGATACGTGCGCTATATAAAACTCCGGTAGTTAAAGTAGTAGTACTAGTAGTACATATATTATGGACGTCATTTTGGCGCGCTGAATACGCTGCGCTGTATCGTTACAAGTTGGTGGACTGTTTTTAAATTTGACAAAAATGGGATAAAAAGATCCATCAGTAAAACAGTCCACCAAAACTGACAACTTGTTGTTGACCATACAGTGCAGCATTATCAGCTCGCCAAAAGACGTACATGTATTATGTACTGTTGCAATGCAAAGCATACAATCCCCCTTCCATCCCAAATGGTCTAGACGAATGTAGAGTTTACCTGCTGAGGTCACGCGAAGATCAGGGCATTTCCAAAAGCCATAACGTACTGACCCCCGAAAAATCACAATGTTAGAGGGCTAAGTGCCTTCTAAATTCTAGAAGTACTCCGCGCAATGCACGCGCAAAATGGTAGCAGTCGTCCTGTTACCCGTACAATCTCATGCATCGAGTGTGTCTACGCGACTCTGGAGTGTGGCTATGCACAAATGTATACTACCAGCCACGTTCACGGGTACCAGGTCTAGCTCCTGTTATGTTAATTGAGATGCCCCCTATGGACCCAGATGCTGGACTACTATGTGAGATACTGTGCTGTCTGGAGGGGGGAACCCTTCTTCCCTCACTCCCCTTCCCTCTGCCCCCTCCCCCTCCAAGTGTATACATAATAGACTAGGAGCTTATTATTGAGACCCATTTAGAAGAGTGACATCGTCATGATGTCACCATCATGTGACGCCATCTTAAAGGTGCATATAAAAGTAGCATTGTGTTTTGTGGTTTTTAGAGATAAGGTACAGGTACATTGTACATTCAAATTACCAAAATGGTGCACACATTTTACTGATAAACACTATTGTCTTTCAGTTCTGACTGAAGGGAGAAATTTGACTAAATACAAGTATTTCTCTTTAACCCTCCTATGGAAACATGCATTGTCAGCCTGGTTATTACTTTGGTCAATATTGGTCTACCCCCATTGGTTTGTACACAGTATGCCAGGAGGTGAGATACAGACATTTTGACCATTGGTGACCTCTTAAATAGTAGGAGAATTAATTTTAAAAATCCTTTATATGATTAGCAGGATGTTGATGATGAGGTGAACGGCATTACAGACATCACCAGTGCGTTGAAAGAGCCCTCAAACCAACTACTGAGGGAGGTCATTGTCACCCAGCCCCAGGCTCCTGAACAGGACCCCATTGATGCAGGAGAGAATGCACTGGAAGATGTGAGCTGTAATGATGGTTCTATGATGGGCCTGGACAAGGACAAGAACTTAAGTCCTAGAGACCCAGACAACCCAGGTATGATAAGTTATAGTTCATTTTTTGGTGTAATTTGAATATGTGGTGGATTGTTACAATTGAAGTTACATTTTGTCCGTGGATTGCCAAAATCTGGACTAGGGTTTCATATGTTTACTAGTCTTATTTCATTTGGATCTATGATACAAAAAGTGAGCTTTTTTGTATACATTTTTGTAGAAAATGTTGAACAACCCATGTGTTTACATCAGATGTAGCAGCAATTCTTTGCCTTGCCTATACATATTTCCAGCAATAAATAAGGCCCGCCCCCCAAAAAATAGTTCTGCTTCCGATTACATGCCTTTCAAAAATAGGGTCGGTACATGTAGGTCAGAATTTTTTTTTTGCCAATTTTTATGCTGATTGAATGGGGATATTCATTCATATGCGAATTTCGGCCTGAAGTATTCCCACTGCCCAACAAAAGCTGTACAAAAAATGGCCACAAAAAGTGATCAAAGCTTACCTTAATTATTGTTAAAGTATTTACGGTCGATATTTCTTTAAAAATAATGGAAATTCAGGTCGTGCACACCAAGCACAACGCTAGTCAAAACGGGAAACTGGCCAACACTGTCCGTACATCCCACAGTATAACTAAGCGTGTGTGGTGCATGTGCGTGCATGTGGCAGGCGACAAACCTCGTTTTTGACGGTAGGAAATTTTGGGGAAACACGTTGCATCATATCACTCCAAATACAAGTAGTACGACCTCGAAATAAATTCATGAACACAGAAAATACATACACATACAAGAGACATCAATTTCTGTTAATTAATTAAAATGTTTTTTCTCCATCGGTGTTATCTTGGCATTTTTACGATGTCTAATTCGACCGAACCTGCCGCATTAACAGTGCACCACCACGGTCATTCATTTATAAACTGGTTACCGCATTTCCATCATGCCTTCTTTGGCCCTTGTGCAGCGCGGCGGGAACCAGTCATCGCTGCATTGAGCTTTAATACGCACGTGTTTCGATATCGTTGATCGCCGAACTAGTTATCGCGAAGCGAACTTGGTAAAAACATACATGTAACAACGGAGATTTCTTCTCCAAACATTGCGAATTAAGTAGGCAATCAAGTTAATACAAGCATTTTTGACGCAAAATAGTTGTTGAAAGGTGTTTTGTGAAGACAGAAAAGACAACAGGATTTGTTTTTATTTATTCCTTTTTTTTTTTTTTTTTGACTTGCCGATAAAATGTTTAGGGTCACAGCCTAAAAATAGGGTTGGTCGGGTAACCAGAAGCAGAACTATTTGTTTTGTTGGTCTAAAGCAGTCAAATAAGGCCCCCCCCCCCCAAAAAAAAGTTCTGTTTCCGATTACATGGCATTTGAAAATAGGGTAGGTACCTGTAGGTAGGAATTTTTTTTTTTGCCAATTCTTTTGTGTACGATCATATGGAGGGGGTCTACATGTATGTGTAGTCAAGGGTAAAAGGTAGAAATTGATGGTTTTGGGTATTTTTTTCTCATTTTTTCCTATAAAAACTCTAGGGTAGGAGCTGTCAGAATAGGATAGGTAGGGAAACCGGAAGCAGAACTATTTTTTTTTTTGGCCTAAGATTGGCAATTCATACAATGTAAATTACATTTTACACACAATATTAATAAAAGGCATGTAGCTTTTTCTCGGGTAATCGGATGCATCATGCCCTCATTTTTCACGTTGTTTTGAAAAGCTTGGAACTTCCCCTTTTTTTGTTACTTCCTAGTTGCATGCCAGTATGTACGTATGTAAAGTGACAAGTCCATGCCACAATGTCATTTTAGAGATAAAAAATGGATATCTAGTGTGCTCACATTTGATTTGAAGGAAATAAAGGTGTTGAAATGTGAAATGACTACGGGTTGTGCTCTATAGCAGCTCTTTTATTTTTAGGACCAGTATACGTTTGTGTAATAATTACAGAAAAACCGTTGGCTTCCAACGTATAGTTACCTGAAGATGGATGGATGTCAATCTTCTCTTCTATTCAGCTATTATCATTGGTTAGAGCATTTTCGAGCCTATAGGGGCCTATTCTGGATGAAAGGGTCCCTTTATGTGGTGAGTTTGTGGGGACAGCATGGATTCAGTCTCTTCTTTGAAGAAGTACCGTACATGGTTCTGAAAAAAACCCTTTTTGAATAGGAAAGAGCAGTGGTTATTGCACAACATGTACCCATGGAGAAATATTTCTCCATGATGTACCGGTACTTGTTAACATTCAGAAAATAAATTTCCGAAATGTTCATGATACAAAAAAAATAATAGTACTGATGATGAAACACATGTACGTGTTTACACATTTGGATATTGATCGTCAACCATATGTTTTTGACATGCACACGTAGCAAGTGTATTTGTTTACTTTCACTTGCTCAGTGTAATCCACTGAGTGTTTCGCTAGATTTGATTGCACATTATTAAGGAAATCGACCCCAGATTCCCAGCTGGTGGGCTTTATTGTTGTCATAGACAATCACAGATGTGTGTGTATCCGTGTGTGAAGAGGAAATGTTTATTGTCATTCTGTCAACATTGTGAATACATACATGTACATGTACATGTAGGTGTAGTGTATTGTTAAGCTATTTAGCTATGCACAGATGAATGTACCGGTACCAAGAATGCTTTATAATAACTATTGATGTTTTCACTGGTGTGTAACTGTACATTGTAATTTCTGTGTTCTAAATTGCTAACAGTTTCAGTTTAAAGTGTTTTTTTTAAATGTTACATGTTTGTTAAATTTTTTATGTACAACAAAAACACATGTACACGTACAATACTTGTAGTACTGTACTGCACGTCTCTCAAGAGTCACATTATCACCACATTGTGCCTTCTGCACATACATGTACATTAATCAACCATTACATGTGAGGGACATGTATTTTATGTTCATACAAACAATGCATTTGTATGTCGACATTTTAGATTCATTACAAGTTGATTTTTCACACACTAGACATGCCAGAAAAAACGGATACAACAGACAAAGTCAACTGACACAAATGTATTGATTCCATATGAATTAACATTAAAGGTATTGATAAAATGCATTTATGAAAATACTGATTCAATTAATCCCTTTCATTCATTCACTCATTCATAAAACTGTGATTTAACCGTGTGGAGTCCAAATATAGAACTTGAACCCTAATAACCTTACCTGAAGCTACAAAATACTGAGTAGTAAACTACAATGCAGTACTTCAGTATTTAAGTGGGTTTCAGTATATACCGGTTAGTGGGCAAGTACAGCCCTGTGGTTGCGAAGGGTGATTTCTAAAGGTTAAATGAAACTACATGCACACAGACACGTTCATGTTGGCAGGCGAAATCTTTGCAAATTAATTTCTCCTGTTTAGAAGACCTTATCCTCATGCAATTTTCAGGGTTTAATTTTCTTATGATCCAATGATCCAAATATGTGCTAAAAATTGTTGTGATATGTTCATTACACCTTTCGTTGAAATTGGAAAAAAATAGGCCAGGCTACGTGCATTTTTGAAAGTTGTAACACATGGCGTTTGCAATATCTGTCAATCTTTTCAAGCTTCATGAATATTACTAAGGTTCCTATCCATTATGGTGTGCAGTGAAAATTTGGAGAAAAGCCTCCTTCACGAGTTATTAATTGAAATATCACCCATTTTGTAAGCTTCCATTGGTAGATGTACTGAGACCTGAAATCAGTCAACCGTAGCACATACGGCGCTATAGGATTTTTCCTGAAGACCATTCACTTTGGTTCGTTGGGAAAAAATTCTGGTGACGTTTTCGAACGATTTCTTCTCGACTTTAAGGTCAGCTTTACCAGTGACCAGTATTGACATTTTGGCATCGATGATGGCGATTTTTTAGTTTATAAATTTCTTCTAAAGCTTAGAATTTCTTCTTCCGATATAATCTTTCAATAATACTGAGCGTGTTTTTTAAGAAACACGACGTTCAAAAGGCCATGTTTTGGGGGTTAATGTTACAGCGTCTTAGTACATGTACATGTACATAATCGGATTAGCTTTGCTTAACAACTGATACGCTTTCACGTTTGCAACCACATGGCTGAGTATTTGGGTACTGCATACATAATTTATACTTTGTAGTACATGTATGTGGTACTTTACCCCAAAGTAAGCTTAAGAGGGTTGGGTTAATGCTGACGGTTCTGTCGTGTCGCAAGCAAATACCGTAGCAGGTCAACTTGACGGGCGGCTTAAAACAATTCATGTATTTTTCCCCCTAAATTAAATCCCTCCTTTTTTGGTTGGCAAATGCAACAAAGCCACTCCAGCAGTCAAAGTCAATCAAGTGACTGTTTGTAATAGTTTAGATTGATAAGCCAGCTGTAAGCTGTACCTACCGGTACCAGTTACGGTACCTCTTTTTAGCTGTTGATGGAATTTGACTAGTCACAGTGTTTACTGGGAATTTGATCCAACTGTTGGTGACTAGCCTGTGTGTAAAGGCATGGGAGGTGAAGAGATGGATTGTTTTTTTGACTGTCTGTGACTGTTCAGACTTTGATTTAGTATGAATGCTTCCGTAATTTCTGGGGTGTTTTTTTTTGGGGGGGGGGGGGGGGGGGTTAACACCAGGATGGGTAAAAATTCAAAGAAGACTTTAACAAAATGAAACGTTTTATCCTGTTAGTTTGTTTTCCCGTTTTACAGTTCTCATCTGCAATATTGAGGGCAAGGGCCTAAAGAGAAGACAATCAGATAAGCGATATGAGTACATCTTCTTGGTGAGTAGCAGGACAACTCTTGTTGGCAGATTTTTTTCTTACAATGTTAAGTTGTTAAACGTGCCAAGAGCCAACCTTTAAATTGCTTCCATATTAAGTTTTCTTTCCTTAAAAGCATTTGGAGACATTTCAATAAATATTTTGGATAAGTAGCGGAAAAGCTTATCTGCGAAAGGCCCACTGAACCAGACAGTAGTGGAATGATTCTGAAAATTTTTCCTAGAATCAATATTTTGTACTGTAACTTCACTGCGGGAAGACTTTGTTCCGATAGTTGCATTCCCCGTGTTATTTTTAGTTTTATCCTGAAAAAAAATCCTTTTTTTCAATTTCCTATTTTTCTACAATTCCAAAATTTTGTCACTTTTGAATGTGACATCGACCAAAAGAAATCGGTCCACCATGTCCACATGTAGTTTGAATTATTTTTTTTTAAATTTGAATTTACATGTACCGGTACTTGTGGCCCGAATGTCTGCTGGCAAGTTGGACATTTTTGTCCAAAATAAAAAATATTTTTAAAAATCAGAGGGTTGCAGATGCCCCCCCCCCCAAAAAAGTGTTTTGTCTGGAATAAAACATACATGTTGAAAATTTAAAATGAACAAATTATTAAAAACAAATTTGTTCAAGAGCATGGAGAATGTATCCAAACATACATACAAATGTACATTCTGTGCCAAGTAGTCCTTTCAGTCAAAATCAATCAAGTTGCTGTTTTCAACAGTTAAGAATTCCCAGCCTACATTAAGCAGGATTGACTGGCTGTGACTGTTTATGTAACTTGATACAGCCTTGCTTTGACTGTGAGTAATTAAGCCAGCTGTGCCCACAACTTGCCTGCTTTGTCTGTTCATGGTATTTGAACTGACTTTGCTTACTTGACAGCACTGTGTGATCTGACTGCTGGTGACTGGCCTGTGTTAAAAGTATCGCAGGGGAAGTGGATGAAAATTTTTTTGACTGTCTGTGACAGTTTAAATTGCAGGAGGGTTAAAGATACAAAATGAAAATTGCACTCGTTTTCCATGTTCAGGAACACCCTTGTTCATTGGAAAATGTGACCATTTATTTTTCTGACCATACATTGTACATGTACATGTATGTATGGTGATTAATGTATGGATGTACATACAGTACGGTGCTGGTGACCTACAAAATGTATTTCACCTGTCAGGAGTGACATTCAATATCAATTGATCATGCCAGTTGTTGACATGAATCTTCCCCTGATCTGTTCTCTCTGTACGTGTTGTAGGTTCACTGGTCGGATGGTATGGTCACCAACATAAGTAAGACACACGGCCAGCTGCTAGACTTCCATTGCAAGGTAATGTCAACCAAAAAGGTCTGGTCATGAATAGGGCCACTGATTTTCTGTTTCAAAAACGTCATTTTTCCCTTCAGGAAATTATTGATTCTGTGTCATCCATAATACTGTTTTTAAAAAATTCATGTGTGTCATCATAGTATCTATATTCCCCCCAAAATGACCTAACTAAGTTTTCCGTCCAGCAGTTTTCCGTCAAGAGTGCCCAAAGTTGTGCATTTTCCTTGAAATTTATTTGGGAGGGACCAATGCCCAGGTGGGACGCTTGCGCAAAGACACTACATGTACATGTACAATGTATGTGTTGATGCTCATTTGGAATAAAGTCAGTCATGTACCTTGGCCATACATACCGGGAGGCATGAAGTTTAGTGCACAAGGATTCTCGCGAGTCATGACAAAGCACCATCTACATGTACTGTTAATGTACTCGATAGTCCATACAGTGTACATCATGGCACGTGTATGTCAGGCGCGGTTCTAGAACCAATATTTTGGGGGGGCTAGCACGGTGAATCCAGAATTTTTTTTCAGGGAAGCGTGCTGAAATGTTGACCGGTTATTTTTTCCAGACACTTAGGCCTCCGAAAATCAATAGGTGGTGGTGGTGGTGGGGGGGGGGGGGGGGGGGCTCATGCCATATTTTCAATGGGGAGCGCCAATAAAATCCTAAAATCATTCACACTATAGCAAGGGCGGATCCAGAACACAATTGTTTTGTGGGGGGCCAAAAAAAAAATTTGTCCCCCCAAAAAATGGGACCAAACAATTACGGCGTGGGGTTCGGGGCCCGCTGAAGGGCCCAGAACAATTTTTGGATTCTAGATGCTCTGTGGTGCGATCTGAGGCAATTTCTGACCACTTTAACCAATTGTTTTTGAGGAAAAGATGGTGGTGTACTCATTGCCTGCCTTAATTGCGATGTCACATAAAAAAAACGAAAATTGGTTTCGTTTTTTTGGGGGGGGGGGGCTTGCACTATATTAACTAATGCACCCTTGTCACGGCTATTTCTTCTTTAGGGGGAGGACCGTTCACATGTACATCACAATCCTTCTTTTTGCTAATGCAATTTTTTTTTTACGGAATTTATTTTGGGGGGGCTAGACACAATTTTGGGGGGGCTACAGTCCCCCCTAGCCCCCCCCCCCGTAGAACCGCGCCTGGTGTACATGTACATGCTGATCTCCATGTTAAAAGTCTGGAAAGCTTGTTGGTCATTCCGAGCTGTACAAAAAAGTGAAGCTGCGCACTGGTTTCCGATTCTACCATTCAAATGTGGGGAGGGAACCAGCCTCAACTACTCCCATTCTTCAAATAATTAAGATAAAGTTGTCCAAAAATATATGAAACTTTTTTCTTTTTTTTCAGAACAGAAATTTTGATATAAAATATAGTTCGTTGCCATTTTAATTTATTTTAAAACATAATAATTTGTTGAGTATAAAGGTGTGCATGTTGATTCAATTATATCTTTCTTTACAAACGTATTGTTCATGGAGTGGTAATATGGCAGAAGGTGACTTCACTTCTTACAGCCAGTGGGCTAGATCCAGATGGATCAGTGTTACTACATGTATGTATGCACATGCACATGTACATGTATGTACATGTACATGCAGGCTGTTTATTTCCTTTGAGAAGAGTCGATGGTAGCCTTGCTTCTCAGTGATTGAATGTTGGCCTGGTCAAGCATACATAGGCTACAAGGAAGCGTCCATGGAGACCAGAACTCACTGGCCTTACCCTAAGGCCAGCACAGCTGGCAGCCCTGCTTGGAATGAACCAGAAATTTTAAGAATTTCGTTTTTGAAAGTTTGAGTTCAGTCATTTTGATAGTGTTGCAGTGTAAACACATGAACAGTGTGTACCTGTATGGGGTTGTTGTTCGTTTCAAATAAAATTGACATCCACAATGGGCATGTAACTTAAAGTTCAATGTAATCTCGAAAGTTCAGCACAAGTTGAAATTATTATATTGTTACTATTTCATTATTTACCGGTATATTAAAAAAAAAAAAAAAATTTACAAGTGGCATTGCTCAATTATATTTTGGGTGTGAATACGGTTTAAGTTTGGTTTATTATACCCAGTGATAAGGTTATGCAAGTTGTAATGGTTTATTTTAGGCTGTGGCAATTCCAAAAAAATAATTATTTATATCAATTACATGGGCATGTACATGTGTATGTCCAAGGGTCATTCTGCAGTGACTTCAAATTAACTCAGCCGGCAATTAAAAAAAAACATCATGGAAACCTCCACAATTTCAATAATGTATAGCACTGAACAAAATGCCTCTCTTAAACATAATCCCCGCATTTGTTAATCATCTATTACAGTGTACATAAAATACCGGTATGTATGTGGTCAAGTATCTGCAATGTACGTGTACATGTACACTGCACTTGTGTACTCTCAGGGGAACTCAAAATGGTTGCTGCAAGAGCTTGGAAGTCGATTCCTAAAATAATAAGGAATCCATCCTATTCGTTCCAATCTGGAGCTTTCCAAGCCTACCAGTGTAAGTATGCATACATACCCACCCACACACACATACTGCACATATGTTATTTGCAAAGAATTCCTTCTTGAACTGGCATCTTGAAATGTCACATTGTTCCATCACTAGTCATCACAAAAGTAGGAGGTTTGGCAATATACACGACTGTTAACTCTCTCTTAATTTTATGAAATCAAGTCCACTCGGTCAGCAGTGTAGCCAGTGTTCTCACCATGGGGGGAGGGGGAGGCAATTTCTGCAGCATCTGTGCTGAAAGGGAGACAGGTTTTTACATAAAATCGGGGGGGGGGGGCCACCATCTTTCTTTGGGGTGCTGTTCAGAACAGACACTGTCAGACAATAGCTGGCGCTCTTCAGGGCGGGACAATTAAAGGCGTTGACACAACGTTAAAAAGAGGCACAAGTGGAAAAGGACTGGCAAATTTCTGAGGGGGGGGGTGGTGGGGGAGGAGACAATTTTTTATGGGGGACGTTTATTCTAATGTAAACCTATCACCTACACATGTACTTGTACATGTATACATGTACATGGATCATGTACTGTATGTGAAGGCCATACTGTACTTGCCATTGGGGTATAAGATAAGCGATATTCAGACTTGCATGAGTCTAGCGCTATCTGCTTCTTAAGAACCTGCTGTACTTGTACACGCACACGTACAGTATTGATGTGCTGTATGTGTGCACAAGTGCATGTTCAAAGATCAAACATTTCATCTCCTCAGAGTGAAAGAGCATTCATGTGTTGTCTAGTGATTGTATTAACTATTGGCCAGCCGGAAATAAATGGTCATGTATGTATGAGAGAGGGTGAAAGACTGAATGGTAATTTACTGTGCCCGCAATCTCGCATTGATTGCTTCGTTGGCTTATTAAAAATAGAGGCAACAAAACATGTAGGACAAGATGTTAAAAAAACAAAAACAAAAAAAACCAACAATTTAACAAACACTAAAACTAAAAGGTCATTTCAACAGCCTTTGAGTACAATGTACCGGTAGTTCTGCATTCTGTCGGATAATTACAAATTATTTCCACGTTTTTGTACATCTGTAATACAACATGTGCATGTGCAGCATTGGTTTAAAGGCTCATTTTGTGTTCATTTACCGGTACATTAAATATCGCTGTGTACCGGTACTAGTGGCATACTGGGGTGGGAAGGGTGAACTCGACCCCATTCCCTGCTTTTAAAACCAGAACCCAAAACCAGGGGCACGTTCAATGGTGCAATACGTACAATGTATTCCATACATGTAGATTAGGAATCCCATTATACATGTACCTTCAATGTTGAAGGTATGTGGGAATGGCATACGTATTGCACTATTGCATGCGTCCCTGAAAATGCCACTGCTTTGTACAATGCAAAGTTTCAACAATAAGTTTCAACACAATTAGGAGTCAAAGTTGTTCTGATCCATGTACTGGTACCTATATAACAATTGCTCCTATTTTAAATTGCTGTTTCATGCAGACAATGCTGGGCTTGGCTTGGAATTTGTTGGGATGTCGTGACTGACTTAAATGCCAGTCCCAACTGAACAGCTAGATGTAATCAGAACTAGGATTACCTGTGTAATCAGCATTTACCAGGATTACCTGTGTAATCAGCACTAACCAGGATTACCTGTGTAATCAGCACTAACCAGGATTACCTGTGTAATCAGCACTAACCAGGATTACCTGTGTAATCAGCACTAACCAAGATTACCTGTGTAATCAGCACTAACCAGGATTACCGGTACCTGTGTAATCAGCACTAACCAGGATTACCTGTGTAATCAGCACTAACCAGGATGACCTGTGTAATCAGCACTAATCAGGATTACCTGTGTATGTTCTGTTTTTACCTTTTAGTTATCCAAGCTCTTCCCTGAGGAGGCAAGGGAGCAGCAACATCATGACCGAGTTATCCCTTACTTACCTGGTGAGTCACTTTTAATAATGGTCCATGCCTTCGATAAAAAAAATAGAAAAATATTGGCAAAGAAATGTTTGGCAAAAAATGCAGGGGTACATTGTACACTATGTAGTTTTTGGATAGTCATTGTATCCATAATTGTATCCATACAAGTCTGGAATACTTGTAAACTATACCGGGGTATTTAAAGCTCCTTTCAATTGTCCTCCAATATATTCATGTGAAATTACTCTGTACATACACATGTACATGTAGTTTCCGAATACATGCACACAAAAAATTCCTACCAAAACCTGTCTTTTACTGGAAACACAACATTACTTTGTTTTTCTTATTTTTTACTAAGAAAGTTTACAACTGATAAATATTCCCCTGACTGCCAACCTTTATTCTTCCGCGCTCTAATATTTCTCTCCATCTTGGACTTTTTCTTCCATCCATACCGTGGTCCACTCAAGCAGGCAAGAACATCTTCAGCACAGCCCACAAGGGAGAACTGGCTGAGAAGATGCTGCCAGAGATTGCCGTGTATGCCAAGTAAGTCTGCTATTGAAAGAGAAAATGATTGCTTAGCAAAATTGTTGGGCTAAGCGAAAATTGGTAAGGAACTATTTGCAAGCAATAAACATTGAATGAGATGTTGGCTGGTAACCTATATTTGCTAAGCAGATTTCTAAGTGTTGAGCACCAAACTTTGTAGAGAAAAGGCAGCCTCGCCTTGCTGGGCCTATTTCCATGATCCACTAAGCAGAAATATTGCTTCTAAAACAAATTTATGTGCAAGCAAGAATGAGCAAGCACACTTTGGATTGTAACCATTTTTTGTTTTCTTATTTTTTGTCTGAGCAAAGAATTTCTGAGCTAGGCAAGTTTGTGTGCTTTAGTAAAATGGTTCCTGGAGAGAAAAGGGTTTCCTTGCCTGACAGAGCCAAATTGTAGGGATCTCCTAAGCAGAAGATAATGCTTAAGTAGCAAACTTACGTTCTAAGCCAATGTAAGCAGGCAACCAGTCACAATCAACCTACACAAAACAATATCTTGAATGGTTCCTACATTAATCAATAGTTTGAATTGTAACCAGTTTTTCTTTAATTAAGGGAATATTTTCTATGCCTTGCAAATTGTTCACTTTAAGAAATCTCCATGAAATTGGTCCCAAGAGGGACAAGGCGTCTTCCTCCTCGCCTGCCGACCCTGCATTGTAAGTCATGAAAGCATTGCCCTTTATGGTAATATCAATCTAGGACAGTGTTGGAAAGTAGGCTGTTAAGTAGTACACAGTGCCTGAGTTTTTTGTAGCGGTCTGGATGAGTTAGTAATTTCACGCATGGAAGCTGAGGAGATGGAGGTGAAATAATTCACATACATGTAGGATACATATATACAGAATTTGTCGCGGCTAGAGGCATTGATAAAACAGTGTCCATCGGCCAAAATTGGATTACACTTGTATGGTCAGTTGAAGTGAAAAATTGCTCACTATCATCAGTATATCATTAAGTTGAATACTGCCAAAGGTCTCAAAGATTGCGACAGGCAAGTTGCTAAAAAAAAATGGCCAGTTTAAAATACAGCCTGTATGTAATTTCCCTTGCATTTAATATGCACAAGTCTTTTTTATAAATAAACTTCCATAGAATATATAGAGTGGTATACAAGCACACTTCTTTTGATAACACCATATTTTCCTTATCAAGTCACATTTTATTATGAAAAAGGGTTTTGGAGCAACTACATACCGGTATTTTGTACAGGAACATGTTTACAAGTGTAATTAGTATGTACACAGGTCCTCGTCTTCATGTACACTAGCAGAGATACGTACTTCACATACATGTACATTGTACATGTTCATGTGCAGAACTGACCAGTGATTAATAGTTTCGTGGTTGCACCCATTATAATAACATTCATGACTAGTCTCTGGTGCACATATGCACTTGTGCAACATGACGTGGTAAATGTAACTTATGTATGATGTACATGTGTACGTGAACAACATTGTACATTAGGGCTGTGCCGAATATTCGAATATTCGGTTATTCGATCGATAATCGAATATTCAAATATTTATTTTCGAATAAGAATATTCGGTGGTGATATGCAATGAAATAAAAAGGTGGAAAAAACTTTTTTTTTAACAACAAAAGTGTATTCTCAAAGTTAAGTTTGAAGTTGCTGCCAAAAACCCCATAAAAGTAGCTTGTATATATGCCAAGCAATAATGCCACACATATATTACTTCTGCTTTGGGAGTGCTTGCAGTAAAGCCATGCAACCCATTTTTTTAACGCCGGACTGCAACACCAATCGCTGATGCTTCCGACAAGATAAACAAGACATTTTGTCTTTCATGTCTTCACAAAACACTTCCTGACACCTTTTCATATCAAACTTCTAGCATGAGTAGTAACGTTTCCGTTGTCTGTATTTTTGTTTGTTGTTGTCCTACTTACAATCCCTACTTTCAAAAGAAAAGCGCCGCTGTTTTCCCCGATGCGATCCTGGCAAGTTTCCCCGCGCGTTGGTGTTACATGTACATGTACATGTGTGCAGCATAGGAAAATGCAGCGTGGCATTGGAGAGGAGCACGTGTTAATTTGCCCACGTGCGCAGTGGGAGGGGCTTACTGGATCGGCTATTGACATCGCGAAAATGGCATGCCAACATCGATGTAGAAGACCTCTGCAATCTCATGCAAAGAACTTGATTTCTTTTCTCTGTGTGGGCCTTTGTATTTTCCGTTTTCATGTACTTATTTTGAGGACGTACTGCTCGCACAGGGTCGCACAAGAAGCGGTACATTACACTGATACAGCGAAGCCAATTCCCCACAAAGTTTTCCATCGCCTGTTCAATCGTGTCGAATGCACGTGGTTATAGGGAATCGCCTTGCACGCAGTATGCTGCCCACAGCACGTGGCTGTGTTGTAGAAAACTTGTCATGAACCCCAACATTACATTAAACGTTTTTAAAACCTTGGTTCATTTACGTTACGGACTCTGGGATTTTTCTAAAAGAATTTCTTGTTTACTTTTAGGGGTAAATTTATTATGGCTGGTTCGATGTTCGCCTCAATGCCTCCGTATACATGTACATGTACAAAATAATCTAGTTCTCTCAACTGATCAGAGCACCCATTTATCGAACACATTTTCGTTCGCTGTCCGTCAGCTTTGTTCGCTGGGTTAGTCTGCTAATTGCACTCAATATTTGCACAAATAAAACATACATAAACACTTCAAAAACTAGTTCAGCAATTATACTTTCAGTAATAATAGCGGGAACCTCTGGCTTATGTCCTCCAAGTCGAGCAAAACGCAAGAAAAAGGGCAGACAACAGAGAGGATTTCAAACTCAAAAGAGCTCTCATTTATTTCGCCAGACAGACTTTGCGGTCAACTCACCGCACTGTACCCCTGATTCCCAGCATAGAAAACCACAGCTAGACAAAATGTATCAAAATGTTGCAAGTTGGAATATCCAAACCTTTTAGTGGCCTATTTGTTAGAAAGTTATCTCCAGAGCACGCGCTTAGCCAGACAAAAGAACCGGGTCAGCGCACCTGTGCCCTAATTAGCCCGCCAACAATGCGCCCGCCGGAGCTCGGCCGGCGATTTTTTTTTTTTTTTTGCTGAAATGTCACCCTTCGTGTTTTGGGTACACAGCTTATAATACATCCCCTGTGGGCAAACAAGGAAATACTGCTTTGTATGTGTCAAGCTGGGGCGTGTGTATGCTGCGCCCACGCCCATTATTTGCATAAACTTAAATATGCATTTACAATTCAAAGACCCATATTTCATTGAATAAAGACATTAAATATCATAGGTTTTTTTCTTGGAGTTTTTGGTTGTTGAGAATAAGTTATTTAAAATGATATAAAATCATTTCCTCAATTCTTGGTGACAAAAGTGCGAGTTATTATTATAAAAGTGACTTTTTTATCCTCAATACTGTGACTAGGAAGTACACCGTTTTGTAGACTTCAAGAAGCTTCCAGTAATAGATATGCTCGGTTCCTGTTTGCGAGTTAAGGGTCGGAGAGTCACAATAGCTGACGCCACCCGCCGTGTTTGGGGTTCACGGCTTAATACGTCCCCCATGCAAACAAGGAATCCTTCACTCTAGCTTCTCTGGTTATTGTTAATCTTTAAATTACTGACGACTGAAGAACAACTGATTGTTGTCAAATACCTGACTTACCTGTGAAGAAATCATGCATGGCATGCTGACGTGCGCACGTACGTTGACTACATGTACATGTATGGCTTATTTTTGCTTTTGAGGGAATTTGGAATGGCCAAATAACCGAATATTCGAATATTCGATCGATTGGAAGGTCGAATATTCAATTATTCGAATTGACTCAGCCCTATTGTACATTATTATGTATATCAGGCTTCCAGTGGTAAAAATAAATCAGCGTATGTATGCTTTCGTAAAAGATACCTGGATGACTGCTATATTATGTCAATAAAGTACCCGGCTGACTGCAATATTATTGATATTGCAGTTAATCCGGGTATTTTCACTGGTTCCTGCACAGTCTAGAGCGTAGAAAGTCACAGTCAATCAGTCAACAGAGCGTGGCACGCGGATGCAGTGCACAGCACTAGCAGGGTATACGCGCACTGTTGTCAACAGCCACATTGGCAGCTTCGAACAGCGCGATAATTTGATCAAGCTAGTCAGCCTAATATAAATAATAATAATAATGTTGGATGGCTTTGTTTCGGGGGATAAAAGGATATTTTGCACTCGCTATAACAATATTGCACGAGTCGAAGTTATAGCTTGTGCAGTATATTCTTGTATCCCTTAAAAAAAAGCCATCCAACATTATATAATTGAACAAAAATGAGAACAATGAGTTGTGATCACGGAAATGAAAGTCGTTATGTAGTGACCAAAGTTTTATGTTTTATGTTGGGAGTCTTGGGACAACCCTTCTCTAGAGTGAATAGTGTGGCCACCCCCTCATTATTTTTAAGATAAGTAAATTCCTTGAATGTGAGTTTAAGGCTTCTCCCAGTCTTCTGAAATACAATTTGTTTTCTATTTTTTTTTTTTTTTGTGTTCATGTTATGTTACCAAATTTTTTTTTCTATTTCGGCAGTCTGCATCTATTTTTGGTTGCTGTTGTGCCTCTAATGCAAACAAAATGCGTAGATCATTGTCAGGCCGCATATAATTATGCCATAACTGAATGCGGGCAGATGTTTTCTTTCATTTGATGTCTCATTTGATGAATAACTTTGAATTGTTTTGCATATGTATGTTTTTCAAACTGAAACTCAAAAATAACACAGGGAGAACAACCTTAATCCAATTTCATTTATTCAAATGTAATTCAGTATGCTCAATATTAAACAAAATTCATCAGGCAAGGGGGAGAAACTCTCTCACATGAATCTGGAGGAAAATGGGCATTTGGAACTTGTCTCCATGTGCTGATTAGAGTATGCGGTGCACATGTAGGTCATCCATACCATGAAGGTTCATTTATGCACTGGACACAATTTGGCCTGTAATTACAGGGTTTCCTCTTGTGGTGACCATTACCGATTCCAACATTTCCCAATTAAGAGGAGGATGTAGAAATATTATTACATCCATACCTCCCCTCCTGTGCACCTGCAATACGCCCTTATCTTCAAGTTAACTTGTCACCAATTTTTTTCCAAGAGAGGAACAACAAAAACACATAATGCATTGGATGACATCACCTTTTTAAAAATGTGTAGAAATGTACCAAACATGTACACAGTACTGAACCGCATTTAATGCCATTTGTCTGTTTCTTCAGAATGTACATATTTTAAATTGTATACCAAACGTTTATCTCTTGGCGAATCAAGGAACTTTCATTTGTGCATCGTTACTGTCAGTCCGTAGGTTAATTGTGTTAAGATTTGTACCAATAACCCATAAAAAAGGTAGCATTCAGTATGTATGGACATGAACACATGACAATTTTCAACAAGTTTGGGCTTCCATTTCCCGAATACATGCATTTGGTCTTTTACCACCACAGGCATTGCCAAACTTTTTTTTTGGTGGATGTGGGGTGGGGGGGGGGGGTGTGGATATGAAATCAAATTTGCAGGCGGAGCACTTCCAGTATTAACATTGCTAGGTGGTTAGGTGACTTCATTCTTAATTTTTAGGAACCAAACATAGTTTTTACATCAAAATCAAACAAATCAGTTCCATATTCGGACTTTATTTAGATAGTTTGTTGTAACCTACATATACATTCTCTCTTTATGAATACATTTATTCTCTCAATGTATGCAATTCCACTTTTTTCTGTTTGTCCTTCCAGGCAACTGTCTGCGTTACCACAGCATATCCTTCATTGTGAGCTGACCTACACCTTCTTCCAATCGTCTGAGGAGTCTGTGATTTCTACCCTTGATGCTAGTAAGATGGCAGGCCAGACAAACCCCACAGCTCAAGAACAAGGTACATAGGGTAGCAAGTTACTCTGTTTGGAGGGCTCAGACCTTGAATTGGAATTTGATTTTACTGTGCATTTTCGAATAATTTTTATTAATGAGGTTGTTCGAACTTGGGTTCAATCAAATATTTGAAAATTCACAAGGCCTCGATGAAACTTTACATGTGCCATGCACCAGCCAAAAATGAATGTTCTGGCCGGAAATTGAATGGTCTGCCAATTGGAATTTGTGTGCGTCTGTCAAACCTTGACAATGAGCTTATGTATCAATATATTTTTTTGCCTGAGCTAGCTGGCTAGGAGATATTTGAAAGAGTACAAAGATGCAATTAGAGCTAACATTCCTGCCAGAAGCTTTCAAGTCATTCATGCAAAGTGACTTGCCCAAAATTTTGCATTTGTACAAAACAATGAAACCATGCTACTTGCACAGTTCAAATTCATACAACAAAGACACTTTTCTTCATGTTCTTGAAACCCATCACATTTAGTCAAATCAAAAACTTACTATTTGAATATATGGTGCATTTTGGAATATTTGGTGTATTCGCCACAGCCCAGAGTTCTGAATTTTTAGATTCTTTAAAGGCCACTTGTAAATTCTGGCTTGAATATCCAGAATTGTAATGGAGTCAGTTACAAGTCACCACAAGACATCTAAGTCCATCAAAGTCATTGCAAGTTCTCCAAGCTCAAGTTAAGTCATAAGCTGTTCAAATAATGAACTTAGTTGTCATGCATTGTTTTTTTTCTGCCGTATTTGTTAAAATGCAGATGTGAAATCAAGTCCCAGCCCAACTCAAGTCTACCAACAACTCCCCCAGCACATGCAGCAGCCTCAACATCAGCAGCAGCAGCAGCAGTATCCACTGCAACCAGACATGGATCAGCAGCATCTTCAAGTACAATACCAGCAGCACATGATGACCAACTCCCTGCAGCAGCAGCAGCAGCAGCAGCAACAGCAGCAGAAGTACCACAATCAAATAGTCAGGCAGCAAGCACAGTTGCCCTTCTCCCAAGCCTCAGTGCCCCCACTGATGGTGCCTTCACTTCCCCAGCATCAGCAGCCTCCATCAATTCAAATCCAACAACAGCAGCAGCAGCAAAGTGACTTGTCCTTACATCATGGTCAGCTCCAGCCTGCTCACCAGCAAGTCAACCACCCCAAGAATCAGTCACACCCGGCGCCGACGTCTCAAACGCAGCAGCTACCACCACAACCGCATTCTGTCAATGCTCACTACCAGGAATTCTATGCCCAGCAGGACAACGGCATGCTGACCTCCAAACAAAACCAAGGCACACATCAACAATACAGCAAGTACTCCAAACAGCAGCGACAGCTCCAACATCATCAGCAGACAGACGGTGTGACATCTCGTCGAAGTCAATCTGATCCAACGCCTCCGTCGTCCCAGCCAAACCCTCATCACAACCCAACAGCTCTAGTCAGCCAGATAAACATCTCCCAGCACCATCAGGTCAACCTATCCACCCCCATCATTCCCCCGGCAGTAGCCAATAACTCCAGCAGCAGCTTGGGTGTCTGCCAGCAAGGCACTGCGGTCACGTCATCTGTCGTGACCACGACGGCCAGCAGCAACTCCGTGTACTATCAGACTGTAACTAGTATCATCTCAGTACAGAGTCCCACCCCGGATCCCTACACCACTGCATCAAATAACACAGGTAAAAGAGGACAATTGTTGATGTCTTGAGTAGAGCTTAGTAGATTCATATCTAGTATACAAATATCAACAGCTTTGAGTAGTGTAGCAGAACTAACCTTCCAGGATAACCCATGATGTGTTGTGTTTTCCAAAGATAAAGCAAAGGAAAAAATAGAACGCTTCTTAAATAATTTTGTATGAGTTAACAAGCATTCAATTGAAAATTGGTTGCAGATGTCACAGATTTGCCTTTACCTGGATTCCCTAGAACAAGTACATGCGCATAATGTGCCTACCCATTCACTGGTTCATATGGCGGAATGTTTATCCCAAGATGTGTGCATGTGCAGTTGACATACGGGCAATTCCACACCAAAGTGGACATGACACCAAAAAATTCAAATACATGTGACTTAAACAAATTTGGCATCAAATGAAAGCTAAAAGTCTATATTTTCAAGATTTGAAGTCGGAATTTTATACATTTCAGTACCAAAAAATAGGATTATGTAATAATCCTGTTTTAATCCTAAAATTGTGATTAATAGTGATATAAAAGTATTCTACCAAAACACACACAAAAATATGTACTAATGCCATCAGTATCTGTCATGAGAAAGTATTGGTCTTGAAAAACCGACTAAAACTTGTTTTTAACATTTTGCGTAATTTGCTTCGCTTCAGTGACTTCTAATATTTCAGCCTTCGAAAATGTCCTTCCGTTACCGAAAATATACATATTTTTAATTTATTTTTAAAACTTGCAGTATGAATGCATTGAAAGTTATTGTGCAAAGCAAGTTTAGGTAGGCCTTCAATATGACATTATAACTGACACTGCTTTTCTTCTCGTTTTTTAATTACAATTAATTAAATCACGTCCTTCCGTTACCAAATTGGTAACGGAAGGACGGTAACGGAAGGACAAATCGTATTTTTATCAAATGTTACGACATTTGCGCTCATGTTTGAAAAATGAAAATCACTGCAAATACATGCATGTATAATGAGCATTGAAAGGACATTCATGTGACCCACCTTCACAAAAGCGGGATAAGCAGGGCAAGGTGTTTGTTACAAAGGAAGGCACAGGCATGTACAACATGTACAATGTACATGTACATATATGCTGATGTACCAGTACTTGTACATGTATGGAGTTGTTGCAGAAAATCAAATCATAAAGTTGCTGCCATCAGCATTCATGGACAATAGAGAAAGATACGAATTCTGTGAAGCCATTCCAGAAGCAAATTAAGTCAAAAATGAGATGGCAGAAAGTACCGGTACTTTGGGGCACTTTCATTCAATTTACATGTGTAAGACATGTGAGGTGCAATCTTTGAAAATTATGCCCAAGTTAACAATTTCAGTTTGGATGTTTATAAATTAATTGTTACTACTCTAAATCATTGTAATTTGATTTCAAACATTGATTTTAGAGTTCAATTAAAAGCAACACCTAACTGAAGCCATCAGTACTACCGGTAGATGTTTTTACCTTAAATGTACATGTAGGCTGGTCGCCCCCCCCCCCCCCCACCCTTTAGGTAAACCACTGAACCTACCGGTATTATTATTAAAAGTTGTTGGTGAACATGTAACCAATATACTCAAGAGTTCAAATACTGTGTATTTAAACTTTTAAGGATTGAGGTGATGGGTTTGAAGTCTATTTCTGTAGTTGTCTTGTGTTCGTGAATTATGTGTTTTGGGTTGTTTTCGTTTTTCTTTTGTTATCATTAATTAGCAGGCTTCTATCTTTATCTCAATAGTTTCTTGGGTATAATTATTTATGCCAGGTCTGCATATTGTTGATTTCACATTCAGTTACACATTTCAGCAATTTGTTTCACTTGTATAATTAGTGTAAATTCACATTTTGTTCATGCTGTAATTGAGTAAACCTTTTGTCCTTCCGTTACCGTCCTTCCGTTACCAAATCATAATCTGCTTAAAACGTTGTAATTATATTACCGAAACACTTCAAGTCAAATGAAAGGCGGTATAGTATAGATAAAGCTTCAGGGATTCCATTTCTTAACTTTAAAATATAATTGCCCCATAAAATTCACAGAGTTTACGCAAAACGCGAGTAAGTTGAAAAACCCTTGTCCGTTTTACCGTCCTTCCGTTACCGACCTCATTAATATTCATAATTCAAAAACGGGAGGCATTCTTCCCCCTCAAAAGTGTGGAAAATGAAAGTAGCATTATAGCAATACAATTGTGACATTTGTTTGCTGTAACTATGAACAATGTCTGTGATACACACATTTGAAATTTTGTTTAATGAGTGAAAACGTCCTTCCGTTACCGTGGAATTGCCCATACATGAACCAAACTGGCTTATTTGTAATTTCGTTTACACATTCACCTGGGGTATTTCAAATCAATGCAGGATCTTCTCAGCACTTCAAAGCATCAACTAGCAAGGAACAAGCCAAGCATCCAAACATGTGAGAACCACTTTGCATAAAGACTATTGTAACAACATCTGACCAAATCTAGCACCTGTTTTGCATTACATGTGTGTGATAGATTCAGGACTTGCCACCCAAGCCACTATAACTTTTCATGGGGCTTTAATTGTGCCATTTGATTATTGAGCATACATTGTAGTTAAACAAAAATTGAGGATTCAGAAAGCACCTGGAAAAAAATCCAGGGAGTTTCATATGTTTTTATAAAACGTAGGTTACAATTTGTCCTTCATTGATCATGAAGTCAGTTCAGACAGATAATGTCAAGCTTTTTTTAATTTTAAAAAATAAAACCTACAGGTGTGAGTTTCTGAATTCATACTTTTTAACTTTAACCCACAAAGAAAAAAAGCATTGTTAATTTCTGATTATAATGTACAGTTTGTCATGAAGTTGAACTGAAGTTCTGAGATTAAAATTAATTTTTTTCCTCCTGACAGTTCTACATACTCCCAGAACCCTCCCATGCCAAAGCATGCCCCACCTACGCCAACGTACACTGCCAGTCTAATGCCAAACTCCACCCACCCCTCCATCTCCCAGTCCCCCTCTCACTCACCTGCCCCCACCTCCCACAGCCCTGCCCTCTCATCAGCCAATCGGCCTTGGCAGGCTCCGCCAAATAGCACCATGGCCACACCCAACAGCACCATGGCCCCGCCCATCGGCTCCATGACCCCACCCAACAGCACCATGGCCCCACCCAACAGCACCATGGCCCCGCCCATCGGCTCCATGACCCCACCCAACAGCACCATGGCCCCACCCAACAGCACCATGGCCCCACCCAACAGCTCCATGGCCTCGCACAACAGCAGCATGGCCATGTCTTACTACAGCCAATACCACAGGGACAACGTGGACCCCTTGATCCGTGAATGGTTGAAGAAACAAAGACTTCACAAGTATGCCAAGTTCTTTGAGGGCAAATCTTTAGAACAGGTGAGGTTGTTTTTGTGCAAACTCAGTCAATAATGCCCTTTCAATATCAGGAGAATATAACGAATTATGTCATGAAATGCAAGCAACAGAAAGAATTATTTGATATATATGTACATTTGATTCTAGAACTTTTATTCAAAATTGACTGATTGACATTTGTCTGCACTAATAACTTTAAATGAAGCAATATTATAACATTTCTTGAGCCAATTTGAACGCTGTATGTACATGTAAGGTCTATACATGTACAGGCAATAGACCCTATGCATTGCAGGTGTCTTAGAGGTTGTTCTTTGTTATTTTAATTTAGTAACAATGAATGCACACAAGGTTTACTCATGCCTATCCAAGCTATACAATCCCACTGCCCTCTGAGTCCACCTTAACGCATAACGTCTGTAATTTACAGTTGTTTTCAGGAACTTCAACCGTAAATTGCTTTTACTAAAAATTGGGACTAAGGTAAACAGTGATCCAACATAAACTAGTTTTGAGATGTAGGGCTTCAGAAATCATTTAGAATGTCCAACTCATTGTTCCCAGAATTTCTGTTGTTTAATTCAATTATTTCAAGCATAGCTGTACTTTATTCAAATAGAGCTGTGTTGTGTCTGATGCTAGAATGCTGATGTTGTATAGTATAGTAGGGTGTAACCTTCACATCATGTTTGTATTTTGTTCATTTGGCTTTCCAGGTGCTTCAACTGAGTGACAAGGAGGTGGATTCTTGGGACATTGTGCAAGGAGCCAAAGGCAGAATCAAGTCACAGCTAGAACGACTCAGGTAAGTCTCAGGCATAAGGGAAGAATGCAATATTATACAAGCGGTATTCATTCGAGGTGAAACCCTGAGGTACCCCGTAAAACACTTTCAAACCTCAAAGTAACCTCAAGTTACTGCCTACATGTATTTAGTTTTGCATTCTCAATATACAGGGTGGTCCAAAAAGAAGGAAACCCACTTTTGACAGTAGTTTTCACCTACTTGTTGAGCATATTTCAAACTTCCAATTTAATGGTATGAAAATGTTGATCTTTAAACATAAGTGACGAAAAGATGATTGCAAACGCAAGTTTTGTCTCTGAGATATGGTAGTTAAAACATGTCCATGTGCCAAACCTGTTTGTCCATGGACAGCTTTATTCCATCTGCTTGACTGAGCTCTGGAGCTGGATTTGAAGACAAAAACCTACATCAGACTTACCGTACACGTGGACAACAGTGATTTTGGTGACTTGTATTCCAATTAGCATAATAACACCATTCTTGCAATTTTTAAAATAATTTTCAGCATGTACGGTTGAAGAGCTATGCCTCACTACTTTATAAAAAAAGGTCAAATAAATTAGATAGGTTAAAATTCCTGTCAAAAGTTCCTTCTTTTTGCACCACCCTGTATATAAGATTCAGTCCAGCCAACCGACTCTGGCAAGCTCAATCCTCAAGAGGTAAGCAGCTGCACTAAGCAAGCTACAGGTCATTGGTTCGAGTCCCACCTGAGGAAGCTTTCAAACAAATTACCCATGTGAAGGAAAAACTCAATACTGAATGACCTTTTCTTTAAATTTTTCCCCACAGGCAAAAAGGTCTAACTGGCCTGAACGGGTTGTCCCAGTTGATGACCCACACACCGCCCCCTGCCTACTACTACCCAGGCCAAATCTACCCTCCTCTCAGCACGGCCATGCTGTCACAGATGTACATCCCCCCTGGGATGGGAGGGGAGGGGACCGGGTCAGAAGGGTCCAGCTCCCCGTCCAGTCCCAGAGAGAGCTCAGATGAAAACGAGAGAGGTAGGAAAAGACAATCTTCTGTGATCGGTTTAAATATCCTTGTTTGATTGAAGAAGTGTCTGTGCCTGATAGACTGTGAAGTGGTGTGACCTGGACATTTACTGCACCACAGACATGAGTGCAAAAAGTCTATGCATGGCCCGTCACTTTGTGGTGCAACTGATGCAGATGTGTATTTCAGCTTTCTAGTCAAGTCTGTCTCAAGTCATGTCACAAATAACAGTAACAAAGGAATGCCTTTGAACAGTAACAAAGGAATGCCTTTGTCACAATTCATTTGAATAGCGTGATACTTGACTTTCAAATAGGATGAAGTTGTGATTGATTTGAGAGGAGGACCTTAGTGCATATCTGAATAAATATAATCTTTTGACAAAGCTTTTATCATGCAGAGATATCCGACTTTTTAACTTTTTAAACAATATTTCCAATATTTTAACGATTTTCCACAAAATGTGATTTTATTTAAAGTGCAATTTCAAAGAAAAGTTGAAAAGTCGATGAAAAAGATGCGTAAAAAAAATTGTGAGCATAGTTCTCTTTCACCAGTCATAAATTGAGCGTTTCTGCAGTAAAAAATGCCTAGGCCAACATTCAGCGCACAGCATACCCGAAAGTGCTTTCGTTTATTTGCAGCGTATGCACGAACACACTAGAAAAATGAATATTCATGAGATTGGAGATCCAATCTTCGAAATTCATTTTCCGCTTAACGTGTCTTTAAAAGTAAGATTTTATTTGAAATAGAGATTGAAAATGCTATAGCCTAATTGTTAAATGATAATAATTAAGTTTTAAGCAACTATTTTGTGAAATATGGGGAAGGAAATATGACCGTTGTTGTGAATTTACGGTCGGTGAAAATTGTCCTTTTTTCTAAACAAAACGAAGTTGGGCAGAATGTTTTGACAATTTGATGAAAAGTGACATTATTAAGCTACCTTTATTTTATAACTTTGGTTCTCTTGAATATCCCAGGTAGTCAGGAGCACACAAAAAGGATGTCTATTTCGAGTGCCCAGGTCACGAAAATAACACAGCTCTGAAAGCACGTGCGCGGCGGTTTTGTGCCCTGCTCCACACGTACACGGGATCACAATAAGTAAAGGCGGAGTAAAGGCGCCCGACTATAATAAACTGGTTGCGTGTCTTTTCGAAACAGGGAAGTAAAACGATGTTTCATGTAAACGCATTATAAACAGACTTCGTCGGGGTCTTTTGGGGGGGGGGGGGGGTCCTACTAAGTGTTTATGCTGGCAATGCAATAACTATTTCTTAACCATTATGGGGATTTATTGGGAGGGGTGGGGGAGTACAAATTCGCAAAATAAATCACTATATTTTTGCTATATTTTTGGCTTTATCTTAAGTAGGAAAGTGGACATGAACCTGAAAACAAATATAAAGAATCAAGTCGTCTCTTTTTTTGACTGAAATTCTGGGAAACACTTTATTCATAAAATCAAAATTACATACTTTCAGGTGCATTTAGTCAAACATTAAACATTGAGGTATACTGAAACACTTCAATATTTGAACCATTTTCAGTTTCCAAGAAAAAAAAACTTTACAAATGAAAGTTTCTCACAACATGGAATGACTTACAAATATAGAACTGAAAAAAGTGAACATGAAAATTAAGGTACAGTTTCTTTATTGTGTTAGGTTATTAATTGTTTTAAGACAATAACAAGATTATTCAACCGCTCCAGCCCTTGGCAATAACAATTATTGTATTTCTTAAAAATTACGAGGGTAAGAATGCAGGCGTATAAGAACAAATAATAAATATTTAAGATTACCATGGTTACAAACTTACAAGCAATCAATTCTGTTCAGGCTAGTTTCCATATCAACGTAAGAAACGCAAAGTGAAACGAAAAAAGGGACCAAAACTGCAAAACAGATAATATGGAAACATTTCATCTGGAAGTGTCGCTGACAACTCAGACGCAACGATCAGCAAAGTTGCCTGTGGTTCATAATGCTACGCAGTCTGCGTATTTTCTGAACATCGATATGGACTTCGAGTGCAGTGTACATCCGTTCGCAGAGGTTTGTATTGTATTATCGGTTTTCAATATACAGCATAAAGGCTACTGACAAATTGATTAATATGTGAAATAAAACTGGAAGTTGATATTTAGAGAAATTTGATTGAACTGATTTTTTTTTTTTTTCACTGTAATGCGTCATCTTGCGTACCGGGCAAATTTACATGCATTGCAGTCTACATGTCAAACAAAACCTTTTGTGCTTCCAAGTCATCATGCCTTCATTCCAAAATGTGTCCATTTCAAAATGTGTCCGCATCTAGCAATGCTTGTTCTTTTTTCCATGTGAACAAGATGGCGCATATATTAAATGTACCCAGTGAAAGTGCTTATTCCTCAGGTTTTTTATCAACGAACAATACATGCAATATTCCATGCGACATGGCGTAAGAATCCCCGGCGCCAGATTCATCAGTTTGTGAGTTGTTGATCACACGTCTTTAAATTAAACATGCCAAATCGTTATCCGGTTGCACCACAAAAATTGTATAGTTCAATCCATGGTAAAATAATAGAGTTCCATTGAAATTTGTCATGTTCATCTTCCAGTGCGGATGCTGTGTCCAACCATCTTGACAGGGAAAATGGGTAAATCACTCTGCGTACTTGACCTAGGGTATATTAAAGAAAAGAAAAAGGAGAGAAAAATTATAATACATGTAAATCAATATACATGTACATTTACTGGGAAAGACCTAATAATATTATTAGGTTAGTCATTGCAAAAATGTTGAACAAAAAGACATAAATCTGGGACTGAGATTAATGTTAGAATAACTTCCAATTTTGTTAGGAAATACTTAGAAAATTAATTTGGGATGTATTTGTTTTTTACTTGATACGACATGCAAAAGTAACGGGTAGGAACCTATTGTCGACATCGGTCGCGATGCACCCACGTACGAACATGTACGTACTAGTACCGGTAATACACTGCATACACGAGTGACGTCATCCGAATCAGACGTTGCCGACCGAAATCATGCAATTTTCGCATATATTTCGCATCAAAATATAAATCGCCCACGGAACCTGCAGAGATGGGAATAGCACGGTTGGAAAGCATAACTGTTCAAGAGTCCAGAAAACAAAACATTTTATCCAACAATATCCCGAGGTAGTCAGGATCACTCATAACGTGCAGGTAGTGTTAGAAAAAAGGGTTTTCATACATGTACCTCATTTTGCAAGCCTAATTAATCACCTTTACAACAATATAATCACTAAAAAATGGTATCATTCGACTCCGAAAATATTATATTTTCACTTACCCCTCCATGTTGGCTCAACACTGCCGCAAAAACGGGTTTCTCGTCGATCTTCCAGGGGCACTGCCAAACGCTCGCGAAACCTCATGAATTCTCGAAGGTCCGAGACCGTACAACTCGCTGCAAATAAAACTTCGCTGTGTGCCTCATTATCGAGCACGCTGCACACTGACTGCCAACGATGATCGAAGCCTTTCCCAGCTGGATAAAAGGTTAAATATTGACCTGTGACATGGAAAACATCACTGCGTCACTCAGTGTGTGCGTGCACACAATGGCATGGTACCACCGTACCACCAGCTACGGTAGCTAGATTTGTGTATGTGTCCATATGGCCGGCCGGGTATGGGTAGCCACATGAAAAATCCATTCGATAAAATCCAAAATGTTGTGCAATTTTCTGAGGTTTCAGATTTAGTTGTACATAATACAATGATTTAAAAATCACAAAGATTATTTTGAGGATGGTGAAGAGAGTATAAGTGATACCTTTTCACTGGCAGATGTTAGAAGAAAAAATGATAGTGCCTGATTTTTTCCACGTATGTTTAATAGTGGAGTTAGGTTAAATCATGGGTGTGATTGAATAGTGTCATGAATGGTGCCCTTGTCTTTTGGACTTCTGCCTTGACTTTCTCAAGTAGGAAGTAAACTTCTTTGTTGATGAGTCTGTCACTCTAACCATAATTCAGGCTTTTTAATTTTATGAAAACGCTGAACATTTCTCTCATTGTAAAATTTTGTTTGGATCTAAAATAAAAGAGGAGGCGGCATCCAGAAATTGGGCATAAAGTGTATTGTACATTGTACATGTACTTGTGTAACTACAACGCGGCCCAGCTTTCAGACATGTATTTTTGTATTGCCTATTTTCCGATTTTTTTCCTCATATGCCAGTTTCATCCTGCCTCACTTTAAGCTACTTTACTTTGCTATTTGGTACATTGATAATTTACGTGGCTGTTTTGGCTGTATGTGTTGATTGTTGAAATTCTTTTAGTGCCATGATCTTGCCTACTGTCTCTGTATAGACCAGTGTATACATGTAGGTACGTTATCAATTCACGAGGGCCCCCTTCAATGGCGAAAGTATTGTGCTAGTTTTTGTTCAGATAATCCATCACAGGGCAGTAGCTTGTGCAGTAGTGTGCACAATGGTTTCTCCATTGAAGGGGACCCGTGAGTGTACATGCACACATGCCCGGATTTGTCTATAAGAGTGTCCTTATTGTGTCCTGCAGAATCTGAGGGCAGTGAGGGTTCTGTGCTGTCGTCACCTGATGCCCGGTCCTTGGCTAGTGTAAACAGAGACCCTGGAAATCAGCAGCAGCAACAGCTAGCTCAAGATAACAACAGCCCTTTGCCAATCACCCAGCAGATCAACCCTCAGTATGGCCAGATGAACACTCTCCCAACACCTCAAGGGAGCATGCTTCAGGGGAACCCCCACACAACTCCCAGGCCATGCCAGGATCTCCTCTTACCAATCCAGCAGCCAATCTGAATTACAACTACAATGCTGTTTACCCCTCCCCGAACATGGACCAGCTGCCTACAGGACCTGTGGATCTGAGACGGCTTATAGACAGCAATCAGAGACAGTCCGACAGCCGGCTTACTCCCGTTCCAATGATGGATGTTCCCAATCCCTCAGTCAAGGCAGGCAGTGGCTTGCACGGCAGTAACAGCTCTCACGCTGGCAACAGCAGTGGAAACGGTTGCTCTGGCCTGGACAACATGGGAAGACAGCAGATACAGGTGGTTGGCCATCTCGGCGATCCCAACATGATGGCGGTGCCTCCTCCCAACATCCCGCCGCCATTGGCGTCCCTCAACCAAATGGACATGGGGACAAACATTCCATCCCAGGTAGTTGGCATCAAGCAGCAGCAGCAACAACAGCAACTATCTTCAGGCCAGCAGCAGCAGCAGCAGCAGCAGCCTACTCTGCCGGGTATCCAGTACTCCATTGAGTGTGCTGACTCCAGCATGTTCAAAATGCCATCCATTACCGTGCCCGATGTTGTCCCCACTTCCACCATCTCCCCCGGTCTCTCCATACCCTCATCCTTACCACTGACTCCGACAGTCTCCGGCACCAACAGCCCGCGACTCCTACCCAGTCCCATCAACCCAAACTTCCCTGGCACCAGATCAGGCTTTGCTCCCCAGAACATCCCCTCGTCATTTCCCATGCGGCATGGAGGGGAGCAGTATCAGGCCCCGACCTCGGTGACCTATGTGACTAGCATGGCCCAGAGCCCATCCATCAGCTTGTCAAACAGCAACATGTACGATAACAACCCCAACAACATGATGTACAACAACAACAATCAGGCAGGTTATCCAGTGGGCAACCCAGGCTGTACGTCCTGTGGCTGCAGTGGTCGGTGTGGTACCTCCGGGACACACCACGGCCCAGTCCATCACTTCCCGCTGCAGAGTGCCTACCCATCGAGCCAAGTCGCCTACCAGAACATTCCCAACTTCTTCCCCAGTAACCTGCCCGGAATTCCCCCTCCCACCAGCATGATATCGTCTCCCATTCCTGGAAGTCCCCGATTCCCGGGACCCATGTTACCTTTCCAGAACGTGCCCAGTGAGATGCCTTATGGGGGCAATAACCAGTTTGGGCTGATGCCTCATGGTCAGGTGTACCTTGGTGGCATGAGCTATGGACACAGGGGCAATCATGGAGGGCAAGGCGGCAAGAAACGAACGTGCTACAATTGTGGTGGCATTGGTCACCGACCATCAGAGTGCCAACAGCAGTCCATGGAATCAGTCACTCAGAAAAGTAAGTCAAACATCAATAATTTTTTTTCTAATTTTATAATTGATCAACATGGACATTGACTGGGGCAGGGTTTTGCCCTGCAACCTCCAGATTGCTGCTGTGGCGCTCCACCAACTGAACTATCCAGTCCTACGTTGGTGGCTCCAAAACAGCCCAAGCACTCAGTGGTGTTATGTATTCTGCAGTGAATAAGCACAATGTAATACAAGTAGCTCAGTTGCTATTAGGTTAGGGGCCTAATTAATCTGAAAATAGGGTTTGCTTTGTTGTCCTTTACCCGATTACTTAATCAATCCTTTCCATTCTTCACTCAAACAAATTCTGCAGGTCTGTACCACCTAAAGTGGGCTCCTTTACCGGAATCTAACGTCAACAATGACAGCTAATACACGGCCCAGGCCCCGCCCTCTTCCCCCTATGTTATTGGACAGAGACTTCACTGTATAGATTTGAATACTAATTACCTGCAGCGTTGCTGCTGGCTGGAGCAATTGCAAACAAGGTAACACTTTTTAAATACAGGATAAATTATTCATGAAGAATCAAAGGAACAATACACTGGTTTGGTTTTGTAAAATCTGCGTTGATGAAACATTCATGAGAATATGTTGAACAATCTGAATAATTCATGAGATTGTGTTGAGTAAATGAGAGTGAAATTTTCAGAGCAAGAAAGATCATTTGGCTTACTTTGAAGAAAATAATCCAGTGTACTGTTTGATATTTTTGTGTGATCAAGTCTTAATTTGCGGGTAAAAGTTTGTGTCATGATAGCAGGAAAGAGGCTTTCAATGATTTTATTCAACAGTTTGATTCAGTTGATTGCAGCTATTGCATGCATATTTGTATGCCTAAGTTTACTCTTGCTGCTGTGTGCATATTTGTAAGCCTTGGTAAACTCCTGAAGTATTTGAATCAAAAGGGTTTAAAAGGTGATTGAGATCTACATTCAGAGTTTGAAACTTGTCAGGAATTCTGTTGAAAGATGGATGCCTCCAAATAGAAATATTAGATGAGTAATTATTTGGGGCATTCAGCAGATTAGTAGATCCTGATCATACAATCTGTTCTTTTAAGTTAGTGTGTTCTGTGTCCCATTAAAAAGGTAAAAGTTTGATACCAATTTAAAAAATAGTTGATACAAAATAGTTGACATACATAAATAGAGAGGTTTTGCAACAGAAACAATATCAAGAGTACGTACAATGGAGGAGTTGTTTTGTGGGAGTCAAGACATCGTTGTAGCAGGAAGCAAGTCAGTCTAGTCGTCCCTTTGTTAATTGACTTCAGTGTGGAAGTTGTAGTGTTAGCCGAAACATAAATTCATAAAGCCTACAAGGGGCAAGATGCCCCCAACGTCAAGCTCTTCTAAAGTTTGGTAATGCTGGAGTGACCAAAAAGGGTCAGCAGTTGTGCCTTCGCTGGTCTGAAGAATCGCTGAACTTGTTTCAAATTACTGATATATAAAAACATTGAAGGTTAACTCTGTCTGTGCAGTGATGAACTGGGCCCAACTTCATGTATCTTTGCTCAAATTGAAGATAGAAATGGAACCAATTACCCCTGTGATGTTTTTTTCTGCCTGATTTGGTATTGTTCATGAACAAAACAATCATTGAAGGTGGTTTAGACAAAGTGTGCCTGTGGCCACCTTTCATTTTATCTGTGTAAACAATGGAATCCAGGTATGAGACTCACAAATTGTGCATATGTTTTTCAGTTTTCTCAAAGTGTATAGTATATGTTAGTTTTTGAGCAATTATTGTTGTTCCCAACCAAAACAAATCTCAAAAGCAAATGCTCCTATGTATGTTCCTGTTACGACATTAGTGCCGGTACAGTAACTCATGTTTTGTTCAGCAGGTTTTTCTTGACTTTGTACATATATGCCTCTCCTTTGGTTTAATTAAACTATTCAAAACTGGTCGTATTAAACTATTAGTGCTCAAACAAAAGTTGAAATACTTTTTGTGAGCCGACAATTCGAGAGTTTGCAGACCTTCAACTGACAGATATCAGGTAAAACAAAATCAAGCGCACAACTGTACAGTCACAAGAATTGCAGCTTTTTCATTGTCAAAATCATCAGCTACTTAATTACACTTAATGTAAAAAGTAAATATCAAGAATTATTAGAAATTCTGTATTGTTATGTCTTTGAGACAGAGAAACCTACATTGATTTGTTGCTAATTTGGTTTACTTTAGACACCGGAATAGATGGTTTGCACTGTGGCCATCTTTGAGGTGTGTGCTTTTGTTCACTCGGGATACATATGAGTGGACCTCTTGTGCATTCATTGTTAATGAATGAACATTCAACAAAACACGCATCAAAGATGGCTGCTGAATTCAATCCATCTGTAATCCGGCCTTGATGATGTTCGTGTGAACCATGTAATTTGTTTTGTAGATACTTTTTTGATGCTGGTACCTTTTGACTAAGCTAAATTGTAATTAATATATTAAATTTTTATTTTGAGGTTTTTAAAACAAATTTTTTTTTGGCCAAAGTTATTACGGAAAACAGGTATTGAAGCCAAATAGACCAGTGTGAAGCAACTGAATGTATATAGAAACAAAAAGTGGCATTTTAATGTTTATAAAAACAAGGCAGATGTTGTACAAAATAGCTTATTTACCTCAGAAAAGAATCCTTAATTAAGTGGTCTGGTGCTGTGTTATCTGCGACCTATTCTGTTTATTCTGTCGTTACAGAGCCCTCTGTAGTGGAGCACTGAAAAGTCTTTGATTCTTGTAAGACCAAAAAGATATTAACTTAGGTCATCAATTGTCTCATCACTTTATTAAACAGGTGATTGTCAAAACCAAATTCTGAGGGGAACCTCTTTTTGTAAGAATTCTAAATAGTCTGTTGAGTCTTAGAAACATTGACAGTTCGTGAACCCTTTGATGATATTGCTTTTTATTTGCAAGTTGTTTTTTGAAGGGAAAAAACACGGTAATTTTTTTGTTTCTCATAAAGGAAGATGAACATCATTTTCAATTCAGTTTTGTGTATAAATCGTCACCGTCTGTCAGGTTTTATTAGTCATAATGTGATTCATACATCAGTCAGTTTAACACCGTTACTTTACCCTTTCTAATTCCCAAGTCGTTGTGTCTATATATACCGTCAACGTTAAGATAATTACACGGTCCTCCATCCAATTATTTTTTTTGCCAGAGCAGAAATGCTTAAGCGAGAGAATTGTTCGACCTTTTTTCCACTTCTCCGTTCAAGATGGAAACAAATCCACGCAGTCACTTACAAAGGCTCATAATTATTGTGCGTTTGAAAGGGTATTTCACAATAAGTGAACTTCAATCATTGATGGTTGAATAGGCGTTGCTTTTGTTACCGAATGCTTGGGGGGGTGTCCCGGTAACTCTAAATGTCAGAGCCTGAGAGGACTTGCGCTAAAAACGCTTTGAATTATCCTTATGGTTTTTTTCTTCACATTGTTGTGAGGTGCTTGTAGGCGGGCTATTCGCATGACAATAAACTCCCCAACCCCAGCAGGACTTCGGTCAAAACTGCATTAAAACACGAAGCTGTTTTAAAATCCTAGAGTTTAATTTTAGAAAATTCTAGCGCCAGCGGTCCGATAATGCATGGAAACCTCAAGAATTGTATTCAGGCCGTTATTTTTTTCCATCACTGTTTCCATGGTGATTCCATTATTCTCCAAGCATTAGAAAACAAAGAAAATATGTATTTTTTTTTTATTGCTAGCCAGATCTAATTTATGCAGGTTGCCGCTTCAGGGCTCGAATTGTTGAGGGAGCTAGTTTTATTGAAGTAAAATTGAAGATTCATGTAGTTATACACACCTTACACGATCCTGTCATTCCGTAAACAAACCCGCAGCTTAGTTCTATGGCAGTGGAAATGTAATCACTTGGTAATGACAATATCTGGTAATGGGACTACTAAGTCATAAACGGTACGGCCAGCAGATTGTTTTTCTTAGACGGTGTTAACGTGTGATTTTGTCAAAGTTATTTGGCGATAGCAAACCTCATCGACATGAGGAAAATGTGACAGTATTTTATCGAGAAAAACTGAACTGTTTTTTCATGCAAGAGGACTGCAGTTAAGGTAAAGAAATTTTATGAAGCGTAACCACGATTTTGGAAGTAACCCAATAATTGTCATTAAATGTAAATTGTTACTGTCATGTTCAAAGATATTAGAAATAGACATGTCCCGTGTGTATCAAGCATTGAGATGTCTTTTCTGTTTTGGGTTGGGTTTTTTTTGGGCGTTTGAATTCGTTTTCACTCGGCTGTCGTGGAGTAGTGAATTTAGCCCTTGATTTCATTATGCCCCTTTGTCGTAATCGAAAGAAAGAGGGGAATATCTTGATCTCCAGGATTTTACAGTAGGGCACTCACAGGACAGTAATTAGATGGAGGTCGTACGTGCAAGGAGAATGGATGTCAGAATTATGAGGAATGAACGTCAGAATTATAAAATAAAAAAAAGAAAAAGATTTTCTCCTAGTTCCGTTATCTGCAGGGTTTTACTGGATCTGATTCAGAACTGACAGGTACTGTGACAGGAGGAAAAGTTAACGCAGATTACAACGAAAGTTATACTTTGATTTAAAAAAAACAATCGGCAAAGAATCGATACTCTAGGAATTCAAGTAAAGACCCAATTTTCACTTTATAGATGATATTTTCATAAACTGGTCAATTATTGGGAAATAGTAATCTTAGTTTAGGTCCTATAACTTAGCAACCATGTACATGTTTTATTACAGCCGCTGTTTTCATAGTTCTCTGAGAAACTTAGTTCTTTTTCTTTTTTTGTAATCCACAGAGTGAATCTAAGAATAAAGATAGGTTTTAAGGTTACGAATGTAAACCTTATAATTAAACACATTAAACATCTCGTTCCTTGGAAATGTGTGAAGTACATTGCGGGTAGTAAACAAGACCACTTGACCAACAAGAAAGGCTTTCTGATGGTGCTGTGAAACTGCGAGCTCTTGGCAATTGTTTCATCAATTTAATGTGTTGCATGAAGTAGTACTGGGGATATACCGGGAACTCTGCTATAAAAGGTACACACAAGTCATGTGTCAGCCGAGTCGTTATTTTATGCAATTTGAACGATGGTTTTATTGTTTATTTTAACTTTGTTTGTTTGTTGTCTGTTCACTATCACCAAGTCCTTTGCTAAGACATAGGAACCATTGACAGTAGTGTGCTCGTTTAAATATCACTAAAATTTAATTTGTACAAAAAAAAGGTTTTATGTCTGACGATATTTTTCGGTATTATCTTCCACATGTCGTAAACTTGTATTGTGTTTCAACACTGTACATGTTCATGTATAGAGTTTTAAACGGGGTAAATAATTGTGTGCAATGTGCTTGCTTTCGGTTTGTGGCTCACTTGTATAAAGTGAAATATGAACTATTGTGTTTGTCCTATGTGGGCTATATCTGATTTAATCGTAAGTTAAATTTATGTCATTGATATTACTGCCCTTAAGGTTTTGTATTCCATTTGTGCGCGGTTCCATTATTATGTAAGTTACAGAGAAAGAATTCCTCAATTTTAAGTTGGTTATCTATGTGAATTTGGAAATAAGGATTAAGTGTGCAGTTATGACAAGTCAGGCGGGTAAGATTCAAGTATTGCAGGAAGCGAAAGGAATGCCTACAATTTCTAAGTAGCAGTGAAATGATTTGAACTGTGGACAGAATTAGATATCTACGATTGCTCCTTTGGTTGGACATTTTTTCTTTTTAGTTTTACCTAGTGCCTTCCGGAATCACATTCGTCTTCATGTTGTCTCCTTGTTAAGTAGAGTTTTAGTGTTATTGTAGTAGAGCGTAGTTTCTTTCTTTACTTTCATAGTAGTCTTTCCCTTCACATCATGGTGTACATAGTAGGCCCTATACACCCCGATTGAACATAGAGCAAGTTGAGAGTTGCGGGTTGAGTTTCAGAGTTATATATACCTGGATAGAGGTACAATGTATACTATCAAGTACATGTTTGGAGAAAAGTTACAATTGGAGATTATTGGGTTTTATATACCCGGAGAGGGGTATATTATCAAGTATTGGTATGCCTACATTGCCGTTAAAATATACATCTCGATACAGTGAAATCATCATTTGGGGTTCACTGTCCGAAATTACAATAATAAGCATTCTTTCATTCTTCTTCACTTATAAGTTTGACCTTTCAGTTGTTTTCCCCCAATGTCTTCCTTGCAAAGTATTCTTTCCGGCAACGTTTGCATTGCGCTTAACGGACGGTGGCTGTACGAACATTTGAACTCCCGACATTTCGCTGCAAAAACACAATTATCTCCTTCCCGCATAATGCATAACAATAATTTGTTGACCGATTCTGAACATCGGGACACTGACAATGCCCAAATGACATCAGCGGAAGTCGCAAAAATAATTCTTGCCGAAGTCTGTCCGATTGCTTTTCTGAGTGTTAACCTCGGCCTGTAGCAATTAACAGCGATGATTGCTGTGGAAAGAAAAAGAAAAGAAAACCTCACGAACAGCCCGGTACGCTTCGTGTATCGTTATTGAGCGTGCACATGATTGTGCATGTGCCCTCGCTGTGATAATAATTCCCAGTCCTGTAGACATAGCATTCCCAACCCTTGCTACTCGAATATCAAGGTAAACATTTCAAGCATTAGAGGAATTATAACCGCAGACTTGAGTGCGTTTTGCTGCAGAGGGGACTTATGTTGATTCAAGAATTATCTTTTGTTTTTCCTTAAGATCGACATGTGTATTCATGGTTGCCATTAAAACCTTGGAAAAGTAGTCCTGAGCTTCGCTCGCACCCCCTCCCTGCAAACAGGACGCTGGTAAGGGCTGACGTCATTTGAGCTCTCATTGGATAGATTTGCGTGACCTGTGACGTAGAACGCGTCACACAAACGCGTCACACAGCTTCCGGTGCCCATCATGCGTAGCGCGCGCTAGCTACATGCGAAGGTCAATCTGTACTTTCTTCACAAGATTCTGTGAAGCTCATCAGCCCTTACTAGCGCCCTGTTTGCGGGGCGGGGGTACGAGCGAAGTCCTGAGCGTTTAAAAATTCGAGGTATTTCAACCCATGTTGGCGAGAGAACCTGCTTTCATAAGTAAAAGACAATGTTGTGCTCAACGAAATGATTGGTTTTTTTTTTTAAATTTATTTCGAGCCATAATTTGTAATTACGCTTGTATAACGTGCATAATAGCGAACTAGGCAAGTCAATGCATTAAACACATGAATGAGTCATGTCGGTAGAGGGTGGAATTAAAAGAAATACTGGATAAAGATTATCTCAATTATTAGACTGAAATTAAAATTGCATTGTGAATTATCTTCAATTTCCATTATCAACTTTCCATGAACGTGTCCTCCGGAAAACGGAGTTTGAAATACACATCGCTAACAAGCTGGGTGGTTTAGTTTAAGAATGGAACTAATGAGCGTTTTTTTGTGATTTGTTTAGGTTTACAGTTGATTTGTTTAATCTACATGTAGGAAACACTGTGGTAGACCCCTGTAGACTTGTTGAGAGTGGTCATACAGGAACAAGTTTGATGAAAAGCTTATACAAAACCTATTTTTGTTATAGATCGTTTACACTGCGGCCATCTTTGAGTTGTGTGCCTTTGTTCAATGAGGATGCGCATGCGTAGACCTCTTGTGCATTCATTGTTAATGAATTAACAAAACAAACACACCTCCAAGATGGCTGCTGAATGCAAACGGTCTATTGTCAGCTGTGCAAGTTAAATTAACCTATAAAAATGAGGCAGAGCAGAATTAAATAGGATTTCGATTAGAATGGAATTGACAGGGCATTAACGAGTTGCATTTTGATGAGGCTTGCATTACCGAGTTGCATTTTGATGAGGCTTGCTGCTAGCCATTCTTGTATTGTATTTGCTACGATGTGTGCTGGGACAAGGCTCAGATTGTTTGGGGCTTGCTTCCCTCATTCATAGAGCTTGAGATCAGCTGGGTGAAATCGACTGAAGTGTAGATAACGGCAGATTAGACTACGTCTGAATTACGTGGCTACAGCTGGTGAAGTGAGAAATTTGGACTCTATACAAATATGGAGTCAGTGGCTGTACTGCGCATGCCTAAGCGTGAAGATATTTTGGAAAGTTACAGGTCACTTGTTAGTGTTAGATTCCGGTAGATGAGACCAGATTTCGTAGGAGCCCAAATTTCATGACAGCGGCAGTAACCGCGAGGTTTGCAGCCGTTTCCACAAGCACATTTGTAAATGCCGGTGTCATATGAAATTGGACTCTCACACGCGACTTGTCCCTTTTTGAAATTCTGAGCGTTGAGGTTTGCGCAATGTACATCCAACTTATTTAATAGAGTTCGAACTTCACAATACGCCGACCATTGCCGAATAACTCGGGCGAGGTCCTTGTAGAGACTTGCACACTTAAGTATAAATTCAAATCTAAAAATAATGTGGCCTGACGTTGCGAACTTAGCCTCTTCTTCAGAGGCTAAAACAGAAAAGTTCTTCTGAAGAAGAACTTGCTAAGTTCGCAACGTCAGGCCACATTATTTTTAGATTTATATATTTCAGGTCCACCCAGTCAGTAAGCAGTTTGCAGCAGTATTACTTTTTTTCATGTTAAGTATAAATTAGTTGAGACTAGCTTTTGATCTCACAAGAACAAAAACCTTCTGCATTGTCAGTGGTTTGTTCCATTTTCCTGTACATTGTTCAATAATTTAAAACTCCTCGATTGTACAAATATCCTTGTAGAAACCCGATGCCCACAGTCTCATATTGAAAATCTTATAAGTTAACAGTATTATTGTTTAAATACTTGTAAATCAAGTTAAGATATGTTTCACTTTAAGCCGACAGAGGGCGCTTATTGCAGGGGGTCCAGGTGACTGCCCTGGTTGTCATGACGTCATGGTATATTTGTAGCAAAAGCGTGAGGTTGTAAGTTTATCCTGTGAGGTACATGTACATAGCATACGTTAAAGATTGACAATTAAAATGGTTCAAAAGCTTTAAAATGTCTTGTCTGAAATCGGCGTTGTTATTTCTGTGTGCATGCGTGATAGAGAGACCAGTTGTAGTGTGGAATGCTTTGGTCCCACCTCACTTTGCTCAGCGAGTTGGAGATTTAATGTTTAAACCAAAGTCCTTGACTGTGTTTCATGTGGAAGGGTTTGTCCTGAGGCAGTCAAGGCGATTGTTGGAGTACGATTGTTGGATAGTATATGGATTCGGATCAACATCTCCACATTGCTGACGTTTCTGAAATGCTACTGTTGAGTTTGCATAACATTGCACCCGTGGTCCAACGTATACGTGTTTTGGCCACTCAAGACATTAGTAAATGGCTGCAACATGTACTCGCTCAGTACTGCTGGCTCCATTGAAGGAAGTCCATGAGAGAAGCTAAAGCAGTAGAGCGTGATATCCATTGTTCATCCAGATACGTAGAAGCGTGCAGATCTTGCTGCAGAGGTAGGTGAGCACCGATTGAGCAAATTGTTATTTAAAAGAGCATTAATCACTACGAATTGATTCAGTCTGTATCCTAGACACTGCATTCAAAAACAAAACTTGCCTCGCAGTATTGAAAAGGCACCCGACTATTCCGTGCCTTATTGTAATATTATATGCACGTTTTTTAACATGCAAATGATGCAGTGCTCGGAAGCTGCTAGTGGTAGCGTACTGCTCGGCGCCGTGGGGACGAGGTTCATGTCGGAAAAGGTTGCATATTTAGATCTTCGAACCAGACTACAGCTTTACAGGTGTTTTAACGGGTAACCACAAAACATATCGCCCTTGTTCCCACACGTGTACGATGTGCTGCTTCTATAGGCCTTAAACATGATGTCACTGGTATTTCAACGTATATGGCGTCAAAACAACGTCATTAATCACAAGATTAATGGGACTGATATTACACCCGTTTATGACGTCATAGAGCTGGCTGCTAATATGGCATAATTGACCAATGCGCGTTGAAGAAATTGATTCACCTGGCCATTTTGGATCCCCAACTGACAAGGGCGGATCCAGAACACAATTTTGGGGGGGGGGGCCAAAAAAAATTTTGGTCCCCCCCCAAAAAAAGTGGGTCTAAAAAATTACGGGGTGGGGTTCGGGGCCCGTAAGGGCCCCGAAAATTTTTTGGATTCTAGATGCTCTGTGGTGCGATCTGAGGCAATTTCTGGCCACTTTAACCAATTTTTTTGAGGAAAAGATGGTGGTGTACCCATTGCCTGCCTTTATTGCGATGTCACATTAAAAAAAAAAAAAATGGTTTCGTTTTGGGGGGGGCATGGCCCCCTTTGGCCCCCCCCCCCTGGATCCGCCCTTGCCAACTGAAAAAAAGTCACATTCGACATGCAGTTGACGGTTTTTTTTTTCTACTTACAACAATTCCCCACACAAACAATTATTCTTGGATCGGTTGGCCACACCTAGGAATACAGGAATAAGATTGTTTAAAAACTGGTAAGGAAATGCAATTTTTTTCGCCGCTTTAAAAATAAAATAAAAAACAAAACAAAACAAAGGAAATCTAATACCAAAAACCCGTAAAAGAAACTTGTCATGTCATGTGTCATAGGTTTCACGCTAGCCCTGGTGGTCCTACAAACAGGGCTGTAAATGGCTCACTTTTGAAATTGGTCACATTTTGTTATGGCGACAGAAATAAGACCAATTTCAAAAGAGAGCTATTTACAGCCCTGTTTGTAAGGCTACGTTTCATAATTAATGTATAACCACTGACTTGGCTGAAGAATAAAAAAGTGCAGGCAGCACGTACATGATATCCACAAGGTGATCAGGCAGCCGTTAAAAAATCACATTTATTGCGGTTTTATAATGCCTCCTAAAATGTATGCGATATGAGGGGAAAAAATTAATTGATAAGAAATAATCACATGACAGCATAAGTCGATTTACAGTCGAATAAATTTAAGAAGTTTTAAGAACTCGATAATTTTAAATCAAAGAATAAATTTGATGGGTAAACAAGAGTCACGGGAAATACATTCTCTGTTTTAGTTGTTATGGACTATAGGCCTACTTTAAACTGATTTCAATGTGGCTAGTTTCGGCCATGAAACATAGCACAATTTTACCGATAATATTCACACGTTGCCTGAAATTAAGTCGAGCAAATGTTTGTGTACCCTAACATGGGACTTGTTTTTGTTTCGGTTGCCAGTGTGACATTCACCCCAAGCCATCTTATTACACACTCATTTTGATCTTGTAAAAATTGCATATTTTTTTCTTATCAGTGATTGCCTTTCATAAAACGTTGGTGGTTATCCTTGATAAAGTAAAAGCGTGGATAGAACTTCTAACCGTCAGTATGCTTTAACGTTAACAAAACATGGCTAGCCTGGTCAAGCCGTGTTTGTAAAGTCTTTTCATGCATTGTGTCCTACACAATGGTCTGGATTTTAGCCTTGTCATTAGCGTTGTGAGTTATCCTACACGATAGCACTGCCTGGCTCATCAAGTGGCAATCAGTGAGTCAGTGGCTCAGTCAGATGGGCGCAAAGTACACACCAGACACGCCCTCTAGATCCAGAAAAATACAATCTCGAGTCTCTGAAAGTAACCCTAAGGTCAAAACAGACACACTATACAGCTAACACTTAATACCAAATTATCTAATGCTTTAAACAATCAAAAGGCTTTGAACAACCAATTTATAAATTAAAACTTCAACCGTTAGTTTTCATACACTTTCGTATAATAGCGAAATGAATATTTGAGACTGTTCAGCCGCTCTCTTTTTAATGACCTCACGACGAGGGTGTGTCTTGAAAGAGACTACTGCAGGCCACGCCCAGTTACGATCTTAATACAAAGCTGGGAGGTCACTTGCTGAGGTCACAACCTTTACATGGGCGGGGTCATCCACAAGTTCTTCCATGTTGTCCGGCATATAATGCTCTGTGAAGCTCAGAGCGTACATCTATATAAAGAGAGAAAACACGACTTTAAACAAAATGTTATTTCGACAATTTGATCCTAAAGAAATACCTGAAAGTGTCTTCATAATATGCTATCATGATTTGTGTTCATTAAAAGTACTGAACACCATTTGCAACAAAAGGAAAGATGTTTGCCCATTCAAGAAAAACAATACAATAAATTTAGGTTATTACAAAACTAACCTGTCGAAATTTCAGCTCAGTAGATTTTTTTTTTAGAAAACTGTGAACATGCATATTCTTTGTTTTCTTGACGCAAAGCAAGGTTTGAAGCCCTCCCTAACAAAATGTTCATTAATAAGTTTTAAGTTGCACCCTCAAACTCTCTAGTTTGTCACTCAAGAAAATGAATTCTCATTCACGGATATTTTACCGATTGCAAACCATTGCTAGGAAACTGATGGTAATTTTCTCCTTTCTTGAAAATGACGGCATACCAGGTGCAATGATTACTCAGTATGTTTGATCCTCAATAATATCTTGGCAGTTTCGGTTTTGAATGATTGCAAATGGTGTACCTTCAAGCTTCATGAACGATGAATGCAACAGTTAAAATCACTTTTTGTAATACTCGTTCATTTAACTCGATATAAAATATGGCAATTAACTCTGATGTCTGAAATATCGATCCACACATAAAAAATCACATTAGCCGTTTGTTCGCTGGAAAAACGGTAATGTACTCCTCTCGATGTCCGACTTGCGTTTCTCAAACATGTCCACGGAACATTATCGCATTTCAAGAATATCAATTACCATTGAAGTATGTCAGTAAAGCTATGAAAACATAACAAGCCTAATGCGTGCCTACGGTGAAAAATGAATTCACTTTAGTAAATACAATTTAACCTGATTGAAATTGATGAAGCACTTTTTCCTCTTTGCGGTTGCTTCCCTGTCTCCTGTTACTGCGCGTCTTTGATAATAATTATAGTACACTGTGCTGTCAGAACATTAGCTGGGAAATGAAGTAACATTGACAGCTAGATTGACTCTCCCTCCCTCCAACAGCCGTTCAGTATTCGCGCAACGGGAGTGAAATAAAAGCCTTTCAACAAATCTGGAAAATCAAATGCTTTTGACTTGACAGTTCAATGCTTCCAAAAAGCTTTTACCGTGAATTGACTCAGTGAATCGGCGAAGATAATTTCCGGTATTATGTTTCTTATCGCTTAAGTCAATGATCTTACGTCGCTTAACTCGAGACGGTATTAACGCACACAAAATACAGCACAACCATTGAAACATTACCGTACTTGTACGATTTGTTTGCAAATCTTTTTCAACATTTGTTTTTCCTGTTTTTCTGTAGTCTACTTCAACCATAATGCAGCATTCTCAGATTACCCAATAATTCAGTTTCTTTCAAATTTATGACTGGGATTGAATTTTCTTGGCAACAATGTTGCAGCCAAGTCTACCCGAGTCCTTGAGTAAATTCACGGCGTAGCGACGGTGTGAGGTCGGAATTTCGACCCCTCTCCGCCTTAAAAAAAAAAAGAGGGGGGGGGGACAAAGAAAACTCGACAAAAGCAAAGAAATGGAGAGGCTAAACGGCCCGGCAATTTGGGATATTTAATGCTAGTAAATCTAACAGCAAAAAGTGTCTGGAAGGGACCAAACAGAGATTTTTTTGTGTATTATTAACAGCGCCCCAAGCGTCGGATGATACCCGCGATCCGGAAACAAGTGGCTTACTCCTCAATCAAGTACAAATTACCAAGGTTATGTCGGCTTCTTCAAACACACTTTGACATAGGTCTGCAACAAAATAATGGATTAGAAGCGCAATCTTCTTGATAGGATTTCTTAAAGTGGTGTCATCTGAAAGGGTAGTTCATTAGCCTTCCATTGATACCTTATTTGCAGCTCTGCAGTCACGGATGACAGCGCACCATTGTTTTCAAAACAAAGGCCGGGAAATCTCTTTTCTAAGTTTGCCAGATTCAGGGGTGAATCGAGCTGTTAAAAAAATGCGCCGTCGCAGTTGATAATGTGTTGAATGTGTGGTGTGAGACATGTTGAAGGTGTTTTAGCAAAAAAATGAAATATCGTTTTTCTTGGTGATTAAATAAATCATTTCAAAGATTGTTCTGAATTCATTAATCATAATAACTATACCCGATGGCAAAATGTACTCAAAACATAGCTTAAGCATCAGCCCAACTTTGCAAGGTTTTGGCTAAGCTACAAGCTATGTTTGAAAGCATGTTGACATGGAATAGCTAATTTGAGATGATAAAAACAAAATTGAAAAGATTATTATTCAGAGAACATGATGATGTAGGCCTACCATCTTATGCACCAACACCTCCAACATAATGTACCTCCCGTTTCAACGTATACTGCCCACAGTGACAGTGCATTCTTCGGACAATATTCACCATATATTCAGAACACTTGGGAAAACGAGGTTTTCTGGCCATTGTTCTGAAACGAAGGGTGCTCGGTCATACTTGACTTCTAAGATGCAAATAAGGTATTAATGACATTGTTCAAGTTCATATCATAACTTTCACATACGAACCTGGGTGTTTTTTTATTACCTTTTTCGTACACCCTTTACAAAATGTTTCCAAGGACGTGGGCTCAGATGCAGCCTTGTATCGATTAAATCGAAAGCCCCCAGTACTACTCAGGCCACAGTTTCCAGTTTCTTTTATTCGATTCCTATTACACATCCGCATGTAGGCCTCGCCGAACTCAACACTGTTTGGTATCAGGGCAAGCACGCATTCAATATTCGATTTCGCACTTGAATGTGCAGCGAGCGGAGATTATTTGAACACGTCGGCCTGTGAAAATATCGGAGAAGTCTATCGAACGGCAATTAAATTCTCGTCTTACCAAAAAGTAGATATGCGTCAAACGAACGTGGCCGGCTGTATGTCTCCCGCACAAAGCTTTAGACATTGGCTCTTTCTAATAATAAATCGTAATTTATGCACGTATGCGTATGATGTAATTTTGAGGTGGAAGTGTATTGAAGCAGTGGTAAATAATGCATGGGAGTCTGGGAGTGGGAGATCGAACTTTTTGCCCACGTTTCAATTCTGTTGGCATTTTTGAAGGTGGAAAACCTTCAGACTCAACAGTAGTTATCCACATACAGCCAAATTGGTAAAGCGAGGAACAAACTGAAGAGTACTCGATGGAAATGTTTCGTGTCTTTGTTAACAGGCTGCCTACAATATTTACGGAAGCATAGAGGGGCCACGAGAAAACAAATCTATCTGTATTTCTTGTGTTTGTCCCCGATTGTCGCTGATGCGCCTGCGTGCATAAAATTAAACAGAATTTATTTGATTTAACTGGCTATGCTATTTCGCACAAAGATGGGGACGATTGATTATGATAATATTGTCTGACTAAGTCATGTTAAAAATCTTTTCAGTCCATCTACATAATAACTATCACTCTTTGCTGCGGCATCCTCTGATCATTCTGTGCATTTATATCTGCAGAAATACGCCTCAACAGGGGTTTAATCTGCACGTCTGAAATTGCCTTGTGCATGACTTGTTTTCCGGTCGTAAACTACAAGATGGGCCTACCTCTACTCCTTCCTTACGGAGCGCTGCAGCGAGTTGTACGGGCGACTGGCCCGTGAACAGCCCATCGGTGAACACGAAGATGACTTTGCGTGCCTTCTTGCGTGAATGCACCAGAACCAGTCGCCGTGCGATCTGGAACGCCTTCTTCATGTTCGTCTCGCCACCTTTCAAAACAAGGGAAACACTTTTTTGTTTCGTTTCTTCCTTTCCAACAACCACAGTTTACAGGACTTTCTTAACATAAGATTAAGTCTAAGAAGTCACTTGATACGTGCAGCTGCCTGTCGGTCGAGGACAGACAAAACAGCCAACCATTCATCTTTTTTCACCAACAGTGCGACATCAAAACAAGTAACAGTCAGTCAGTTAGATAGGTAGTCAAGTCTAAGTTATACAAGTAACTTACAAGTAAATAAGTCAGTCTAGTATACAACATGGAGGAGATTAAACTGGCCCTCCGGGACCAACAAAAAACCTCAATATTAAATAACATTATTTTAAAAAATCATTTTCTCCTTAACTTCTGCGATATTGTTTTCAATACAAACAACCATTAAGAAGGGCTAGGTCCTGAAGTAAATCCACAAACAGCAAAATAAAACTTAAATCACGAGATTCAAAAACGGTAATATCCAATATATACCACGATATTTTCAAATACGTTATATAAGCTGTTTTGCAAAAAAAATGCGTTCGTTACTGTTTTCAGTGCCTTGGGACAAGATAAAACAGAAAAACAGGAAATGCTTTCCTCCATCTCTCGGTTTTGACATCAATACATCGCCCACTCCAACCATTTCAGGTGATTTATTTTCTACATCTACACTTAGAGTGTTTCACGCTTCCACAGGAAACCGTTCCAGTTGCGTAAGAGTCCCCAAGAAATCTTTGTATGGCACAGCCCCACATGCGCAATTAGTGTCGAGAACAATATGTTGTTGTTCAGAAAAGTCTTGTGTGTGGGGGGGGGGAAATTGCTTCGTAATTTTCGAGTTCGAAAACAGGAAGAATAAGTCTGCGGACTTGGCTACGGCTCATTTTGTTGGGTTGGGCAACAAATAAGGTTAGCTATGTGACGTCATCAGTATGGTAGAATTAACAAAAGTATAAAACAGATTCAACGAGCAAACTGCCCCTTTATGGTAATGAGAAATAGACTGCTTAAAGGGACAATATTGTAAAACGTGTGCATAAAAGATTGTCAAAATGAAACGGATTAAAATGCAATGGATTTCACTTAATCCGTTTCATTTTAATCCCTTCGGTATTCGTTTAAACAGAATCTTACACAGTGCAAATTGCTCAAGCCTAAGTGAGATAATTAGGACAGTGACAGGCCACGTGGGGTGTTAAAGTAAACGTTTATTATTGGAGTGTCGTTTGTAGGATCTGGCCATATTTTAACATCTTTGGAGCTCAGCAGATTTAAGAGCTTAATAAGAGCAACGTTTGACGGTCTCAAACCCATTTATGAAATAATCGACACTGTACTTCCCTTGTAATAATTATTCATAATACCTTCATAGCGAACCTCGTCCAAGCTACGAAGCACCCGTGGTACCGAGTCGGCATCGAACAGGTTAAGGCGTACGCTGGCCCCGCTACCGAAGGTAACGAGCGACACGCGCAGGCCCCCACCGGCCATGTAGTCCAAGGAAGTCAGATAGTCACGCAGTATGGCGCGGTGCTGGTCTGCATCGGCCCGCATGCTGCCTGTTATGGAATCGGAAAAGTGCGGGGTTTTAGAGGACCTTTTGGCTGAAACCTCCGGCTGTTTAAACAAATATTTAGAAATTATTTTTTTTAGCAGGTTGATGAAATTGATCCATTTTCCTTCGCCGAATCATTCATGTTCATGATAATAAAGCCAAATGAAATGAGTATAAAAGTTACCCGAGCAATCGATAAGGAAGGCAACCTCGATCCCAGGTCCTTCGTGTGATACCGCTGTTAGCTCTTCGGTTTTGGCAGGGGTCTCTCCGTGCACTGCGATTGAGAATGTTAAAAGTAGCATTAGTGTGACTTAAACATGTTTCAAAAAGCAAGCTTCAAACCTCAAAAAAGATTTCGTGGATCCACTGAATCGACTGGATATCATGGAAAGATAAATACATATCATCAGCAGAGGGCATTGTACTATTAGTTGAAACCTTTAAGCGAAGGTGCATCGTTGGGTGTGATCTATATGCACGCAAACTTGAATTTTCATGCGTCCAGGCCAGCGACGCAATTTATTCGGCTTGTGTTGTTTCCACGGGAGCAACTTCTAAGTTCTTACACGAAGAAAACCTATACTTTATAATTTAAAATTCCGGTGTTTAACAACATTATTGTGCGACTCTAAAACAAAATGACGTAAAATACTCCCAATCAATAAAATGACCAAGAAGTCAATGCACGGCAAAAACTAACGGTTCTATTAGCACCGAGGTAATTTTATTGGATGAATGATTTTATAAATTATGAAAATTTCATGATGTAAGTAAGCACGGCAATATTGTATTTGATGCATTGGCGAGAAACAATCGCAGTTACTAGCACCGCATCGCGTATATCACAACCCATAGTCTAACCATGAGTCCTATGCGCATGATTATCACGCATTGAATCCGATTTTGATAGTTTTCAGGTTTAGTTGCGTCTTACCTACGACTACCATGCAATAACTAGATTCGATTCGGGAGTGTGAGCGATTTAATTTAGACCGCAAGAAGTTGACTCAAAATATCTCGTGAAAGTGCAGTACCTTTTAAAATGGCTGCTTGTTACAAACAACAAAACTAGGACAGACAGAGTTGATTGGCATCGTGGTAAATGTGGCCCGAGGGTTTACCGATTGCCTGATCATGTTGAAAATGGTTATGAAAATGTCTCGCTGTTGAAAAGTATTCTCCCAGCCAAGGGAGATAACAATGGGCGAGCCACAAATGTGTTTGGTTATTTCACTATTCCTCAGTATTCAAGACACTACAGGACAGAGGGGGGTTAAGATGAATAATAAGCCAGTTTGGTATTTCATCTGCGCATGCGCACAATGATATGGGTCACGGGTATGCTATATCTATGGTCACGGGTCATTCGGGATAATCGAACGCTCATCGAAGGCGCTGCACGCGCACGGAGACGAGTGCACCATAGATATAGAATATATAGAATCAGGAGTGTCCCAGGGCACTGTTCTTGGACCGCTACTCTTCATCTTGTATCTCAACGACCTTCCGGAAGGAATCTCATCTCAAGTGAGACTTCTGGCAGATGACTGCATATTATACCGTGAAGTCCAAACTCCAGAAGACAACAAGAAACTACAAAACGACATCGATACCCTTTGTAACTGGGAGTCCAAGTGGCAGATGCGATTTAACGTCACCAAATGTTACGCCATGCACATGACCCAAAAAAGGAAACCTCTTCTGTCATCTTACAAGATAAACGGCAATCCTCTCCAAACAGTCACAAATAACACCTACCTGGGAGTAGAATTAAACAACAAACTGAACTGGGCCGAACACATAAGTAACTCTACTACTAAAGCAAACAAAGTTCTTGGACTGTTGCGCAGGAATCTGTTCAGCTGCTCCACCAAAGTTAAAGAAACTGCATATAAGACCCTGGTCAGACACAAGTTAGAATATTGCGCCAGCAGATGGGATCCATACCATCAGGAACACAAAAATAAACTTGAAGCTGTCCAACGCAGAGCGGCCAGGTTCGTCTGTAAGGACTTCAGGCGCACAAGTAGTGTCTCATCCATGATCACCCACCTCGGATGGAAATCATTGGAGGAACGCAGGACCATATCCAGACTAACCTTGCTCTACAAATCCATTTACCACAAAATCGCAATTGATGTTGATCAGTACCAAGTTGATTCCAAACGGGACAAAATGTCAACTAGAAAATCATCTTCATTATCCTTTGTTCACCCTACATCTAAGAAGAACTGCTACAGATACTCTTTCGTACCAAGAACAACAGCTCAGTGGAACCTACTTCCTACAGAAGTCAGGGAAGTCAGCTACTTCAGTGGAGTCCTTTAAGTCAAGACTCCATGAGATGCAGTTGTCTTCAACACTAAGGGGGCCTACTAACAAAATTGTTTAGGGATGCTGCTAGCCACCACGCGCCTGCAACCGTATATCCCATAGTGGAGTTTGCTTGCAGTACGCTACAGATACAGATACAGAATAGAAAGACTTCTATATCTATGGGGCGCACATTGATCTCCAATGGGGGCGCACGATCGATGCTCGCATCCGCGTACAACATCGCGTATCATGACGTCAGCCATTTTATCCCGAATGACCTTTGACATGGAATACTTGGCTTATTTCAAATTCGCCAGTCAAAGCGTCAAATAACGCTCTTGTTGCCTGCATAAGTACCTCAAGGGCAGATTCAGAGCTACAGTTTCGGGGCAGGGACCGGCTAGCCGACCATCGAGGGGTGGGAGTGGGCTTGTTCTCATCTGACGCTAGGGAGCGCTCTTTTCCCATTTTTGTCATCTTTCTTTTTATTACTATTTCACAAATCCGTAGAGAAAAAAAAGGTACCGATTTAGAGACCAGTCTTCACTCCGCTTCTAGTTTAATTATTGGGAAACAAATGCGACTTGTTGTGGCACCTGTTGATCCGTCTATAAATTGACTTTTTATGTATAACTGATTGATTCTCATTTACACTTTGTGTGTAAATTCATTTACGCTTTATGTCCTAGACTGCTTGTTACTGTGTTTATTAAGGCACGCTAAATGTGTAATAAATTTACAGAAGTACATACATACCAATGAAAAACTCTCCGAAGCCTTTCTCGCCAGCTTAATGCAAGAAAATGTAAAGAATTCAAAATCAACTGAAAAGTTGGTGTGTTGTTAGAAAGAAGAACAAAATGATATATATTAGATAAGTATCGTTCCATAGTTCATTTGTTGCTATAGGTGGAGCTGTGACTGTGGTATAGATCTTTACTTTGCATAGTGCAACCATCTCTGTGGAGTGTACTTTTGTTCCGCAGGAATACGCATAAGTAGACACCTTAAAAAAAAACACCTCATAGATGGCAGCCAATTTCAAAGGGTCAATATATCTCACCGTCACAGAAGCCGCAAGTCTTGGCGCAACTCTTCTTCATGTAGGCCGCGTACGAGGCCCGTTTGCAGGCGTACGCGATCTTAGTGCAGCCGCCTGGTCGCTTGTCCTCGCAAGAATCTTAAAAAAGAAGAGAGAGCATTTGATATTTACCACAGAAAGGTAAAGAGACACACACCAAAAAAGGTTTCCAAGATAAACGGGCCTAGAAATGAATGAAAGAATATATAGTTTGAATTACATGTATAACTCTGAACTAAATTTGAAAAACGGGAGACGCCTTTTCGGGTTTACAGTGCACTTATATGCTTTTTACATGTGCTGAATAATCCATGCTACATCTAACACATCACAGCGCCAAGTAATTTCGCACCTTCTTTTCGGCTGAAGGGTTTTCCGTACACATTATTAACCATATTGGACATATCATACGTCCTGGTGTAACCAACGATTGCATTTTTCACAACTCACAGCATTGTCACTATCTTTCACCTCTTTCCGGCAAGAAAGTAAAGCACACTCGAATTCGATCACTTCTGCCTCATCATTTCTACAAGATTTTGGTGAGCTATGATTAGCTGGGATTGATGGAAGTTTTCTAGATCCACTTAGATTGAATGGGCTATGCATGCCCGAGTTCCCACTACCGTTGTGTATCGAGCCGCCGTCTTGGATTTTTGATTTCCTAGACCTTGGCATTTCTTGACTGTCACTTGTTACTGACGTTGTTCTGGCTGTTCGAACCATAGTTATTTGGATATATCAGGCTCAACCTTCTATTTATCCCACCAAAACTTTTTGGTCCTCTTCTTCGCCAAAAATCAGCTTTTTTCCGGTCACTTCTTTTGGAGCTCACGGCAAACACGTCCGCTCACTGTAGCACCCTTATGTTTTGTACATATCGCCAAAATGGGGACCTTCGGGAATTGGGGACCCTATTGTACTCTATTGTTCAACGTCTCATTATTGAATGCAGAAACAAACTCACATACACCCAGCTCGTTTTTACTATACTCATGAGGACCTGATTCTTTCCTTCTCTTTTGTTCCCTTTTGTTTGTTCACTCAACTTTTTCTCGACTGCTCCCATAAGGTTTGTACACGAAATTCTCCCGAGGACATGGGCCCCTCGGGCCCATTGAAATCATTCACACCCCGTTGTCCGAAGTCCTCAGTCTGAATGGATAACCAGCCCACACACATACACAATGTCTACCGTACATTGAATGGAAATGACTGGAAATACGTATGTGAATGCCACAAAATGTCCGCCGCGTCCGATGTAAAAGACCGGGTTTTTGTTCGTCTTTTCTCGGTAACGGTAAGACATTAGGTTAGTTTCCTTTAACCAGATGTTTGAAATGGGATAAGTAAACAATCCAAAATGTTAAATATTTCAGGCCGGAAATTCGCATTAGCATAATAACCAAAAAGGCACCAAAATGCCCTTAAAATGGCAAAATGAAGATTGAAAATAAGGTTAAATTGGACGCAAAGGTGCATTTTCAAGGATTACATTTAAAAAAAATACATTACATGGGCCTCACATTTCAGATACCTCACATTGTTTGAAAACAATGGTATTTTTAATGTTATGTTTCACCTTCACACCTGACACCCTCCCAGCCCTCTGCGCATGTGCAGAAGCAGCCAGTGTCGTCATTAGTCAGGACCCCACTGTTACCGCACGTCAGTGTGCACTCGAAACCCGGCGAACTAGGACCAAACTTCTCTACATGGAAAAGAAATACATGTACATGTAGTGAGGCATGAGAATTCACGAGAGGTCACGTGGTCTGAGCGTCACTTGAAATTGTCATGCAAAGGGCTATGCTTTGCAAGCTTACGCATTAGGGATTTTCAATTTAAATGAAAACAACACATTAGCAACACGTGTACGTATTAATTTAAATGTGTTAGTGACCCAGGGCGAACAGTTCTTTGACAGCTTATGGGGCTACCCTGGTAAATTAAAACATTTAAACACATGGATAAAAAGAGCCTATTAAATTTTGGCGATCATTGACAATTTCCCAATTCAGACTGAATGAGAATCAAGATGTACTTGTTTTAAGGATCGCTTTCACCCTCTGAATTTTTCTGTTTCGGTTTCAATCAAAATTACGTTCTTTCTAAATTCCAAAGAGTGAAATTAGGGACTAGACGTTTTAGAGTGAAAATCACTCTCATTTTCGATTGAAATAGTCTAAAAAAAAGAACCACTCCAGTCAAAGCTCGAGTGAAACCTCGATCTTTACGATTGAAGAAATTTCACTCCATAACGGCTAGTCCCTACTTTCCGACTGTTGGATTGAATCTTCACTCGAATGGATACATTTATGTTACATTTACAAAACTTTAAAAAACGACATTCTGACGTAATATTCAGAAACAAAATATAGAGCGTACTGCTGACACCAAATTTTACAAAGATCTTTCACTAGCTCAAGTTATTGTAAAAAGTATATGTATTATTTTTATTTTTTTAGATACGGCAATTGAATTGAAACATTTAATTTGTTTTTTTTAATTATGCTCACGTACCACATCGCCCGCACAGTAGATGACATTTGTCGTAGACGAAATCAGTGGAGCATTGTTGCTTGGTATACGAGCCACGGTTAGGCTGGTTGTCATCCGGCTCACACAGTTCATAGTGATTTTGACACACAACTTTAAAAGGGAAAAAATGTTGGAAAATAAAAATAGTTTAGGCCCAAGTAATTTTTTCTCATCAACCGATTGAAGGTTATCCCTTTACCCTTATACTTTGATCACAAATTGTCGTTAGAAATGATTAACAAAACTAGCCGGTTGGATAATTTCGTCAAAATTGCTTACTTTCACATTGGCTCCCTTCCCAGCCTTTAGCGCATGCGCATCTGCATTCTTCGTCATTGGCAATCAGCGTTCCTCCGTTGACACAGTCGAGACGACAAACTCGGAAGAGAGAAAACAAAATAAACACTACCATCGTACCATTCAAGCATTACAAAAAATAAAGTCATCACCATTATCAACATCGTCACAGCCATTAATACAATCAGTACCACCATCACCATCACAACCATCATCAAAATCACTGTCAGCAATACCGCTCATCGTGAACAACACACATCTACGAAAACACCAAACTCTCCCTGAACATAAAAACACATCCTCCAAACCTGTACTGCCAATGCCACATAAGTCAACACACATAATGAGTTTAATAATATATATGTTTTGTGGTGGTCTGGAATTCATGCCTGTATAGCGTTCCCAAACGCTGACCGACGCATCAATTTCACACCTCGCTCCGTTCACTTTCTTGATTGACAGGAATTTTCACCGTTATCTTATAAAATTCGATTTAAAAAAATCGACTGCAAATAGACGTCATCTGGACATGTTTCCACAAGAGCACTCCCGATCCTCCGCTATTATATTCTTCCTTATTATTATTTTCTGGGGATAAGAAAAGCCGGGGTACTTTCTGGAAACAGGCATTTGTTATTAACGGAGTGGGATACTGAAATGTGCTTAATTTGACTGTCAGTCTCATTGAGCTGAGAGAATAGACGCCAGCTGCTTGCAGAGGCAGTAGGCAAATACTGAGAAGTGAAGGTTTGGGAAGAGACGGGAAGGTTGGGTTCGTCAAAAGGAGGATTTCATTTAAAAAAAAATCAATCATCGACGCGACATTTGTAGATGAAATCTTTTCACAACTTTATTTTGTGAAGCGTCGTGGCTCGAAATTAATTTTGTCCCGAAGCTGTTGCTGCTCAAATGTTTGTGAATCTTGAGCCAAGGCCAAAACCATTAATTAGTGTCCAAAATCTAGGTTCACCTTTTCAGACTTTGTCCCCCCCCCCCCCAATTTTGTGTATGCAACTTACCAAATCCGGGTGAACCTGGCCCAAAGGCAGCTGTTTAGACAAATGAATTCAAACATTTTTCAATATTTAGTTGCATTATTTAAAAATGCCAGAATAGCCTATTTGGGAAAGGGAAACATTTTCTGCTAGGCTTTTTTGCTAGTCACAAAAGGTTCAAACTAGTTTCCGCTTTGTACCTATCTGACTGACTGACTCCCCGACTGACAGACTGACAGACTGACTGACTGACTCCCCGTGACTGACTGACTTTCATTTGTCAAGTTAGACTAATTGTAGAGTGGTGGAGAGAGCTGGGAAGTGCTATCGTATAGGATTACCTCGTGACGCCAATAAATGAGCTATATCCGGTCCATTGTGTAGACCAGATGCACGACAAGTCATTCAGTGAATAGCCATTCTGAATCAATTGAAAATTATGATATTCGCTCGTAGAACAGCTATCATAGGTTCTTGTCTTGTTTTCCTAACGAATGCCTTGAATGTGTCGAGAGAAGCAGACAGTTAAGTATCACGTTTAAGTTAAGTCACATTTTCACCATTCTTAAGCGACTCAAGGTTTGTTTCCAACGATGCGGCGACTGGAATATAGATGAGTGCAGAAGGCACTTAGTTCCGTAAATCGCCTTACCGCATTCGCCGCACATTGCCGGGCACAAATTGGCCACGGGCGGGGAACTGCATTGATACTTCCCCCACAGGCTGCATTTCTCGCTCTGGTCTTCGCACTTTTCTGGATGGAAAAGAGTTAAAAAAAACCGCAAGCACAGTTACCATGGAAACAGATACGAACGTATGTAGTGACGTAGGCATGAGGCGGCCACAAGGCTACATTAAATGAAGTGCGCAATCGGTGGCCTTTGCAGGAAGAAAAAAGCCACGAAGCTTAATGTTTGACTTTATCTCGATATCAAGTTGGACTTGGGTCGGGGTTTCATTTTTTTTGCCAGCATCAAATAATACGGTACGCCGGCACATACTACAGATAATTCGTTCAGTTGCAAGGATGATTTTATTAGCGAAGTCTGTTAATTCTAATAGTGAATTTAAATTTAACTGAACATTTTATAACTCATGATTGTTTTTGTGCTTCACATTTTTAAGGCACTCTATACTTCCAGTACATCAATTGCGTTACACAAGCGTACCGATAAATTTCTGCATCTAGAATGATTAATAAGGCCCACCAGATAAAAAAAAAATGATACTAAAAATATAATATATTTTTTTTTTTATCATCTATATTTTCCTGTGCATTGGCCGCAGCCCCATGTGGCCATATTTTGTTACGCGAGCGGAAATAAACGTTGGCGTGTTTTGGACGTAAATGCTTACCGTTACACAACCTTCCCCGCCAGCCATTGGCGCACTCACAGACACAGTCCTCGGTGTTTAAAGTCCCACCGGGCTCACCGCAGTCTAGATCACACACTACCGCAAATAGAAACATTAAAGAAAATTGAACAACACAAATAAATTTCTAAAACATTATAGGTTTTCCCAGTTATTTTAACACTTGTATCATTTAAGGTCCAAGAAAAGATACTTTAATTTCGTTCCAGAACGTCGTTGGGCTCCATTGTTAATTCCGATTTCGAATTTACACCAATATATTTCATATTTGGTCCAGTCTAATTCGCCATTGTAAACATTCTGTTCCGTCCTAGCTTCGGGAAATTCGACTCAAGTGGAGAATGGTATTGAATTGAAGAAAATTTTCATATTTGGTCCATTGTTAAAGTTCGAAATTGGAAAAAGACCAACGACGTTCTGGAAGGAAATTAGAGTGTCTTTCCGATTTGAATGATATATTTGTTTAATAGAGTAAATGGGAAAACCTATTTTTATACATAAATGGTGAACTGCTAGAGGTGTGTAGTGATACACATACATTTAAAAAACAAATCATGATATATTTTCTTTAATTCTTCTGTAGAGATTTGTTTCAATAAGAAGCCAAGTTTCTAATAACGTCAGTGTATAATTATTCCCCTCGAATGTCTTTTTTTTAATCACATGTTAATCTATTTGCTTATCCGTCTTTGTCGTGAACAACTCACCAAAACCCTCTGAACTTGGTCCATATTTTTCTGAAAGAAATAGAAGGAGAATTACTTTCGAAACAACAACTTTATACCAAGGTTTCCTTTATACGAATCGCAAGCCTGTTCATGCATATTAAACACAAACAAACAAACAAACACCCCAACAACCCAACAAACAAACAAACAAATAAACAACGCAAACAGAAGAAATCGCCACTTAGTGCCTTTGAAACAACCCAAATTTTCACTCTCGTCTATGTGACATTTTCAGTGACATTTAAAAACAGGTTCTCACTCCCCAGAAATGCCAACGCTGAGTTCGTCGGCCGTGAAATAACGTCAATTGAGTTTTTAAAAAATTTAGTTTTGTTTGGTGGATAGTAAGGAAAATGTTGCCAAGCATACGTCTAGAATAGCCCTACCCGACGCCGATGTAATGTCGGTGCGTGCTTGTTAACGTGTTGGCCTAATATATTCTGCCTTCAAATTTGCAAGTGCCATAACAAGGGTCCAAGTTGTTAAGGAAGAGGCATTGAGGAGCTCATTTTCTAGAGGCGGGCACTGATTGGGTTTCAAACAACAAAAAGATGTCTTTTTCTTTGAGAGAAGGGTTCTACAAAGTCTTAGGGATGCAGGGGGGCAGGGGCACAGGCAATGAACTAGGAAGGGCGTGGAATTGCAAAACAAGGCGTTATAAATGGAGTTCAAACTGTTTCATAATTCTTTAACATTTTCAGTTCTTTTAAAATTTAGTATATCACAATTATGCTTCAATCTTAACGTAATGGTGTATTGCTATTGGTCTAGCGCGCAGACTGATGATGTAACCTATAGGCCTATGCTAAATTTACCTTTACAGTAAAATGCACTTTATCTCATGAACTTTATGGCGACAGACACGGTACAAGAGAAGCCGATGTTTCTCAACATTATTGCTTTGTACTCAATGAGAGCAGCAGGACGTGACTGAACATGGAATTAGTGAGTTAGTGACACGTAGCTATCAGCGACCCGGTCATGTACTTGAGAGAGAGGTTATAGGGCTGTTTGCTCTAATGAGGTCGTCCTTAGGGACAACGCGAACCTGACATGGGTCTGTTTGTTTTCACGGGAAGAACGTGACTTGAATTTCATTTCTAGAGATGCACGGTTGTCCTTTGACTTTTTTTCACTGAACGAATATTACACCAGCGGTGGTGTGCCATTTGTTATCTTTCACAATAAGAAACACTTGTGCCAGGGTATACGTGGGTTCGAACTCAGACGGGGAAACACTGGGCTTATGTTCTTGGGCAAGGTACTTTACTATAACTGCCTCTCTCCATCCAGTAGTATTAATGGAGGGTAGAGACAACATTGTGCTGACCTCAAACTGCTGCAGAAAAAAAATTGTCTCATGGCCTGATGAATTGGGGTGATACTAAGTGCTTTGTATCCTTTGGCAAAGGCGGTAAATACCACTAATTATTATTATTACTTACGGCTTGGTTAAAAGATACGGTTGATACGTGGACACAATATGAGGGCGCTATGTGAAGTGGGTAAACCATTCTCTAAAGAGCGCCCTCAGATTGTGTCCGCCATCTCAATAAGGCTAATAGGTACTTCGCACTGTATTTGTTTTTTAAGTGGGGCTGGATTTATAGCAAGATATCGGTACTCGATTGGATTCTCATGATGGGCGGGGGTCTATGACACTTTTCGAGTACTTTATGAGATAAATAAAACGCTGTCACCCATATCTAAGGCGTGCAGGCCCACCGGGTAAGTGTTCAGATTGCTGTAGAAGTAAATGTCATTGCACTGATCAGTATCTACAGACTTCATACTCGATGGCAATCGGTGAGTTAATGAACATCTCCTGTAAAGTACGGTTCATTGCATCGACTGACCGTAGTGCAAGTACCTAAAAAGATCTCAAGATATCTCGCTATTATCTGAAGGCAACATCCAACTATCAATTGTCATACGGTGAGCTGCAAATTTAGAAAAGGAGATTTGTCCACGCTTCAAAAATTGGTTCTTCTCACGTTTTTATTCGCAGGTGAGTTAAAAGCGCCAGCCGTCAAAGCCTCGCTCGTCCCGAGGGGACGTCAGTGTTTCCAGCGGGAAAATTGCTACCACGCTGTCTTGACAACGGTTTTGCCACCCTTAAAAGAAGTGCCATGCAGCGATGATTTGTCGCTCCATATCGGCGTCAAGAACGCTCACCTCTTGTGGGTGAAAACCATTAACGCTTAAAACCTCAATCCACCACCCACCGTCGTCATTACAATTTGGCATTCAAGGAAAATCATTTCGCGCAATAATTGGATGTCGTGTGGAGGCCATTATTGGGAGGAGGTTGTCTATGATTTGAACACACTAGAGTTGTCACTTTTATTTTGTCGCTCAAAAACTGATTTTTTTTTGTTGCTTCGGCTGAGAGGTGCTGAAAGGCAAATTTACTGCATGATGTTTTCGCATCGATGCAGTTTTAGTTCGGTTTGAATCGGCTTGATTGAGATCCAATATAATTTGGGTAATTGGCGTAGTTGGACAATCGTAACTTGGTGAACAAAAAGTGCTGGCGCGTTTTTACCGTCCTGGCTAAAACATTTATTAAACAATTTATATCGGCACATAAATTTGAGTAGCCTAAATGTGGTCACTGAGAAAGTTTGATCGAGTGTACATTTGCGGTCAGTGGGACACTATAATTGCATAATTGAACTTTACAAATTTATGATACCGAAGTGCAAGGCATCACCAAGGTTTGACTCGTGATTGCCGAGAAGTATCTAACTTGGTACAGGAATGGTTAGGGTGGTGTACTGAGTTAGGCCCTGCCTCTTTTTCCGCTCTCACTAATCGGGGGTAGTATATAGTGTATACCCATCTTTGTCACTCGCACCAAGCAGGTACTTAATACATGTATTATCTATCTTTCTCACTCACACCGATCGGCAAGGGCGATGATCGGGGGAGGGGAGAGATAGCGAGGGGAAATGGGCCATTGGATCATCCCCCCTTCCGAATTTTGCTGCAATGCTGATTTTAAGGTTATTTTCTAACATTCCAACAGCCCAAACGTATTAAATAGCACTGATAAACGGAATGTGACGAACTGCACAAAAACATTAACAGCGCACCCTGACCCTAGTGCCGTGTGGTGCCAGCCCCAGCCCCCCCCCCCCAGAATGGATATGACCGGACAATTTTAGGCTTTTGGTCATCTCCCCATGCCCCCTCCCATCCCCACTCGCCGGAACATATTTACGCCACCGCTGATCAAGGGGTATATAGTGAGTACCGACATTGTATCTTTCTTACACACTGATCTGGGTATAATAATGAACACCCATCTGTCTCACCACAAATTTTGGGGTGAGCGGACAATTGCGAACATCGAAAATTCAGGTTTGTTTACAGAAACAGCCATGGGCGTCGCGAGGGGGGGCACTTGCCCCCCCCCCCCCGAAAAGCAAAAAAAAAAGGGGGGAAGGGAAGAAAAAAAAAAAAAAGAAAGAAAAGAAAAAGAGGCGCGAAGACAAAGTGGTGTAAATTTAATGAGTTGGGGGGGGGGGGAATGTCCCTGCCCCCCTCTAAAACTGATAAATCGAGAATGTGTTGAGAAATACAAGCCTTTTTTGGCAAAAAAAATGTTGCCCCCCCTAGAAAAAATCCTGGCGACGCCCATGGAAACAGCTTTTTGGTTATCAGCAATGGAAAGCCTTTTTCTTTTTCGTGACGTGCTTTCCTTCTATAGTCCTCAATTTTGTATCTTGAAAATGTGGTATTTGTTCGGGTCTTTATCTTCCAGTCAAGACCTTTATGCAAGAAACTCAGGGAAAATCTCGAATTACTTTCACAGCGGCCTAACACACTTCTTAATGTCAAGGCAGTCGTGCTGATAGTAATTTAAAATGGAAATAAAATGTTTGATAATCCTTGTTATTTGGTAATCTAAATGTCAAGGCTTTCTGTCTTAAATTAAAGATCAACGATATTCAACAATGAACACCACACTATACACTACCTAAATGTCAACGACAGATACTTGCAAACATAAAAAATGACCTATTAGGGCGAGTCTAATGGGGATGTTTTAAAGTTATGTATTTTTTCGAGGGGAGGTTTAAAAAACGAGAGGTTTTTGAGATCCTTTTCTCCGGATATTGAACTCTCGAATTGTCAATTTTGTCAATTTTGAGTTTCAGATTTCCACTGCCGTCAGTCGCGGCGGGAGATCAAAGATCGCGGCGGCCCAGACAAGCACGAGACGGAAAGTGGATAATGTCTCCAGTTAAAAAAAACACACACACACTAAAATAAAATGGGGAAAACAATAATCGTGTCCTTAGTGCGCATGTGCTCGAGAATGAAACAATACATATTGCAAAATAATTATCAAAACGGCAAAAGTAATTAAAATACACAAACCAGCGGCTAAAATAACTACTGTTTCCAAAATCACACTAATGTTGATAAAACCCTAATTTCTAATTTTCACAAAACGTACAAAATTAACACTATTTCAGACGGAAAAAGGGAGTCTGAGTGCTACAGAAGAACTAACATTATTTTATATAGGATAGATTTATAATCGTGATATTTAATTGTGACAGCAAATTTACTATATCTTTATAGAGGCTATAATTATGATAAATGTTTCTCTTGCAGGGATGAACTGTTTTTGGATATTAAGGTAACATATTCTATGCTCACCTGTTGGTTTTGTTCCTCAAAAACTTTTGTTCTCCTTTGGTGACTCTTTAAACTCGTTATTATATTCTATTAATTAGTACCAATGAAGGTTTGATGAGATTGCAGTTCAATGCTGAATGGAATTTAGGCTTTTTACAGTCTTTTCTCTGTTAGAAAGTTTTAAAGCCGTATCACTGATTCCAATCATTGTCACTGTTATGATGTTTACCACAATTTCATAATCTGTCAGAACTACGTTAGGACACTTGGTGGCAGCAGACACCATAAATGAGCATGCGCAGATCTTGCAAGTTTGCTGCCCTCATGATCTCTTAGAGATGCCAATCATTCTTACCACAGAATCCACAGGTTGCCGCGCAGTTGGTGGCTAGGAACTCCTCGTATCGTTTATCGGCGCATAGACCAGCGTAGCCACGGCAGGCTTGCTGTCCGCGTGCGTCCAGACATTTTTCTGCCACAAAAATGAACGGAAAAAGGAAATGTCGAAGCGGTAAATTCGCAGCTTGAGCTCATAACTATGCCCTATCTTGTTTTCATTGATATTGCCATTAATGCATCAGGGACTGCAGCACTTAGATGTAACACAGGTGAAGTCCTAGTACAACATTTTGACTGTAAAGAAAACAAACATATCCAACTGCTCGATTCGCTCATTTTAACGGATATTTTGTAACTACGAACAGAGTTCATCAGCATCAATACAAACTTTGCCTATAATTACAACGAACAAGTATCGCCTTTGTATATTGCAACCCATGTCGTCATTTTCAATACGTTTGGCCATTCATCTCGAGGTAGCCAATTTACCTGCTATTACAAAAAAATCACCTCAAAGAAAATACGCTGGGGAAAGTGATCGGGAGTTTTTGTTAAAGAAATGCTTTCACCATCACATCTGTCGCCTTGCCAACCGTCGCTGCACAAACATTGGCAGGCATCGTGTGTTGTGTGCGATTGACCATGTTCGCATACTCCATCGCACGAAATGTCAGTATTAGCCTGCGGACAGTCAAACAGCGTAAAAAAACTCGTTAGAGTTACACAAAATGTCACATTGCATTTTACAAATTAAGGCTCGAATGGCAACGTGATGCATGATCAAGAATCTCATGTTCCATATCATGTCTTCACGTTTGTGAATATCGATGAATACAACTGTAAGCGGTATTTTTGTTTTCTTTTCACCGAGGTGAATATAGTAGAAAGAGTGTTAATAGGAACCAAGGGAACTTCTTGACATTTCACATGTTCACTAAGGTCTGATTCACGAGAAATGAGGCAGAGAATTTGAGCAGATTGGGTGACAATAGATTGTCATTTATCCCGCCTTACACCCATTATGGACAAACAGACACTGCCGAGCTGTCAAATAACATACCAAGTGACAAAAGCCTGCAAATTGCTGTCTTCTTTTCGACTTTGCTCTTTGCTTTGGATATGTTTTGCCTGAACGTTATCAAAAGGAAAGAATACGCCTATTTCACAACGAATCAATGTACATCTGGTTTGGGTGTCACTAACCGATCGCCCATTTATGACCTGAAAACAAAACATATTGCAACTACTTGCAACTCGTTAACGTTTACATCACATGAGAACATTTACTTCAGATGAAATTTATTAACATCTACACTCCAAGGAAAGTTGAAAAGTGAATTATAAATAGACAGTCTTGTATCAGCGGAACACTTGGCCAGAGAATAAATCATTTATCATGAAATTTGATACCTTCCAGACAGATGAAAATCTGAACTGATGAGCCGATGGCGGTTTGAACAGGGATCTATACAGAAACCTGAAATATTCATCTGCCGTGTCCATCGGCCGAAGTGACATGAATAATTTATTATCAAGAAGCGTGCGAAGGGTTTGTTCAGTTGAATATGTTACTTTTGACGAGAGGGTTCATGGCAGTTCTCAGGAGATTTTTCGTTTGAATTGAGTAGAGAAGACTAGTTAGAAACTTTCTTGGGATGAGTTACTCCAAACGACTTGGAGCCCCTAATTGACAATAAGTCTTGTCCCTTCTTAATGATAAACGTTTTTTTCATATTTATTTTATTCCTGAATTTAATAACCAGCTTTCGCACCTTGCCGATGTAATTGCAAAACATTGTTTAAACTCAATAATGTTCTCGAGCTTTGAGGGAAAAATCACAAGCTTGCTCCAAATAATTTGATCAATGTAGCCAAATGAAACAAGAAAAGGTACGAAACCTCAATCCTCCAAGATGGGCTGGTATCCATTTTTTTCTTGAACCATGCGTTGGTAACAAGGACATGGTTTTGTTTTGCTGATCACATACAGGTTACAACCAAAATTCCGTGCGAGGTCTCCGGCTTGTGACTGATATTAAGTCACATTTCCTTTGATATGGAAGCATATCCAAACTCTTCAGCAAAAAATAAATGAAGGGAACCAAAAATGGTGAAATATAACCCCTTTGTCCTCCTTGAATATAACTTTAATCAAGAAAAGTGTTTAGCGCAGTACTTAAAATTTAATTGAATGTGTACTACGTATTTTGATACAAAGTGCAAGTCTATTCTAGAGACTAAAACAACACATGATATGCGAACTAGAATTCTAAACAAAAATACGTTTGTTTAGAGTATACACCTGGGAAGCAATTTAACCCTCATTTTCTCACAGTGAATACTCAACTGGTTTATGCTGAGAACCCCTCCCATTGTATGAATCAATTCAGTCAGAGAATTATCCCTGCAAAACACCTGAAAACTTAACTGTGGAACTGTACCTCGTGAGCTGGAATTAGCAGAATCAGAGGCAGGAAAACGAGCTCTGCAAAAGCAAACATGATTGAACTCCGTCGAGGTATAGGCCTTGCAGAAGGAAATGGGGAGCTGCCTTGAGGGGATTTCGGTAGTGGAGATGTTCAAATTCGTGTCCTTCAGGCAAAGCCTAGTGTCAATTTCTCAACTCGATCAGTGGATCCTCTGGTAACACATTGTTGAGTTTTCGCTTTTATACTTGCCATTTTAATGTAAATTATGCCCACGTTTTCATAAATCGATTGTCGTGATTAAGCCAGTTGTTTGGTTTTCTTTGGTAACACATGTTTTAATTAATTACACTGGTTGCATTGTAAACCTGGTTGTGGTTTATGTAAGACACCAGCTGGAATAGTTTTTATGAATTTGAAGGGGTGACGTCACAATGCGTCATTTTGTTCGAATTTAACATCTGTGCATGGCAGAACCGACGCGTTTACTAACCCGTTACAAACTTACAATAGAAAAAAAAATTATCGACGTGAAATCCCGATTTTATTTAAATGCGCATTGAAAACTTTTAAAATTTGCCCCAAAGTAAGGATTATTGCTGACAAACATATGACTGAATATTATGAGTGGACCCCAACTTGTTGACGTTCGGAATACATATTACAGTAGTTATTATTGCTGTTCACAACGTTCCCATAGTAGGTTTTTATCACGGTCATGGTATAATTATACTGAAAGACGTTTTCCAGGCAACGCTACGTGAAGAGGAAAGTCGGGGGAAAGTTTTCTTGTTTAGCGTGGAGCCCCCACGACCCAGGGCCCCTCGCAACCTTAATCCGGCCCTGGCTTATAACTTAACCATTGGAAATTCATGTGAACAGTCAACCTTTTCACCCACTCAATATCTTTATAATTAAAATGTCAAACAGTGATAAATCAAAACGAAGAGCGAATTATGTAGGATCCGGTCGCAACTGTGATTGTCATTCCGTCCACGCTAGGGACCTTAAGTACCCGGACTCCGTTCAAGTCCTCGAATGGTAATACGTTATTTCTCTCTTGCCGACTCTGTTTCAGAAATAGAAACTCCTGATCTCAGAGATAAATCCATCGGTTAAGAGAGAAGAGCAAATATCCCCTCTCATCGGCTTTCTGTCTGGGTTCAATGACTGCGGCATTTGGCGGGGGAACGCGAAGCCACTCCATCATGTCTCCCGATCGGATTCCAGACTCGTTCCTTATTTGAGGGGACATCGTTTTTAAGAGAAAAGCTCTCCCAGGAAATGTCATCGTCCCAGACAGAATATGGATTAGCAGGTTGTATATCTGCATTGAGAAAAGGTCAGACGTCCTTTCACAGGGGGGGGGGGGGGGGGGGGGGAGTGAAAGGCAGGAAATTAATTTTGCTGGGATTGGTTACAGTTTGCGCACGATTGAAATTTGGGAAGCTAGTCACTGTCTCCATTTAAATGTTTCAGAAGTATTGTTCTAGGAAACAGGAGAAGATTTGAACCTAGTTAGAATTGTGCGATTCGTGTTTGCTTTTGGCATATCTACAAACGAGTTTTGTCAGTGCAAAGAGCAACCCACATTCAAGGTGCATGCTCATAGTCCCGCGATCTTCAACATATTCGACTTTTTATTCTCGTACCAAATCTAAAATTTATTTAAACGGCAAAAATACCCCTGCATTATTGTAGGGTCGTAAATAATTCGAAATTTGTAAAGTAAATATTCCAGAACTAAGCATGGACGGATTTTTTTCTGGATAACTTATTTACAAGTGAATATGGCAATTTAATTTTTGGTGTGAACCTCGAGAAAGCATGGCCAGAGAAACTATAAAGTACTACACGTCATGTTTGAAAGTACTTCAGAAATACAATGACAGAGCTAAGATTGAAGTTCCATATAATCTAGGGCTTATTTAGCCATCCGGCGAGTATTTAAAAAGGCATGTATGTTTATGCAATCCCCCGCTCTCGATCTTTTAGCTTGCAAATTGTACATTTGCAGGATACTTCCAGAGAATTCGTACGATTAAAGGCCACCGCACAGCATTAGTTTTTTTGCCATTTAGTTATCTTTGTCTTTAATGCAATATGCGGATTCAATCTTCTTGACATTTTCAAACGCAGCCGAAACCTTTCAAGCGGATTTAATGCGATCAGAGATTTCAAAGATGCTGAAGCTTGCCTGGCCTTAGCGTGCCATTAGTACGGGAGCTCAGGAATTATCTTGTTTTCATCGGCCAAACCTGCAGTTACTTCGCTTGCACATAGGACGGCAACAACCGCGAAAACAATAAGCTTATATCAACTTAGAACATGATTACTTATGCACGCTTGAGGACAGCGGCGTAACTCTGAACTCCTAAGACCTAAAGTTACCTTGACAAAAATTAACCGATGCTCGAACGCCTTTTGTACTCAGTTTACAATAACGAAGGTTTTCGGCTCCAAATACCTTTTAAAAAATGTCTGTACATGGCTCTATACGCCCTTTAAAGTGGCTTTGTTGAGAAAATGCAAAGGAAAAAGCAAGGAAATGTCTGCACGGAAATTAATTCTGACTAACTTTCCGAAGAGACTTACAAAACCAATCCATACATTGTACTAGATAAGATTTGAAGGGTAACAAGCGATCCCTAACAGTCCTGAATCCTCCAATTTAATACGATTTTGCACAATATTCCTATAGGGAGTAGTTACAAGTAATCAACATTCTCTAAATAAGATTTCGTATTTCACGAAGCTAGAGAGATGAAGTTAAGTTTAACATCTTTGTCCGTTCTTCGTATATAAACCGCGGTTGCAATATGAGACTTAACTTCAAACATGTTGTCAGTAGCGCACTAATAACTTGGTAGTAATCTCTCACCGAACCGTTAAAAATGAGAGTCTCGACTTCCGCCAATTAGAGTGGTTTCCATTCGTTTAGAACCCACTTCACAGATCCCTGAGCTCACAGTACAGCAATCACTGAAACAACCACTATCTGCGTCTTGAAGCAACTCTAGACTGTCGTCACTAATAGGCCTACTCGTTTGGGAAATTTGCTGATGGATTTTTCCGCCCGTCACAGACACAGTCTAAGCCGAGCAGAGACGAAAGTATCAGTCAGTCTTATTTTAAGTCTGCTATTAGTCTGGTTCCGGAGGTAGGTAGCCGCCAATTTCATGTGTGGTCGACCCGGGAAGAATTTCTCCGAGTTCCGAATAATGACTGCGACTGTGTTGCTTCAAGTTTTCATGTGACATCTACCTGACCTACAATTGATTAAAGACGTCAAGGTGATCATCCGGTCAGGGAACCAGACTATAGTCATTGCAAACAAACCATGCCAATAAAGCAGCCTAGTCACGGTGTTTCAAGAAACCTCGGACGTTAATTACCCTTTGATGCGAATTGCCCTTTGATGCGAAGCCTTTCATGGTGGAATGGATAAAAATCTCTGTGAAGAAATTTAAACTTTAAGATTTGAAGGTTCACAATGTGAAGATCACTGTTATTATTCGCTCGTATACAAGCGTCTATGATATCTAGCGATTAATTATGCGAAACAAGACTGCGTCTTGACCTCGAGATTCTAACCATTCAGCGGGCGCCTTGTATGTACGGGTCCTCTGTAATTCGTTGTTGTATTACCAAAAATAAATGCCAGGCTTATTGACCAATCAACAGCTAAGTCCACATTTCTGACCTAAATGATGTCACACTGAAATTAATCAAATCCGATTGGCTGGCGCGCGGGGTCGCATAAAATTTGCATGTTAAGATATATCAGACGTTGGATACGGAGAGCACCGTTAGACAACGGGTACTACTCAGACTAGGTGAAGATAGCACTAACATAAAGGATTATGGCAGCACCATTTGACAAATCTCTTTTGTGAATTTGTGAGATTCTGAAAAGAACCGGGGGAACTCAATGTTTCAAAATTTGAAATTGGAAGAACTGATGGGGAGAAAGTCTTGACGTTTATATACAATGCTTTGTCTCTCCCCTGGCACATGGAGCTACAGCTCATGAGGCAACATTCCCAACATCGAGCCTTTACTCGGAACAAATATTGTTTACAGAGTTAAAAGTACAATTCATGAACTAATTAATTACTTCATTAAATAATCACATTGCATTTTAAGCACCTCTCCTTTTTAGGAACCGTTGAAATTCACTTAAACTTTAAATAGAAAAAAGCAGGAGAAAGGTGTTGATTGTGATGACCTGTGATTGTGATGATCGTTCATTGTGATGTCCTTTATAAGTGCATTCTTATAGCTTTCATTAATCCACTGATACTCAGCGGACAGGTTGAAGTTATTCCGTTGTGGAATGGGATCATTACCGCTCAGGTCATATAAGTTTCACACACTTTTTACTCCATCAATTCCGTGGCTATCGTAGGCAATATGTTATAGTTAATTGTGCACGGGGACACTTCGGGTCATTATTTTTTGGAGGGGGAGGGGGACATAATGAGTTTGGACATAATTTCAAACGATACAAATTTCCTTTTGCAATTTATCCCAGTTCATAGCGGGCTTCCCGAAGGACACGGGTCACAGCCCCCCCCCCCCGCTCCGTTATGGCTTAACCCTTAAAGGGCCTAAAAGGAGCCTTAAAAAATGTTCGCGACCCGAGCTGTTGTGACTTTTTAGCCCGGAGTCTTGCGCATCTTTTGATACCAAAAACATGAAAATTGGACCACGGGTTGCCGCGTAGCGAAAAATTTTCCGGCGCTAAATTTCCGTCAAAACTGAATTTCCCCATACGTCGTGTAGGCCTACACAGAGCAGAATTATCATTCGTACATATGAATAATTAATTAGCCATAATTCCAAAACCCTTTGACGTATAGTCATTAAATTCCTTGGGTATGTTCATGATTAGTTGATCTATGCATGTACCGAGTTTCAAAAATTGTTGTCACTCGATGGCCGAGATCTTAAGGGGGGGCTGTATCCGCCCCCCCCCCCCCGGCTGAGAGATGGTTAAAAAAAAACCCGGCCCTTTTAGGGTTAAGGGTTACTGGATACATCGACGGTTTGCGCGTTAGGACATGCCTAGGGGCAATTATAGAGCGTACATAGGGCGAGGGGTACAGTCAGGTTTGCGATATGCTGTTGTAATTTTTTTTAATGGGTCACGGTCACGTGATTAATTAGTCATTACCCCGCGTAGCGACCTCAAGGGTTTTGAAAGGAGACAAGAAATAAATTTGTTTTTTCCCCTCTTAATTCTGGTCGGGGCTGCACAAGGGGGCCTCAAGCGGGCGTTCATGCTCCTCTCTACGTGCCTCTGTTCGGAACAATCTTCATTAGTGTCATAGCAGAGCTCTCAGATCAAAATGATAGTCTTCATAGTTCATTTCAGCATGATCAAGATGAGTGTTCCTTGTTTACCATTCATTTATTTCCCGGGACAGATGATAGCCAAAATCCCTTCGAAATGAAGGAGAGGATTTCTTCAAATCTCTGCTCGTTTTTAATTACCTTGCAGCGCATAACATTTTACTTTTTCTGTCCCCTCCCCCCCCCCTTTTTTTTGGCTTCTAAATATTTCCGATAGTTTGCTCCCGGTTTTTCATTAATTTCTCCAGACAAGGAATTCCGAGACCTCAGTCAAGTGCTTGTTTTTTTTATTAGCAGGCGTAATTCTGTGCATCAAGATTCTTCCGAACACAAAATAAATTATTTTTTCCTTTAGGTTAAGGTTCAATCTTTGGTTTTTTTATTTGAATTGTTGGGTTGTTGTGTCCAAAATTGTGCTCGAAAGCGCGAGTCCAAAATTGAACCGGCAAATAATTTAACTTGCCCAGCTGTAATAATCAGTGCCGGTATCGGATTCGAATGTGTAACAACATTGTTCTCAAATCAAAATAGATTTTTGTTCTCCTGTATCAAGTTACCGTTTGAGGTATAGAATTATTCTCGAAGTCCGGAAAATCGATGGCGCAAATTAAACAAAATCCCATACGTAACCGGGGTCTCACCGGAGTCGCAACGCATCACGAGATCGCACGGGGAGAAATCGTCCAGCAGACCGTCATGTAAGGGTTCTGAAGGCCACCCTTGACGTAGTTGCACCTACATCTACATCTCCCCATCACCGGCATTTCAGACGGCACGACGAGAGCTGATTGCTAGGTAAAAGAACCCTACTGCAGGACAAAATCATACTACTAAAAACGGCATGGGAATTGGATGTTAATCAGGTGAACCGTACAAAAAACACATGTAACTAAAAGCCGGTTTGTCCCTTACTCCCTCGATGTATTTCTGTGGTTGTTTGCTTGAGTGCAGCGTGGAATTATCACTGCTGTGCACTGACATATACGCAAATTGCGTTTCTATAGTGACTGCAAGCGACCGAAGGACATGATTGGCACTTCTTTAATACAGGATGTTCGCGAACGGGAGACTCGAACACGAATACTCAGTGAGAGGACGGGCGAAGACGCAGCAAGCAGAGTGTTTTCTCGCCGGCAAAGACATGTCAATTATGCCGTGTGATTTCACGGACTGAGCCACCTGCGATGACGGATATAGACTCTCTGCTGGTTTTTTTTTTAATAATGCAGTGTTGCTCGTAGGCATGCTGGGACCGACGCGAGGAGCATAATACGCGATGAGTGACTTAGCACGTTAGTAGTACCACTGAGAGAGGGATAGGCATTGCGTGTGTCGTCAGGTGGTGCTACACGTGCATTACATTTACATCTTGAACTGCCGGTGTCTACTCACACCAGGAATAGTCACTTTGCCTAGAAGGCAAGGATCAAGCCGCTTAGAATGCCAACGAGCCTCTCCATACATACACTACAAAGCTATCGAGCTAGCAAGATGCTAGCTCGTGTTTATCAGTGACCACGCACGTTGGATTGCCAGAGCGGGCTGGAGGCAGGATGAGCGGGAACGCGAGCGAAGGATTCACCGTCCCGCAGATGGAATATTCGACCCCAACCACCGTCTTGACTGGGATGCAGGTGGGAACTACAAGCCAGACGCCCTGGCAGGAGTGCCAGCTGAGCTGGCAGAAGACTAAGGATGCCCTGGGAGCTGGGATGGAAATCCACGTCTATGGGTTCGCAGTGGTGTACGCCCTGACAGGTGTTGTGTCTGTGGCCCGGCTGCACAAGCTCTACACCTTCCGGGCCGGGCGGCTCATGAGTGGCTTCCACTTCAAGATGAACATGCACATATCCACGCTGATATTTAGCCTGCTACGTACCGTAGTACTCTGCCTGGATCCTTACGGCTCTCGTTGCAGGGTCCTCCTTCTTATAATCGAGCTCCTGTGGTCTCTGGCTTTCCCCTGCCTCGCCGTCGCATTCAGTCTTCTACTCGTGGTGTTAATGGAAACCACTAAACTGTACCCCAACTTGCCTTGCATCATCCACCGTACCTGGACCTTGGTTGCCAGTACCGCCTTGTACACCACGGTTCTGGTACTGAAGGACGTCCTTCATCATTTCCTCATCACGCCAGCAGCCACTACCTTTAATGTCCTCTCCCTCATCATCTTTGGCATCTGGGGTCTGATCATGATGCTGGGTTACTTCTTCGTCGCTCGAAAGATCCGCAACAGCTTACGAACTAGTGGCAGCCCTATCGAGAGCGAAGCACTGCGGAGGTTTTCCAGTTTGCTCCTGGCCTGCGGCTCGGTCGGTCTACTCACTATCATGATGCAGGTATTCTCGGCAGTCAGCGAGTACGGGCTGAAAGCGCCGCCCAATGCGGCTCTGGCCAGCATCAGCCCCTGGGCCTGGTGGATTGTCCAGTCGGCACTCCGTGCTCTGGAGTCGGCCATGTGCTGCCTGCTCATGTTGGTAGCCAGCCGGACAGACAACAAGAGACACGTCCAGGTGGCACCAGGCACGACCTGGGATTGGCCTAGGATGCACGGTTGGAGCTTGGAAGCAGTGCCCGCTAGGCCAGGGAGACCGATACCTGCCGATCCCAAACATAACAAGAACTCACCCGCCATTCCAACACAGTCTACCATCACTAAACCACCAGACATCGAAACTCAGGACCTTTAATTCACAGCCTGTTAATCGTTGTGTGCATTGAGTCCTACGCGATTGCCACTGGTGAGTCCTGAAGGAGAACTCTATAATCCAAAATGTTGGGATAAAACGGGCTCAAAGCGCGACTTTGTGGTGAGACAAAAGTAGGATTAACGCAACATCTTCTTAACTGTAGATTAGACTTGTATCACATACAGAAGATAACGCAGGCTCACAGAAGAATTGCATGTACATTACCTTGCCGGGTGTGCGGTAAGAAAAAACAGGAAAGACGTCGTGGTACCAAACCAAAGATTACAATTACACAGTAAAGCACATTAATTAGAATACTTGTTAATTGTTTAAAAAATATTGATTGTATTTATTTGTGCACTACAAATAACCGAAGTTTTAATACATATTTGAAGGAATTGTTGTTGAATTAATCGTGTCTAAAGATCAGTTGTTAAGTGATGGTACACAAATCACCCTTATGAACGTGTTTATGTTAGAAAAAACACAAGTCTTGTTATGTAATGAAACAACACGTCTTGTACCAACACGTTATGTTAAATATTCCACTGAAGTCTTCACCTACATAGTTTTTTAATTAACCGCTTTTTATCAAAACATAAGGTGTAAAAAGCAAGATTTGAAAGGCTGAATTCAACAATTATTGACGATAAACTCATATTTGTCTAAGGTCACGAGTCACCCAAGCATAAGAAAGTTTATAATGCTGACTTTAAAGGCCAATACTTGTTCTTAGTTTCCTCAATTTATGATTTGCCGGACCCACCATTATGGGCCAATAATACCAAAGAGATTTTATGATGTCCTGTTTATTATGATTTTCACCTTAAATCGTTGAATTGGATTTTCACGAATTCCTCGCATGAACCCCTGTAGGCCTTTTATAATGATAGTCGTTGGACTCGAGCCCAAGACCTCCTGATAACAAGTGCACTCGTCTCAACCGCGGACCTTGCATAGGCTGGGCATTCGTCTGCATCTCATATAGCTTTGTGTACTCATCACCGATTGACAAAAGATGTACATTATTTAAATCCATACACCAATTTGTCCGATGAATACACTGATTGTTTTCTGATAATACCTTGAGTGGAAATATCATTATTTACATTCCCAACAATAGACATTGTGCGTAGCCGCCATCTTAGAAGACATCTATCATTTTAATTCAGTATAACAATGTACAAACGGGAAGGTTTTCTAAGATGGTTGCTACGCATAAGGTCTTAAATAGGTGCTAAATGTCGCAGTTGATACAGTTCCTGCAGCGTCATATCAAGCATTTACAAATCCATTGTTACGTTATGTGCTGATTTTTACATCAAAGTCTAAAAGAAGGGTTAGAAGACAAAAGTGATACACCTTAGGCCCCCTCAAATAAATAATAAAACACAAAAAGTACTCTAAGATGACAGAAAACGATTTTTTTCACGTTTCATACAAAAATTACTAAATGAAACGAATTGAGAGGAACACACGAATCCCCTTTACGCGCTGTACTTGCAGTCAAACTCTATTTTCATCGGATAAAGTGCAACCGGCATTTCCCTCAATATTAATTGACTGAGTAGACATTAAAATTGTTATTACACCTTGCGCCACTCATTTGCATAACGCCTCCTCAGCATTTGAAGTGGCAATTTTCCGAACTTCTGTTGTGATTAAAAAATAGATCAAATGCACATTAGTTGAAACGGGATAATTCTTATGAAGCGAATAGATTTAGGAAAGCTAAGATATACACTGTACATCTTACGAAACTGCATTTCACCATCTTTATGCATCGCGAAAAGAAAAACAAGCCTTTATGTTTTCTTTGAAAAAAAAAAATAAGTGGTGCCCTTTAAACACCATTCAATGTATTGAGTTGTATCAGTATAATATGTAGGGCGCTAATACAACTCTCTTCATTCAAGTATCAATGTCCATTAACCTGAAGAAAAAAAACACATTAAAAATGTCCATTTCAATGCGACAATCAAAATGACATGAAGCGGACGTAGCGATGAATCTTTAAAAACGTTTGTGTATTCATATGCCAATCCCTATTGGCATTGCTTTATCAATGATGACTAGGAAGCAAGCGTATTAAAGGTACGGCATTTGGACCGAATTTGATTTTGTTGTGCACCAATAACCCGCCTTGCGAGAGTCGATCTGCCGGCAGCCAACGATTCGAATTTCATGAAGTTGATACTAAATAACTAAACATGTCATTCGATTAATAACTTTTTTAAAGCTAGGAAATTAGCAACTGAGAAATGTCGAGGCGAAACTCGAAAATAACACGTGGAATGCATCACGTGGAATGTAGCAGGTTCCAGAAAGATTGCTTAAGATCTATAATTATATCAGGTCCATTTCTTGAACTATTTGATGCCTAATCAAAAAAACTCATTTTGAATGTTTTCAATTCACAGAGGTTTGAAAGCCTTTGTTTTCTCTAATTTATTGAACTTCTATTGAAATTAAACTTTAATCTGTCAAAACTTGTTGTATATTGTTATTCTATCATCAGATTTTTTTCAATTTACGCCGGCTTCATAAGAAAAATAGCCCTGTATGTACCTTACAGACACCAGCTCCTCACGATTACAGAGTATTCATCTTTCTGACAGTATAGCATGGTGAATGGGAGCCAGTAAGATGGAAATAATCAAATTGCTCTGGAAATTGAAGATCAAATTAAATAACGGCCTGACCTATAGCTGACTACAAACAAATTACTCTTTTGCTAGGCGACAGAATGTAATGAATGTACACTCTTCTTTGTCCATGAATTATGACAATTTCAAATGTATCAGATGAAGTGAATTCAAGGCAAAGATTTCACGTGTCCATCTCTCAAGCAACCAAAACTTGTCATGAATATTTTGATTTGTTGTTTTGGTAGGTTTTTGTTTTTGTTTTAATTAACATTTGAGGCAAACTGGCAGAAAGATAAAAAAAAGACCTAACTAGTATGAAATCAGCTGCTCCTTTAGGAACAGCAAATATTGTTCATCCGAGTGTATTTCAAAACGATGGGTTTTTTTTCTCACCAATACGAATCCAGAGATATGTTTTATTAAGTGTCTGCTTAAATAATGCAACTGTTAAGAAATAACAGTTAAAATATAGATTTGTGACAACAAAATGTTGGAGAGAAAAAAACGCTGAACCTAAATTGGTTCCTGAAGCCGATGCTAAATTTGTAATTAAACCATTTGGTCAACATCTGTAAAATAAAAAAACGAAAAAAAAAAAACGGAACAAAAACATGCTTGTGGCGATTTCAAGATCGAGTGGATTTCTTATGTTTAGAAAGAGGGAATGCTTCGAAGGAGAATACTTAAAATGCTAGGCTGGAGAAAACTCTTTATATAAATTGCATGCAAAGAGGTCAGTTCGTGCGTGATTTAATTAAGCACGCATGGCTTTGTGCAATCTGGTCTGCCTCTTTTCATTCGTTGTATCTCCGAAGTAAAGGTCAATTCTTTACAGGCATTTTTACTCAACCCATCCCTGCATGCATTAACTTTTAGCAGATTAACTTGACACGGTATTGTTTTCAGCCATTGTTGATTTTCGAATACGAGTTTCTTTCCCTTATGACGTAAGAAAAGTCGAAACACCAAATTTCATTGACTAAAACTGATCACTATAGTATTGGAGTTTTCCATGCAAATTCAACATAATAAGGACTTCATTATGTGTGCACGTTATAGCATCGCAAAAACATGAAACTATTCTCCAGCATTTTGCTTTGCCTCCCCAATGTGATATTCATACCAATTCCCGATTCAATTTTGGGAAAATTTTGAAAGAAACACAATGGTGTTTTGTTCTTTTCTAAAGCATTCTGTCTTCGAAGCAAGGCAGTACGGTGACATTCGATCCCCTCGTCCAATTATGAAGACACGTTTTGTGATTCCATCTTGTATGTTAGCTTGGCCATCATGTGACAGAGCACGTATGCAGTAGCCTTGCTGTTCCATCAAGTAGATAATTGAAGAAAAAAAACGCCAAGTTGCTAATGCCTTTTGTCAGGTTGAAGTACGTCTTAACTGCACAGAAACACTTCACAGGGTACTCCTTGTTTACAATTTTCTACGCTCGTCGAGTATCACAGAAATGTGAATATCATTACCGTGAAATTTGTCTAGATTGAAATAGAATAGGAAGAAGCTTTTTGCGTACCAATATTGTCCGTTATTCGTGAATCGTTTCCTTTCCTATATGGTACAGAAAGTTGTGAATGGAAATTGTGAATTTGCTACAAATTGAACGTAATATTAAGAAAAATATGATAACGAGTCCTTTTTTGAGTATTCGCAGGTCTTTGAGTATTACAGAACATCAGTCCAACATAATGTTATAGCCTAAACAATGTACAGGGGCGGATTAAGCTTTCATGAAAGTAACATGGGGATACATAGTGAGGGAGGGGCGTTGCGTGAAGGCACGCCCTGCTATTGGGGCGGAGGGGAGGGGAGGAGGAGTCGCCCCCCACCTCGGAGAGTTTGAATCTAAGATGCTTTCTACTGCATTCTATTTCAATTTTAGAATATATTTAGGAACTTTAACATTCCATTTTTCATGCCCCATTTTATTGAATCTAAAATGCTTTCTACTGCATTCTAATTCAATTTGAGAATATATTTAGGAACTTTAACATCCCATTTTTCAATTTTTGGACCATTTTATTGAATCTAAGATGCTTTCTACTGCATTCTAATTCAATTTGAGAATATATTTAGGAACTTTAACATTCCATTTTTCATTTTTTGGCCCCATTTGATTGATATCATAACATTAGTCAGCGGCTGACTGTATTATGTGATTTTGGAAGGGTTTGTTAACCCTATAACCTCACCTTAAGCTACAAAATACTACAGGGTGAAAAAAAGCGGAACCCAAACCCCCAAAATTATGTTTCATATTAAAACAAAATATGCAGCACCAAAAATAATAATGACTGGAAAGCCAATTTCATAAGCTACTGTTAGATGTAAAATTTAATGAAATTTCATTACATTTTGCATCTAACAGTAGCTTATGGAATTGGCTTTCCAGTCATTATTATTTTTGGTGCTACATATTTGTTTTAATATGAAATATAGTTGTTTGGGTTTGGGTTCCGCTTTTTTTGACTTACCCTGTATAAGTAGTAACCTGTAGTATGCATTTCTTTCCATATTAGTGTGCACAGCACATGTAGTATTCTGTGGTATTTGGTACTTGACCCCCATTTTAGAGATATTTTAACCCAAGAATTGTCATTGTCACGCGGTCACGTATAATGGTGAGATACCAGATAACAATCCAGTTCATTCAAAAATCATCGTGCTTTTGTCTTAACAATATTCACCTTTTTCTAGAAAAAAAACTCAGCTAATACCTATGACACTTCCATATTCACTTTGTTACTTCTCCGTTCAGGTGTATCACATTCGCTTCCGTTTCACAAGAGCGACTCGCCGACTTTGATAGATAGCAATCATTCATCTTCTCCTTGCTGAAGTCTTAACTGATTAAATGATTTGACCGCAAGGAACTCATCAAAAAGGGTCACCTGCAATCCACATGGGAGTTTGTAAAGCTGAGGGTGTAATTAATTAATTTCGCTGGTCGAGGGTACCGGATGTTGAGGCCAATCCGGTGTAGTGTGAAATAGCGACTCGATGAAATACAGACCCGTTGGTTGTATTGCACATGTTTTAGTGAACATAATGCAGTGACAGGTCACATGCGAGGGTTAGAGTCCATATAAGGTCGAAGAGACCAGATTTCACAGGAGTCAAAATTTCATATGACAACGTCCCATATGACCAGGCCCCACTCATAGGCTCTTTGCATTGCACCCAAGTATCTAGGCCCTATTAATCGTGAATGTTGACAACCCACTCAATTATCAAAATGTCTGTACCGTTGAAACAGATGGTCTCATAGGCCTGTAGATATAATGTTTCTTTGAAAATAACTTGAATTGTTATTGTATCGTCGGCCTTAGTGTCAGTTAATTAAATTAACACATTTGATGGCAAATCAAATGTTTCATAATATATTCTAACACTGTTTTAATTACAGTTTGAAACATTTCAGTGTACATGTACTTGTTAAGCATGCATAACTCGTTTGTTGATCAATCAGTAAAACATTTCAATACGCTGGCGATGAAAATTAATTTTTATAAGAAACTCAAAATACCAAAGGTTTATGGGAAATGCAATGTATAAAAGTCTGACTTTAATTAGAAAATGATTTGCCAGCATTTCTCTGAAGAAATAAATTATAATGTCGAGAGTCCATTGTACACACAGCTATTCCTAAGAGAATGACATAAAATCCAATCAAACATTAAGGTTTTTGACATGTATACTGCACACTATACAAAAGAAAGTATACAATAATTTCCGTCTGCATTTAAATAAGGCGGGAAGTTAGCTTTTATGCCCCTCCTCCCCCACCTACAGGAATAGTTGTGTACCATAATGCGTGACTTGGCTCATATCAATCCTCCTTCTGACGTCACACATGACGGGCAAGAGTGAAGCCCTTCACGTATCCCTTAGCAACGCAATTTATGCCGCAGTAAATTGGACATTCCGTAGATAATGGTTGCCATTATTTTATGTCGCGCGGTCTGCCTGCCACTTTGAAATAGACATTCATTGGCTTTAAAACACAATTGAATTGTTACAGTAATACTTGTCGTTGTTGTTTTTAATTTATATTAAATCATGTGATTCATCATGTAAATAATGGTCGGCCCTCGTCC